CATAATACTTCATCAAGTCACACACATATGGAAGTGTTGCGTCATTAGCAAATGCAAAAATTAACCCCTTTAATTTACAGTTGCATAAATTATTCATGGAAATATTTAATAGGATCGGTCCTAGGACCGCACACTTTATTCTTTATTGAGATACTCAACAAATCTCACCGATTGTGATCTTCCTGATAAACAGGATAAAAATAAGCACTCAGGCTTGCCATTTACCCCAGCGTTATTTTTTTTTAATAAAAACACTAAAAGTCGACTTACTGTTTTGTTATTATTATGTCCATCAATTTTATTTATTTATTTAGCGCTAATTCTGTCTTGCTTTTGAGGAGGCCGTATTGTTGAGCCGAAAAATACTGCATATTGTTCAAATATGATGGGAAGTTGTTCTGCAATAATTTTTAAAAGAATTGCTTAATAATTGGTGCTTGGCCCGCCAGCCTTTAAATATTGCTACCATAATTGCGTAATTAAATTTTACAATATAAAACATACATATATAAAATAATAAATAAATAAATAAATAATTAAATAGATATCACAAAAAAAAAATTAAAATCCCCTAAGTAACAAATTTCACTTGATTTAGTTATAAAACTTGGGTATTAAAAATTAATATTACTCGATAACTGATTTTGTGATTTCACCTGAACCAATCGATATAAAACCTTTCGCTTTACGCCGAGCAAGATTGTTGGGGTCATTCGCCCATTGCCGGCCTTGCTGGCGATCCTCAACTTCATCAGACACAAAAACCCAGAGTCCCTCCGCCGAATCGCGCATGTGCACCTATTATTGCCCACTGCAATTTACTAAAAGTTTAAGCGAAGTATAATTACTATAGATAATCAGCGCTATGAAATTCTCCCGTGACTTAAACAAATAATACCGAATCGGGAAAGTAACACACTAAAGGGGACTTTTTTTAATTGAAGATCTAATGTGAATCTACGACGTTGTATTACTTTGATTCTTCTGGCATCGTTCGACTTGCCGATACGAAATCAACAGTTATTTTAGAACCGTTTCTGGACTAACGAATTTGTGTCTGAGTGTTTTTTTATATTTTGCCGCATTACAACAAATTAATAAAATCATTATTATTATTTTTTAAAATATATTTTTCACTTTTTATTTTAGTTATTTTATGGATTTGTTTATTCCTAGACAATTGAGTGGAACAATAATTATACTAACTCTAACAAGATTTCGTTTAAAAATAAACCCTACAGAAAAAGAACGTCCGGAGAAGCCAAAAAAAAAAATGAAATTAATCTGAACAGTAGATATAATGAAAATTACTTTATGTTGCTATGTTTTTATGTTTGTATTCGGAAGCAGTTAAACAAACTAAGAAATAAACAAATACATGGAATACTTCAACTAAGAAGTGAAAAAGTTTTATTTAATGTTTTCATTAAATTAGTTTATTATAATGCTTTTAATAATAAAATGATTTGATTGAATTGATTATGTATTATATATATATATTTATTGATTAAGTGCAGATTAATAATACGGTCCAGTCAGTTCTATGTTTTGTTCCACTTAAACAAATTAATAAACTAATTTAATAAAAAATTTAAATAAATGTATCTTTTCACTTTTTACTTTAGGTATTTCGTGTACTTAATGTACAATAATTATGCTAATTTTAACGAGATATAATTTTAAAATAACCTTGCAAAAAACGAAACGTATACAAAACCATTCTGGTTTATTTTTACTACTGAAAACATTTTTATCTTTTGTAAAATTTCTGGATCCCTCTTGCGTCGGTTTTTGCTGAGTCGAAATTGCTGACGTTTCGTGTATGTAATCAATTCTTCTAGCAATAAAAAATCCGAGAGTCTATAGAAATCTGTAAGCAATCTAACAATCTTAACCGAGACTCAGGTCTTTACCTGTCACCAATATGGGAATCAATCGTCCGAGATGGTGTTTATGCCCTTCATTTAGCTCCGCCCCCCCTCAGACAATATAAAAGCAGGTACCGAGTAAAATGCGTTTCAGTGAAGCTCTGAGGAAGCCAACAGGATAATTGGCGTATTGGTTTAATGCAACAACATAAAAAAACAAAAAATACTGTGTGTAGGTAATTAACAGATGAGCCCTTTCTATATTTTGTTGCATTAAAACAAATTAATAAACTAATTTAATTAAAAAAAATGCATTTTTCACTGCTTGATTTATGTATTTATTTATTCTTAGATTGCTTAACTACTAACCAATTAGCACGAGATTTGATTGAAAAATAACCCCTGCACAAAACGAAACGCCCAGAAAAGCCACGGAAGATATTCGGAAAATGAACATGAAACCAAAACGAAGCTTATTACTTTTTGTATGTTAAAGTGCGGACAGTTCTGCGCAATGTAAGGAGTCCCAGAAAACAATTCGAGAACGGTTCACAAATAACAAGTCGAACAAAGCGAATAACATCAGCTTCCCGGTACCTTAAACGTACACCCCGAAATTCCATAATGAAAAATGAAAAAGAAAACTATCTCGATTTGTTAACAAAGTGTTAATTCGATTGTCGCTGCCTCTCTGCTCGCAAAAGTTCTTCCACATCGCGTTACACGCGCAAAAATATTTAATTAGCTGTAATTTATTTTAGTAACAGACTCTGGACGCCATCGTTAGTTTAATGTTTACGCCTCCAATAAATGCTCTGCAACTTTTCCAGCGGCTGCCTTCATTCGTGGCAATCAAAAAAATATCAAATACATTTACGCTTGTTAACACTCGCGCGAGCCGCCGCTATATTTGAGAAATTCGAAACCTGCGGATCCGTTTTCAAGACGCCGATGATTTCTACCTTCGCAACTAAATAAGACGGGCGCCATTAGACAACAACAATGGTTAACCGTGTAGAGAATTATTTTTTTAAATATGAAGCAGCACCAAATGTCAGTTTAAATCTCTAAACTTTTTTAAAAGCTTCTTCGTTACTCAATAGCTTTTTCCTACTCACCACTTATGCACGGAGCAAGCGTGTGGAAAGTATTTAAAAGCCCAAAGCTCTAAACTTTCAAACAGCTTTTTTCTCCTAGCCACTCTAAAATACTCAATTGTGAGCAGATTAAGCGTACGCAGTGACTCTATAAGACGTCAAACTTTAATCAAAACCAACCAAATCTCTTAACTTCTTTAAAAATTTCTTCTATAACGCCATAGCACCTCCTAAATGGCCTTTTTCTAGCCCTACTCTAAAATATTCAATTGTGCACGGATCAAGCGTGCGGAAAGTGTCACTAATATGTCAAATTCTAATCAAATCTTTAAACTTTCTTAAAGATTCTTCGCTACTCCATAACGCTATCCCATCTCCTAAATAGCCTTTTTCTACGTCCAACTTTAAAACTCTTAATTGTGCACGGATCAAGTGCGCGGAAAGTGTCACTTTTAAGATGTAATATTCTTTGCTATTCTATAAGGCTAAATAGCTTTTCGGAGGGCATTTTGTTGGTTTGTTTTTGTTTCGATAAAATTTTATCAAACTTGCTGCATATACTACTAACGGCAACTAAAAGAAATGACAAACGTGCCTTGTGAAGTTTAAGGTTTCCAACTTATCCCTCCATTTTTTTTTCGCATAACGCCCGATTTTTTTATTCTCCAACTAGATTGTCATGTTTCGAAAGTTGGCAAAAAACTCGATCATCAAAAAGTCTAAAATAAGACTGAAGCGGGCCAGAAATAAGTTCAAAGTGAAAAAATGGTCACATCTAAAATTATTTAATAAGATTTTGGCACAAGATGCGTTCAAAAAAATTTATTCCTACAGATTTTCGTTTCTGTGTTATATATTTTTTTTTTCGGGAGCGAATAAATTTCGGCTAAATAAATAATCCGCTAAGGTGCGAAGCGAAAGCTATTTCTGTCAATAAATCGCGAGATAAAATTAATCAACGTCCAAAAATTGAAAACTGTGGACCACCAACCTATATTCAAATTCAAAACGACCTCTCTGATGGGGGTAAGGTGTCCAAAAGGGCCGAAATAATTACTTTTAAAATGCATTTAAAAATTATATTTCGTAGATACATGGCGGACGTCCAAGTCGAAGCCATATTTCGAGCATCAAAAATTTACCCACCTACGCGTTTTTTTTTACCACATCGGATAATTACGTTCGGTATAGGCAGCTAGACACACCCCCTTTTATTATAAACGTACGTGCCTAAAATAAAATAAACCGAACATCTTAAAAACCAGGCGTTGTTTTTTTTTTAATAATGGAAGTTGAATTATGTTAACGTTTTTTAGTTTTCTTTCGGCCGTCGGTGGTTTTGAATTGCTAATTGCTAAATGAATTGCAATCAAAATTCGACTCTATTTAATTTACGGGCGTCGAAATTTAAATTCCATGCGAATTACCTACGTTCCAAAATAAATCACAGAATACAAAATCCGGCGTACACGACAATCGTCGGCGCGGCGCGTTGATGAACGATTCGATAACGGACGGAAACGCCGACGATTTCAATGGGCATTGGCGGAAAACTTCCTTCCACCGCGGAGGGTTCAAATTAAAGGCCAGAAAAAAACAAAATTACCAAATAACCGAAAATGCAAATATAATCGAGAAACTCGAACTGGTTTTGCGTCCAAACCGAACGGGCGAGATTTCGCTGAGCCTTTTACACTCGAGAAGTCCATTCGAATGTAACGGACGACAAAAACCAAAGAGAGTTAGTTTTATTTCACGGCGTGTTTTAAGGGAAACTCGTTTCACCCAGGCGGAATTCTGCCACCCGCGTTTTTGTGAACGATGATCCGTGGCTGTATTTTTCCCAAATAAAATAAAAATCAAGTGTCGAGAGGCGAAATGTGTATTAAATGAATGAACATTAAGAACACACGTTAAATGAGAATTTAATAAATAAAACGTTCGGTCGGCTATGCCGTATCGCCGTCCAATTAGAAACTCGTTAAAAAAAAAACGATAACGCGACAAGTAAATAGGTATACCGGTGGTCTCTTACCTTGTCGTAGTCTAGTGTAACGGGGGGTAACGCTTCGTTGTCCTTCTGGCAAACGTGGTTGGAAAAAAAGCGAACACAATAGTTGTGGAAACAAGCGTGGCAATCTGAGGAACAAAGAGGTCCGCAATTACAGCAACAAGACATCTCACAAGTGCAAAGGATTTGGTGGAACGAAAATATACGAGCGCAACTATCAACACCCGGAACCGTAGGGATGACGTCCTTGTCGGAACTCCAAAACAGTTCGGTGAGGTCCCTCTTCGCGGTAGACGGCGGGGTGCCGCTAGTTCTCGCATTAGAGACCGTTTCGCCATTGAGATGATCCATTTCGGCATAACCGTTGACGATGACGGCCAAGGTACCGGCACCGGCAACATCAGCCGCTGCGTTGTCCAGAGGGACTGGTTGGTCCGTCGTTGGCAAAAGATTTATTGAGGCCGGTCGGCCGATTCCTCGCAGCATATAGTTGTCGGCATCAATGTTAATCAAAGGCAGCAGCGAAGAAATTTTCGAATCTGCTCCTGCAGTCATACGCGTGTACATTTTGTGATTCGCTCCAGGCTCTTGCTGCTGGCCCTCGATCTTGTCGACACTCATCTTGTCATCGTCGTCTATTTTATCTGGTTCCTGGGTCTGACTTGTGTGCACAGACAAATCAACTCGCTCGCCCAGACCGCAACTACGCGCTTCTCACCACCTGACAGCGGAACTCGGAACTGACCCATCACGGCTGGCTCCACACCACATCGTGTACGATCAACTACCCAAAGCGCATGCTCGAGCCGGCTTCATATCGGCTTCGCGACAGTGTTGCTGCTTTACTCTCACGATTCAGGCCGATCGCGGTCGGTGAGGTCGTTTATTCGAACAGCGGTAAAGGTTAACTTGTTCTAATCTTAACCGACTCTCGAAAATCTAAACGATTCGACAGAATGGAACGGGCGAAAATCTGTAGCGAATTATCCATTTCCTTTTCTTAATGCGAGAGAGTAATAAAAAATGACACGGATCTTTCAACAGGGCGGACAAACTACGTAAAGTTCAGATAAATTGCAATGATGGTTTCCGATTAATGCCACATTTCAGTTTTGGAGACCTACACACCACGAACCGTTCCTAAATTAGGCACACACTAATTTGCATACAATAGAAAGACGAGTTTGGTGAATGAAAGTAATACGACAGCGGCGTTCCTACAGTTCCGAGATAACACATCGCGCTTTTCAAATTTTTATCCCGCCAGTTTCGGCCAGATAATAGATTGCCTCTTTTCCCTTCCACATAGTCTAATTGCTGTCAAATATCATTATTGGTAGCAAATAATTGTGGTTTTCCGTTTTGAGTTTCTGGGTGGAATAAAATCCTTTTTCATTTTAGATAGTACTTTGTCCCAGGTAAGTAAAACGAATGTATTATTATTCTTCTTCTTCTGCACAACCAACTTTGCCTGCCGGAAAGTAACCTGCCACTCTCACGACCCTTGGCAATCTACGTCATTTGTTTACTTGGAATTTTGGTGACTCCATAATACCCAAGATATTAACAATCAAGTATCATTATTATTATTATAAATTATTAAAGAACACAAAAAAACTTAAAGGTTGAACAGTTTGTTCAGAATTTCACAATGAAAGGTTTAAAAATATAACAGTCAGATAGTTAGTTACATTTTCAAATTCCGAATGGAATTATCTATTCAGAGATATTTGAGTCCCCCATCAAATGTTATATAGTAGATTTGAAGCCAAAACCTTACATTTTAGTCAATAATACAGAGACTTAAAAACAACTATGGAAAAAAACCAACATGGCTGCTGACAGATCGCCAGTTCGGGATGCGGCATTTTAACGGCAGTATTTTCTCAAAATATGCCTAAATCTAGCTAAATCTTTAGGGAAAACGAGTTGAGTGTGTGTATAAATCATTACCTTCTTTACGAAAATATCAATCCCGCCTGCGGCGCATCAGTATATAACCCTAGTATATCTTATAATAGATGGATGGTTTAGAGAGACCAAAAATATACAGGGATTTTATTTACAATGAAAACCAAGATTTTGAAAATAGTAAATAAGCAAGCTTCCATTTCAAGTGAGAAACGTAAAATAACAAATAGTCCTTTTTCTAACAGTAGTGATATGGATTGTAAGAGAGTGACTTTTTGAAAGTGTTTTTGGATATTGTATTACAAAGACTCATAGCAAAAATGGCGCAACACTGTGAAGTTTGCAAAGAACCTGGCGGTTTGAATTCCGAAGTGTCATTTCATGTGTATTTAAACAAATTGAAGGCGGGTTTCATAGGCGGGTGTGATTGTTTCTTGTTTTGTGTATTTGTGCTTAGTATTACCTATTGTACGTTCAAAGGCATCGGACGTGGTTTGTATTACCTCGAAAAGTGTGTCAAATCTGTTTAATTCAACTATTTATAATGAATTTTTAAAATGTTAATATTGTTACATAATCACACGGCAATGATTTATTGTCCCTCTCTGAAATTATTTTCTCCACCTTACGTGGTTACCATAGCAACCATGCATATTTGGGCAACACTTTTCACCCCACTCGTCCGTTCCCGTAATGCCCGTATTGGCAATCAGAACAACCAATTTTATCAGTGGATATGCGGTCTCTTTTAGTCGGACGGACGTCTTTATTGTAAGGCTCTTGGTCCTCAGATTCATTAACGAAAAATAAACATTTTCGTTTTTATGACAGCGTTAATCGCGAAGTAAATCCAAATCTGAATAATTCAAAATGAATCATTGTCTAACACTTTTAAGTGCTCGTTGAATATTAATACCGACGTTCATAGCGTGTACTTCGGAACTTCAATTTATTGGAAAATAACGGTGGAAGAAACGAAAAAATTGCCGCGGATATTAGCGAACGGGCAGGGGGGGGGGGGGGGCGATTAAACAAAGTGTAAAAATAAAAACAAATGAACAGCTGACGAAGCTTATTTATCAACCGTTTTTCATAACGTCGGGCAGCGTCGAACGGATCGAAAAACCAACCTTTTGTACGCTGCGTCGGCGTTGCCAAACCGATTATTTTTGCTAAACACTCATAAACGGGACTTTGGCGACACAATTATACGCGAACCTAAACAGTACTTTCTGGGTTGGAGCATAAAATGCGCTGACGTCGATGTAAACGCGAAATTCGAAGACGATTTATGCAAACATCGACGAAACCGTATCGATCCGTCGCGAATATCGAAGAACATCGAGGAAATTATAAGGGAACCGTTTTAGAGAAAATGAGAAACGACAACAGCGTTAAAACACTCCTTCCGTGCGACTAGCTACCGATCTAAATTATACGCCGCCAAAAATGTCGAATAGATAGGCATATCTATCTCGTAATGGCAGATTCCAAGACACCGGCAAGCCGATAACCTGGGAGAAAGTTTGGAGACGCGTGGCTATACTTGAAATTCGATATACCCTACAAAAAAAAACGTGGGTCAAATAATCGCTCGTGCAGGATAAACCCACCTGGGTAAAAATACTGACACGTTGTCGCAAGACGAAGGTAACGACGAGAGCGAAAGGTTTGGACGGTTTCCAAAGAGGGAGAAATTTTAATATGCATGAAGGCAACCCTGGAGGGGTGGTTAAGACTTTACTGGCCCGATGTCAATTTTAAAACGAAAACACTCGGGCAGATAAAAGCTTCCATCTCCGCCACTTATTAAAGCGGGAAACGAAGACGACAACATCACTATACAGGATGTCCTGCAGGAGCTAAATGAAAAATACATCGAAGAATAGTCTATTTAATTACTACTGAAACGGGAAATGGGATCGAATCTAAAAATTAATCAATTAAAACGTCAGGCTTTAATTTAATCGTCGCTGCGAAGAAGAGAACCAACAAACCTCAAAATATGGATATTTAGTTTGTACTATCTACAAAACTTATGGATTTCTCCTGCGTTGGTTGTTTATAAATCGAACTTGCTGACGTTTCAGTTTTGGAAATAGTATTTTAGTAAAAATCAAAATAAATAAGAACTAAAAGTTCAGGTGGTATGTACTGCTTATAAATTTGTAAAAGTGCCCAAAAAATATGTCTGAAGTTAGGTCATGCGCTCAAAAATTTTCTATTACAAAGAATGTCACAGCGCGTGTCAATTACACAACTGGTGATTTAAAAATCATTTGTACCTAGAGGTGGAATTCATTGAAATCTGAATTTATTTTCATGGAACATCTAGGTAGAAAAATGAAAATGATCTGCAATTAATAGTTCCAAATGATTCCGCATAATAATTATTGTCTAACAAACTATGTACTACGGTAAATTAAAAAAAAAGAGGCAAGAATATACATTGTAATGACGATAAAGTTAGGTTAGGTTGAAAATAATACAACTTTGTACCTGTTCGCAATCGGTTTGCAATCAATCACAAAGTTTTTGTCGGAGTGGGAGAAATGTTCAATTCATTTTTAAATATTTGTATACGAAAAAAAACTAATACGTTCCCTTATCGTTGTACCGTTTAATTATAGTTTGTTTGTCGTCCCCTCAGCCATGATTATTTCAAAAGTAACAAAAAAAAATGGTAGCCTAAAAATTCCCAAATAAGCACTTCCGAATTACCGGTTTCCATTATCTAGTTTTAAGAAGCTATAAATGTTTGAAAGCATGAGAAGTGGCCTTGATAAAACGTTCCGTTCGCTGTTGCCGCGTCTGGCGCGAAAAATACCATGGTTGAACGTCAAGGTGATCGGGGTCGCTGATCAAAATTCATATCCGACTCGCTTTGGTAACGATTAATTAGGTACGGCAACATCTTTCGTGTTAATCTCTCGGAACTGTTGTACGCGAGCGATTGATTGGGACAAAAAAACACACCACCCACCACTGGCCGGGTTGAATTTAAAACTCTTTTATATCCCGTTCCACCATATCAATTAAATTCGACATTGTAGGACTTACCTTTACATTTAAATCCTATCAGTCCCTGACCCCATATATAGTCCTTGCCTGAAATAAAAAATCAACGTAATTTGGGCTCAATTCGCGGACGAATTCTTTTTCAACAACAACAAAAATTTCCTGACTGATTTAACATATTCCCGGCCTGTGTCCGTGAAATCTCAACTAGTCCACTTTTTTGCAAGTTTTATATTAGGCACTTTTTGCAGCTCCTATTTTGGAATCATGTTTTAAATATGCTTATTTGACTAAAAAGCACATAATGCATTGAAAACACCTAAACTCATCATACCAAAGCAGTCGTTTCTTCATTGGTCGCTACATATCAGTCGTTTGAAAGTAAATTATTGTAGCAGAGACGTTTATAATTTATTTTTCGATTTTTGGAAAATCCGAAATATTGGACAGGCCAACCTAATGCGTGGGGAAGATATTAGGTCCCACATTATTTCTAAATTAAAAGGATCCTCAAAATAATATTTCTTATAAGGTTGTAATTGTGATTCATGCCAAATGCCCTTCTGCATCTTAAAGCAGAAGAACCATTTTACATATTTTTTTATTTTTGGACGTTCAATGAGGATTTTTTTATTCGAAACAAATTTTCTACGAAGAAATATAAAAATGGATGTCATTTAACCCGTTAGGCAGGTATTATTTTTCAAACGGAAAAATGTATTCGATCAGCCAAAATGGCTAGTTGGTTAGTAACGTATGGTCCACAATTAATGTCATACTGGGTTGTTCTAAATTATTTTGACTAACCAAAACTGTCTATATACATGTTTTCTGTACTACGAAATCTTGATGGCTGCAGGCTGTGTTTTATTTTTTGCGACCAAAATCTTGGTATGCTGTCCAAATAATTTAATGTCTAATTTTTGCTCCAGAAAACCATTTAATTACTTCTCATAAAAAATAACCAAAACTAATTTCCTCTGGAGATTTTCTTACAGAGCATTGCGTCACTTCCGTTCAGACCGAAATCTCGTGTCATCTTCTAGACTAGGTATAAAATTTCGCAGGTATTGCGGAAAGTTTATCTTTGTCGATAAAACAATCTGAAACTGTAAACTTGCCTAACGCTGAGATAAGATATATCGCCCGCTAAATCCGAAGAAGATACAAATTGGCAACGCGATTTTTGCGTAAACTCGGATATTTTCTGAATGCAACGTCTAGTAAATGGCCGAATATTTTAGTAATTAATTTAACATGGAGTTCCCTAGCTACAGTCAGTTTATTTTTATTTATCAGAAAAGACGATTATTGTAGTATAGTGAAAAAAGCAATAAAATTGCCCCATCGATATTACGAAATTGGCATTTCACTTTTCTAAATCCTGAAACAAACCAGTCTAGAGACAAATAACTTCACTTTGTTTATACTGCAATTCCAACGTCAACACATAAACAATACAACAAAGTAGGTAATGTGTTTTGTTATATCTTTGCAATAAATTACTCTTAGTAGTTTTTATTCGAATTACTTACAAATGGCGATAAAGCTTTGCGCGAAAAAAAAAAGCAATATCTATACACATGGAGATAGCTCTTATCTATATTACGATTTGTTTCTGGGATATTTCCCAAGGTGATACGGTGACTTAATTAAATTAATACTTGGTAGGTACCAGAATGTCTAAAAAACCAAAACTATATGGCAACATTTCTTATCTACAAGAAGCGTATAAAAAATCCAATAATTTACACATTCTCCCCAAGTTTTTGAAAAATAATAAAATGAAAATAAGCCTATGTTGTTAAAGCGGAACTGCAAAAAAGACGAAAAATTGTGTTAATTATCAAAAATCAGAAACCACAATCCTGAAACGCCGTAATATTTCATTCTAAGGATACAGCAGAATTAAAGAGTATAATAAAACGAATAAATTAGTTGGAGTAATCAGACCACACAATTTATTTACAGTTTATGTGTCTACAGGTTACATCAGTCACCCGCATAATTTCAGAATTTATTAGCTAATTTAACTCCATCAATTAACTGAAATTATAGCAAAAGTACTGGTCACAAAATTGAAAGAAGATGACTATTTTTGCAACTTGACACTCAGAATGAAACCGTCGACATTACTTGGTCCAAGTCAATTCAATTCAATTAGAGGAATTTTCTGCAAGATCTAGATAAATAAATGGTGCTTAAACATATCACGACGTTCCCATATATCCACGAGCTATATGCATGAACATAGAGTGAGCATCTCTATGAGGTGCTTGAGTCAATAAATACCATCTACCAGGTTACACACCAATACCAAATATCAAAGGCACAAATGGCACACAATTTAATTATCAATCAAGCTGTACTTAATTGACTTCATAAAAGAATTTGTTGTTGGCCCAGGATAAGGGGCAGGGACCCAATTAGCAAAGGATAATGTGCACCTTATAGTAGTTATGTGAAATTCAGTTTTCTGAACACCTTCGTAACCTAAGCTGTCTCAAAATGGACGAGGGGAATTGATGATATAGAATGAATAGTGCAAGTGTTATTCCCTTTTGGGTACTTTGCTGTTGAGAATGTGTACTGGCATCCCTTGGACCAGATGCAGCTATTATTACTTACTTACTTACTTATCATAGTGTGATTTCAATTTTACTTTTAATGAATGATCAATTGAAGAATCCATTTATTCATGAGTATTTTGCCCCTTTCAGAATCACCAAATAACAGTAGTGATTTTAAACAAAATGGCAACAATGTTGACAGGGTTGCAGTAGCAGTAATGCAGTAAATAACTTATACTTACAATGCCTGCAGAGTATTGGTGTCAGGACGTAAATGTCTTCTAATTTGTGTTCTGCTATTTTAGTAACTGCATCTGAAATACATGAACAGTAAAAACATCATGAATGTCTTTTCCACAACAAATATAACTATGTTTATAAGAACTCTCTACCACCCACTACATAAAAATAACCTGCATATATATAAAAAAATGGTTCTTAAATTGAAATTTTTACCTGGCACTCCACATTCAGATGGATGGTGAATTTTCTTGTTAACTTCTGAACCCAACAATTTGACATACTCAACTAAAATAAATCAAAAACCACACATAAATACAAATATATATTTTTTATAATTTATTTATATTATTGAGATCAGTAAATCAACTTAAATCATTAAAATACCTACTTGGTATGTACCCAGAAATCCCAGTTCTTCTATTATAAGCATAAAGTAAAGAGGGCTCCCTTAGTTTTCCATAAGGAGATGGAATTGATATTTGAAATATGTCGCCTTTTTGAAAGTCCAAATAGAACCCATCGTTTTGTATAGGTTTAAACGATTGCATAGCCTGGTATAATGCATAGTCCTCCATGTCAATCCACTGGCATATAATTTAAATGTACATCCCTCATACATAACTAAACACACTAAATCTAGATACAATGAGAAGAATCTATTCCCTTGAAAGCCTAAATCGGCCAATAAATTGGAGAAATTTTGGGAAACATAATTAAATGTCTAAATGGCCCACATCTCATTTATCTAAACAAAACAAAAACACCAGCCAAATCAAATATGGCGTCATAATATCAACGTCAAACAGCAATCAACCATTTCAGGGCTGCCAAAACATCCAAGTCTGAGCATGCGTATTTTGACGTGTAACTGTTATTATTTCAAAATTTTTAAATATGGAAAAATTTTGGAATACTTAGAAGCTTATATTTCGAGGAACAAAGGACACCATTAAAAATACTTGTATAAAACTATAAATTTATTAGATATTTTAATTCATAAGTGTAAGTAGTTAATTTATGACATCACTATTCTAATACTTCCTCCTAATCACATTATATTCATTCACATAAATAAAACAAATTATTAAAATAATTTAGAAAATATGAATTTAAATGTAAAAATTACTTAAATCTTGATCTTTTATAGAATTATAATATATAAAACAATAATAATATTAAATACAGACACATTTATATTTATCACAGCATAGTAAGGGTTTAAAAATATTATATTTGGTTTAATGTTCCCCAGAAAATTTCTCTGTTAGTAAATTCGGAGTTTTACCCTCTTTAAGAATTCTTAATGCATGCATAACAGAAACTTTGTCCAATTCTGCTTGAGTGGGCCTCTCATTATCCAGGCATATATATTTCGCCCGATTACCAAAGTACTCTAGAACTGTAACGCGATAATCCACGCTGGTGGAAACCCCATTACCTGTCAAAATTAAATTTTCTAAACAAGGCAATTTAGCTATATATTTAATTTCTTCAATTTGGGTAACTCTATTGCAACTTAAGTCAAGTGTTTCCAAAGAATATAGCTTTCTGAAACCCTTGGTGGTAACAATTCCGTTTTGAGATAGATTTAATGTTAATATGTTTCCTAATTTGGTGTGCAAATCTTCACATACAGTTATTAAATTATTTGTTAAGTTTAACATTTGAAGATTTGGTAAATGCACCAAGTTCAGAATATTAGGGATTTTATTATTGCTTAGATTTAGTGATGTTAAATTTTTTGCTAGTGATATAGTTCCATCGATGACTTCCAATTTATTGTTGCTGAGGTCTAATGTCTTTAACACACTCCATTTCTAAAACAAACTGAAATAAGTAAATAACAATGCAAAGTTTCATAATAATCTTACTTCACTACCTATTATGGTGTCTTTGTGTAAGACATCACATTGTAAGATTTGTGAAATACTAATTATTTGGGTATCATGAACTTGCAATTCTAAAACGGTACTTCGCAAATTTCCCAGGGAATAAATCATATTGACATCAACATTTTTTAAACATAAGGACTTAATCACCTAAAATTTAGATAAAGTATTTAAATTATATTAACAAATGTACGACTTCTTACTTTAAATGAGGACAGTTCAAATGACAAAGCATTAAAAACTATATTACTCTGTAAATATTCATGACAGCTTCCTTGGATTGTCAATTTATCTAATTGCGCACATAATTCTAATACAGAACTGAGGTCTAATTTATTGTCTATATTATCTATTATGGGAAACGGTTTGGATAGAAATTCACTAATGGAGTACAACTAAAAGTCATAACATGTAATATAACATTTTTAGCCATAGGAATTGTCTTACTTCTAAAGGTGTGAAAGTATAGGAATTATCCAATGGCAAGATGCTTTCAGCTTTCTCAAAACACCTTACAGATAAATCCTGTAGCAAAAAATATATATCATACAGGTGAAAATGTAGAAATTCAACAAATACTCTAGGCATTGTCCTTTTAAGAAATATAAATGTTTTTTGTAGATACTCTTCTAGACCCTTACGTCTTGCCTCTATAAATGGAGGACATTTATTCCGAATTACCTTCTTAGAAGGCAAAATGTCTTTTGAAATTCCGTGGTCGGCTACTAGTTGGTTATGTAAAATATGAAATTCATTGTACCGACGATCTACTTTCCAGCTAACTTCACCTACTCTTACAATTATTTTGTAAAATGTAATAGATTCTACTTCCTCGGTTGTTGGTATTTGAACATCAGTTTCATTATGGCGCAGCAACAGACAAGCCATTTTTATATACTCCGGAAGGCATAAGGAGGAATAAATAAAATATAAATTACGGAATCAACAAACATAACCTACAAATTTTGTTTCAAACTTTTAGCCACTGCCAACCATGAGCACGCGCATGCGGATTAAATATTTAGATTAACGTTTATTTCAAATCGAGTGGAACAGCAAAATAAAAAACAAAAATATTAATAAGAGCAGGAAAATTTTGTTTACTTCTAGCTCCCCATTTTTCTTGGTTTTAAACGCACGCGGCGGATTAAATTTCTTCACCGTTTCTTTACCTCTTTTCTATTTTCTTTTCATGCATGTCATAAAACACAGGTAAAAACCAGTTTTATTAATTTATTTTATACTTTACTTTTAGTATAAATGCAAAACGATAAATTAAACATGAAGTAAGCAACATAATAAGTTACAGAAATTACAACTTTGTTGAATGGGTTTCAAATTTGGATGCATAGAGATGATCTTCAAATAGCATGTTTTCTAACTCATTTGATGATGTCACCAACACGTGGAATTGTTTTCTTCTGGTTTCCAATTTTTTGTCCAGTTGTCCCTTTTCTCCCGCTAGATCTGTCAGGTCTTTTTGCAAAACCTCTAACTTTTTGATCATATCAATCCGCCGAGGTTCTTTAGCAATTGCTTTAGCCAAGAGATCATATTGTATGCGATTATGCTTAATAATTTTTGCGTTTTCCAATTTGCGTTTTTGTCTAATAATTTTTCCCTTTGTTTCATTTATATTTGCTTCATATTGTGCATATAATGATTTATATTTCTTAAGCTGCTCAGCATTTGATTTGGAAACATATTCTGAACGTTTTCTGGAATGTTTCACTAATGCTAGATGTGCCAAGATTTTGTCATAAATTTGGGATGATTCTTCTTCCGCATCGTCATTTGAATTTATCCATTTGGAAATCATTCTAAGTAAAACATTTAACCGGCGATCTTCTCCTGTACCATCACCATCAAATATTAGGCGTCTTTTAATAACATCTTCTGAAATTCCAAAACAATTTAATATTAAAATTGTCTATCCAAAAGAAAATCATACATAGACCTTCAGACATTATCAATTATGGTGGTATTATGACAGTCAAATTGTGGACATAACAAACACCTTTACAGAAAAATAAAGGAATATGCCCTAGATAAGTCACTACCACAGAAAAAGACTTGGCGTATCTATTTCGAGCCTTAGCCGTTAGGACAAGCAAGTCAATGAGCTATAAAAGCGAACCAGCAATTCGATGGTATAAGAAAAAGTCAATTGTTTAAAGAAGGATTTTAGTTAACTGACTAGCTGTTTGTGTTAAATTAAATACCTCAGGTGCCAATAATCGAAGTGTTTCATCGTAGGTAGGTGTATTGATTATCAAGTCGATCCAGCCGAATGATACTTCTATGTTCAGGTGTTTCCTCTCTAAAGTTAAAATCCACAAATTTTGTTATTAGTTGTTGTATTAGTATCCTTCGAATCCATCAGTCGCATCAACTAAAAATTTATATATCGGATCGTGGACGAACGGCCTTTATCAATATGCCTATCGCTGCATCAGGTGACATACATGTACCTTGATTTGTTTATGATTGTGTTGTGAAATTTACTGCGAGGTGTTTTGATGAACGATTAGGGATTTTGAATACTTTTTGGTCGTTTTTGAAGAGGGATAATAATACCTTAATAAACGGTGGTCCTAAGGAGAAATTCAAATGCACTATTAAAAGTATATAAGAAAAGCAATCTAAAATTAAAAAAATGTTTCTGGAACGAAAGTAGCGTAATGCCCAAAAATAAAATGATAGCGAAAATATGCCCAGCGTGCAAAGCTCAGGTCTGATATACAGTTTTTTGTTTAAGTATTGTAATTTTTCAAACTCATGCAGGTCCCAGTTGCTTGCAAGTCTTGTCCATGCGGTCATTTTTTCTACAATGCGAGAAGGATTGCTCGAGAGTTTGCAATTGAAGCAGACTATTTACGAAGAACTGCAAGGGTTCGTCGCGAAAAACCGAATTATTACGACGCCCTAGAATACGACAAGCATATCAAAAAAGTTAGATTTTTGCTTGAGAATGATTTAATAATAGGTTGATTTAAAGTGAACTTTTGCAGCTTAAAAAGCGGCTGAGTGAATCTCGGAATGATGATGATGATGAGGATGATGAAGTTGATAAAAAAGAAGGCAGAATGAAAAGAAAGAAGGTCAAAAAAGAAGAAGAGGAGGAAGATGATATTGTGACTAGATTTACACCCGAGATGCAAATGCACTGCAACATGATTTTAGATCATATTAACAGCAAAATGCAAGTTGTAATGTGGAAACCCAAAGACTAGGTTTCTGTTTTATATTATTTATGATTTCAAAATAAATTGTTTTGTAATACACTTGGCTCTGACTATGTAGGAGTGAAGCTTTTAAATTACCTGAGAAATAAACCTCATCTGTTAACGCGAAAATTGTTTTTTTAATAAATGCAAAATCCAGGAAGTTAAATGATGATGGTTATGAGCAAGATGAAGTTGATAAAAAAATGCAGAAAAAAGAGGAGGAGCAAGATGACATTGATGAAATTCACTGAATATGATGTTCAATCTCATCAATAGCAAGCAGCAAATTGTAATGTGGAAATCCAAAAATTAGGTTTCCATTTAATATGATATATTTTACTTTAAAATAAATTGTTTTGTGGTACACTTAAGTTTGTATAGGAATTCCTGTTAAATAAATTTTATCCGTTAAATTTGAAGTTGTTCTTTTTAAATAAGCAAAAAATCGGTAAAATTAATAAAAATACCCACATTTATTAACCTATAAATCTAAATAAGTTTGTATCACACTGGCAAAAACTAAATGAACATACTACACTCGTAAGCAAAAAAAGTTCTTTTCAACTTTAAATCTAATTTTCGTTACATCAAAAAGGGTTTCGTAATATCAAAATTCCTATAACTAAACTGTATATTAGAAATTTACAAAATTTGACAATTCCAAAGTTTTTTGGCGGTTCACTTGGTCGGGTTACATTAATTCAAGGGAAAGTAAAAATACAAAGCTTCAAGGATGCCATCAATTAAACTTCAAATCAAAAATAATTTACAGAAAGCACCTGGGGGTTGGTCCGACTTCTTCAGATAGTTCACTTTGTGTGAGCTTAACAACAGCTCTTAAATATTTGGTAATGCATAAGGCACATTGAGAATGCACCATTTGTTAATAAGAAACTTATTAGGTATAATTATATATTTTTTTTTTGAACTCGTATAATGGTATCAGCAGTTTAAGTACACTTCCATTTAAAGACAGTGACCATAATGTTTATGTGAAATTCTCTTTTTTCTTAAATTTACAATAGGCTTAAAAGCATTTAAGCTTCATCCTCGTCATCGTCGTCTTCGCCTTTTTTTTTAATGAACGGCACGAAACTCCAAAGCAAAGAACCAGCGGCCAAAATAACTCCCAAACTACAGAACAAAGATACGAAGGATTGAGTAGCTTCAAACCAAACACCGCAAATTGGAGGGCCAATCAACTGCAAAATTCCATTAACGAACAACGAAATACCGTACGTCGACTGGAGTCGTTCCTCTCCCAACATGTCCGCCATAACGATCGCCGTTATTCCAACGTAAGTCCCGGAAGCCAAACCAAACACGGAACAAAACAAAGCTATTACCCAGTAATTTAAAAAAAATGGCAACATCGCTAAAGATACGCCGGACATAAAAAGGCCGCCTACGAAATAGTAAGACTTTGGGAATTTCGTCAAGTCCGAAAGAGCGGAACCACCAATACGACCCACCAAATCCAAGGCACTAACGATCGATAATAAAAGAGCGCCGCTGTTTTTATCGAACCCCAAATTCTGAGCGTATGCAGGCAGAAGAATGATAAAGTTGGTGTAGCTGATCGCGTTGGTGGCGTTGGATATTAAAATGATTAAATAAAGCGGATCTTTGAGGAGCGTAACGTCGAATAGCTTAATCTTTTTGGGCGCGTCGCGATCTATCTTCGGCGACGCACCGATCATCTTATTTGAATTCGACTTGAGGCTAAAAGAGCTCGCGAAAATTTCAGGCTGTAACGTCAGAGTACTGCCGTGGTAGGCTGTGCTCACGTATTGGAACGAACTCGTCGATGTGCTTCTTCTAGGGGGACCTGCAACAATTTCAATTTCACTGAAACTCGCTGTAGGGTGAAGTTGCCAACTATTTTCCAGTTTAAATATGGGTGAAAATAATATAGTACATTGGCAAAAAATACAACACATCTCAATAACATGGATAGAAATAAAACTCGTTACATAAATATGTATTTATATTTTAAAGTTATATTTTCTTTCGGGCTTTCCATTACAAATTCTTTTTGCTGAACAAAAACTGGTATTTATTAAAAATTCTTTTTTTTATTCAGTTTAGGCTTACCCCGTTCCTTTAAAAGTTCGTTCTTTATTAATTATAATCTTACCCGGCTTCTTTCATCATCATTATTAAAAAAAATTGCAATCTGGGCAAATCAAGTCCTGAAATCTCGAAAATGTGTCATTTTTGATCTGTACTTGGAGAGAATCGTTTATTTTGAAATAAATTTCATTGCAAACGGTTGTTTTAAAATAGAGTTCGTCCCTATTAAAATATTTCCCCTAAACAATTAAGTTCAATAATAGAAAGACAATTATTAAAAAGAAGCTCCAGCAATACAATAAAAAGTTCGGTATTCCGATTTTTTAAGAGCGTTTGATGGAAAAAATATAGTATTTTTTTTTACTATACAGGATGTCCCATAACTAATGGTGCATGGCAAACCAGTAAATTCTTTAGGTAAAATATTTTGATTTAACGAAACTCCTTAGTCCAAAAGTTGATATCAACCGAGATATAACGTTAAATACAAAATTTGTTATAAATACTCGAGCTTGTTGCACAAAATTTGCCAAATCGTTTTTTTTTACATGAGAAATCCATTTTCGTGAATAATTTGATTTGATTGGATTCTGTCTAACTCTTTTGCGCCTGTGTATGCTAAGATATCACTTCTTATACCTTTTTTAAACAAATTTTTTAATTTCGCCGTGAGACGCCGTTTTCGAGAAATTCGCATTTTGGATTTTCGTTGCACCTAATTGAACAGTTTCATGTGAATATGCAAAATAGTTTAAAGTAGGCTTTGACCAACACAATCATGATAAAAGACAGTGAAATAGTGCGAAGTAGGCTCTGACAAAAACAGACACGATAAAGTGTTTGTAAAATGTTTCAAAGTAGGCTTTGACTGAAACAAATGCGACAAATGATTCTGGTAAATTTCTTTGCTATTGGTCGATTACGCCCAGATTATTGTTTTTTAATATTTACTCGACTCGGCGAAACTGATTCCTTCCGCGCCAAGTGGGATTCTGTGGGGTGACCAAAAATGATTACATCAGAGTTGAAAGAGAAAATTTTTGTCCAAGACTATCCAAATAATCAATTTCGTTATCGTTGGATTAGTCGTGGGAGTCAAACACCTTGGCCGTCTAGGAGTCCAGATTTCAATCCTATTGATTTTGTGTCATATGAAGTCGCTAGTGTAGTGTATACTCGAGATGAATTATGGCACAGGATTGAAAACGTCGCTGAAAAATTATTCACGAAAATGGATTTCTCATGTCAAAAAATCCCAAGTTTCGAAATTTTGTGGAAAAAGCCCGATTATTTCAGGGTAGAAAAGTAAATTTATTGGAAGCCATGGAGATTAACAAATTGACAACAAATTATATATAGTAGCAGCTAGTTTGTAAATATTACATTTGATAAAGAAACGGTGTTGTCGAAACTTTGAGCTCACTTAAGCAACCCTACTGTAAAATGTAACATATATTCAATTATTTTTGGTTCTGCACAGTGCTCCCAAAAAGGAAATCAAAGGAATAGAGTAAGTAGTAATAAATATGGTAAAAAAAATTATTACCACAAATATAACTGTACTTTCGGGAGTTCCATAGTGATTTAAATGACCTAACCCTTAATAATAGCAAAAGTAACACCATTAGCTTCTTTAAAATAAAACAAATTATTTTATTTACCTATTAACTTCATTCTTAGTTCTTTAATGCATTAATTTTGCGTATACTGAAAATTATTGTTATTTAATTTATATTTTATTGTTTTATCATGTTCAGGTTCGATATATGTATCTATTACGAGTTATCTGCAACTAAAAATGGCCAGTCCGCTAATAAATTATTATTATTATTACTATTATTAAAACATGGTAATAATTTACCTGTCCTTAGTTTCCTAGAGCTGGGCAACTTTCCCTGGACAAACATGTCCATCGTGCCGTTGGCATTTTGTTTTTCCGGAACAGAATGAAGGGCCGTCGAACTATTCATATTGGTTCTAGAATTAGAGTAGCCTTTAGCTCTCATTACTTCGTGCCTTCCCGTTGGCATGCTGATCTTTCTTTCTCTGTGGGGACTTTTCATGTGTTGGACGGCAGCGCTAGAAGCGCTACGGTTGAATCCCGCGTCGGAAAGATCGCTGTGTTCTAAAAACGAATCGGTATGAGGCAGCTGAGGAAGCGAAGCCATGCTATCTTCGCTAATCATGAATTTCGCCGGGTCCAAAAGTTCGCTGGGTTTGTCCTCTTCTTTGATTTTTTTGTAATGGTTTTCCACTGGGTCGTAGAAAAGGGCGGCGACGAATACGTTCAAAGTTATTCCTCCCATTAACAGAACCGCTCCTCTGTAACCGTAAGTTTCGAGGATTATCCGGAGCAGCGGCGGGAGCAAAATGGATCCGAATGCGGATCCCGATATGCAGATTCCATTCGCGACACCTCTTAGTTTGACAAAGTAGCTTGTAACTATATAAACAGTTGGCGGAAATGACAGGCCCGCCCCACATCCGACCAGTACTCCGTAGGTGAAGTACAGAATTGGCAAGGATGTTGCCCAAAAGCTTAAAATCATCCCTCCAGCTGCACAGGCACCCCCGATAAATGTTACGATACGGTAGGACCATGCCACTGACAAAATACTCGATACGGGACCTAAAATTGAGAAAAATATTCTTAGGATTGCCGCTTGAGAGAGAAAAATCGGCAGTGGCCTTTTTGTTTTTAGAGATATCACGTTTAATATAAAATGAAATGTAGACTTAGCAGCCAAGTTTTACCGAAAAAAATTCTATACAAAATGTTCGATTTCATATTTTATCCCATTTGTTGAATGAAGAAAATAAATGAAATATATCTGGGTTCTTTCATGCATATTTCTTCTGTTACCGCATATAATTCCACTGTATTTAAATTCCGTAAAACCCCTAAGCTTAGTGAAGAACAATATAAAGGATGCAGTTTTGCAATTTTTAAATAGATAATAATATAAACAATATAATAATTTAAAAAATATATATTTTATATTTTAAAAGTTCGTTCACTACAAGGAAGAGTTTTAATAGATAACAGGCAATACTGGTCTATAAATAATCCTAGACAAGTACGTGAAATAGGATACCAGTCGATTAATGTGTGGTGTGAATAGAGACACACATTTTGAGTTCGATATTTGTAGATCAAAAATTACCTGCATATCATTATTTGCATCCCTCCGAACACAATATAGCGCAATATATATAGAAGTTCAACCTCTAAATAATATCAACACAAATAATATGACAACAAGATGGTAATGTCATACGGGGAAAAATTTCATAAATATGAAATACCCCAGAGATTGGACAGGGAATGGAGGAACTATTTGTTGGCCAACCAACAGCATCGGCATTGATGGATTTCTTCTTTCGGAGGCACATAAATTAAATTAACAATCCATCAGTTAAGAAAACAATATGACCCTATTATCAAATGCCAAAAATCATACAATTTAAGTTTACGAAATACGTGTTCAACGAAATGGTGGTCACAGCATTTAGAACAGCAAAAGAATTAAATTTATGTTTATTAAACTGAGGTGGCTTTTACATTTAACACAATTAAATTAGAACAAAAAAATGTTCAGATTTTTACAGTTATTTATTGGTTTACGACAGCTGTTTCAAATTTATGACATTTATGGCAGAAACCGATAGATAATTGTTTCATGTTTATTGTTGCAAGTATGAAAATCACTCTTATTATCTTTAATTTGTAAATGGTTGGAATAAAATAGAACTCTCGAAAACATGAAATAAAATATCAAGTATGTTTAAACACTTGTAATTAGAAAAACTCTATTGAATATCGACAAAACATACAACAAACATTAAAAAAAAGATATTATTACCACATTATTAGTATTTTCTTTTACATATCTCCTGGCTGCTAACCCTGCATTTTGTTTTTTTTTTAATTTACCTTGATATCCTTAAGAATAAAACATTTGCAGCCAACCAAGATGGCGTAAAGATACGGTACAACAAATTTTAAAATATTAAATTTAAAGGTTACTTAATCTCAAACATTGGTGGACCGACTAAACAAAATAATTTCTGGATGTTGGGGACGAATTAAAGCTAGGGTACAATTTTTGTAATATTTATTGACACAAAAACTAGACTGTTGTACATAAAGGTATATCATATCGATTTATAATAGTGCACCTTTGTTGCTTACGTAGGCACGTCTCTTCAAGTACATGTAGTAACAGCACAAGTACAGTCAAGCGATTGGAAAACGTAAACGTTGAAATGCGGTTTTAGACAAATTAAAGCTTCGGATAAACAGTGCTTGGCATACATAGTTATCATATAATGTTACGGTACATGCACCACTTTTAATTGTATAGTCAAACACTTAATGGAATAATGTAGTTACAACTACTATAAATATTTTAAATATTGTCGACTCCACTGCGATATAATAATACAACAAAAAATCGTCAAAAATGTTAAAACAATTGACATACATTAGGTACACGCCTGCGGCATTTTCGATTTTGGTCATGTTGGCGGACGAAGTCAAACTCGGATTGACATTTAAATATGTCAAGTTATCTCCGTCGTGACAGTGGCGTTGCTAGGAACGAACAAATATGTCGGTAAGGTTTTATCGACGCGACTTCCCATAATAACGCCCTTTTCGATTACGTCGTTCGAAAACGATCAATCGGGAACATAAACGGAAAATTTGGCTGCTGCATCGATGACGAAAATTTTATTTCCGACGCTCTCTTCGCCGATTGTGGTATTAAAACCGGCCTCCGACGCCCTGCGCTTTTTGTTATCGTTGGTTTTGAACCAAACTTCGTCGCGAAACAACATTTTCAGACTTCCTTTTTCGAAATTCGACGGACGATCGTTACGAACACGGTGCGCATTAAAACACTTTAACTGACTGCTTAAAGAGAAATACATTGCCGCTCCGCTTACTCTATTATGAATGACTGAAAAATCAGCGCTCTTATCAATCGATATACCCCTGCCGTAGATAATGCCATCCCCGGTGGGGTAGTTACGGAACATGCTCAAAACGTCAAAACATCGAGCTCTCGTTAATCGCGTAAATAAGCACACTCACCTAGGGAACTATATAAAAAGTAGCAGAGGGCCGGGATCCACATTCCCTGGGACGGGGTGGCTTCGAACGCTTCTAAGAATTCGACGAAAAGAACGCCGAAAGATTTCACGGTACCGGGCACCAGAATGTTGACCAGCGTGGCCCCGAACAATACCAGCCACCCCCATCCTCCGTCAGGCGGTACCAGCTTCACTTTTTCCATCGCTTTTTCATTCTTACTAGTCTCCACGAAAACCACACCTAGAAAAACCAAGAGCCAGTAAAGCGGATTTCCATATTTCTTTAATTCTAAGCACGCGTTTTAAGAACATTCTTTAAAAAAAAAAAACGGAATTAAAGCAACTTAATTACCCTCTCATCGTGTGGCGAAATCAAATCGCTACTAAAATGTTGACCGAGTATATTGACTTATTGATGATTGATACTCTAGGTCCTTTTTTTTAGCACATAATACATGTTTGCCGTGTTTATTAGAATTATATTTTGCACGCCATATAAAGATTGATTCACGTTCTATTGGAAATATTCGAAATTCTGTAGAATTAAATAGGTTTTTTGTTTCAAATTTGGTATATGGCTCTAGTGCCCCATGATTCTCTTTGAAATTTAGAAGCACCTGCAGCGTTGCCATTTCAACTCGATAACATTGGAAATTTAAATGGAACTCCATGTATAGTGGTATCTTTCTGGTTTTGCGCAAAATTCTGAGTAACTTTTTTATGTATTTGGTTTACTTAATACATTTGTTTCACTGATTTTGAAAAATATTTTTTTTGGTGTGTGGCAAATTTTTGTATTCCGTAGTAATTAAAAATGTATTAAGCAAAAACAATATCTAAAAAACACATTTAAAACATTTTTCCTAAAAATGGGAAAGAGTGTTGTCAGTGTCAGTTAATAAATAAAAATTCCATAAATTTTCAAAACGGACAACTTGAATTAATTAATTTTCTTCATAGAAAAGAGCAAGTTTAACGCAATTAAAGCCAAATAGAAAAAAGCAACCAAATATTTTTTTATCTGATGCCTTGTATCTTTTAGCTTAAAAACGTCAAGTGGGTTTGTTGAATTCAAGGATGATATCCATCGGTGAATGAATAGTGGAGTGAATACTCAGACCCAATAACGTAAAAATAGTTATTTATTCACATATTGGATTTTTTTTAGATTAATTTGTTTATTATCTAAAGGTGATTATTGTTATTTTTATTATTATCGGAGTGAATAGAATAATAGAATGAAAGTAATGCGACAGCGACATTAGTACAGGCAGTTTATTATAATAAAAACATTAATAGTTATTATACATGATTATAATTATAGAATTATAGAGATAAGCAGATAATTGAGATATTAATTATTCCAACATCAAGGAAATTAAAACGTATATAGAAGAATATTATAAAAATACATAAATTGTAATAAATATCATTTAAAAAAAAACATTTTGCATTTGTCAATTTTTTCCCAGTCGGCAGCTGAACTATAGTAAATAGAGTCCAGAATAAGCTAGTCTACAGTGTTTTTTTATAATGTTATCAGCTTCTTCTATTACTCCAGCTACTGCAATCCACTTTCTTTATTGCCTCTCGTATGAGGGTTTCAACTTCAATCATTTTAAAGTGCTTACTACAAACCCTCTTGCTTCCGCCCATAACAATTCTATAGAGTTTAATTCAAAATAACAAAATATCGTGCACAGAGGTTTATTTAAATTTATAATCTACAGCATATCTTTCTGAAATCGTGTATTATTTATTTTTATTTATTTATTTTTTCTAACAAACTCGGAAGCCATTTCCAAGAATGAACTTTGCCAGCAACTATGGGACACTCTGATGATTTACCACGTGGGAATTGGACGTTCAAATGCATTCGTCAACCCCTGTAGTAAAATTTAGAAATAGTCGACTTACGCAAAAAATATTAAAACCCAAAGGCCTAAAGACATGTTCCGCGTTAACTCCTAAATGTAATAAAAAATTATTTTCTTGTTATCTTTTTAAGTACCAGTTTGGCAAAACAACTATAGGATGTTGGTGAGTTTGGTATCCGTTTTAGAAACAAATGACGCAAGTTAGTATGAATAATTTCGCCGTTCGACTAATTGGCATCAATTTAACTGATGGGTTTGTCGACTAAACATTAATTTAAGTTCTCGATCATCTCTGGACTATTTTTTAATTCATCTTCCGACGGGCGTTTCCTACTGCCAGCTATACTGACTGATGTAGTAATAATCAACAACCACGGAAATTCTATTAAGTTGTATAACTAATATTATGTTATTGCTTATGGAAACTGAAAACCCCAAATTGAAAACGTAAACATTTGCTTTATTAATAATTGCCTAAACAACGTATAATTTATCTACAAAAATTATTATGGATTGTTTGTTTCGTTGTTAGATGTTCGCTATCCACTTCGGATTCGCAATTGATAATAATATTTAAATACGAATTTAATAACCACAAACGCAAGTTCTCACTTTTATGCGCGTCACGTCGAAGTTGTTATCGATATTTTTTAACCGAATCAAAGTAGTTTCTTCAAGGTTTAAGACAAAATATTTATTTTAAACGATATTAAACATATATGGTGTTCCCGACAGTTCATACGTAAAAATACATCGATCGATAGAAAGATAGCGAAAAAACGATGTCAATTTTTATATGCAAAAAATAAGGTATACCTCAAAATATCTAAATATTGACCAGGGACGTATCTTCGCGATTATGAGCATAGAAATTCAGCATCCACACTAACAGAGTGATTTTGATATTAAAAAATAGAAACGTCTATGCAACCAGGCGATGACTTGTTTTTAATCTACTTTTATCCCAAAGACAATCTATAGTGGTCTGTTTAATGCAATATGCGACAATCAATAGTTATCTGATCAAATAAGATCACTGACCCAGACTCATGTAAACCTTATCCGTCGATGTTATCGTACTTTATTTGCTTATGTACCTCAGGTAGGCAAGTATTCTATTTTTCTAACAAGACGAATTTCGTTTTTTTTTTTCTTCAAATGAAACGGTACTTTTTACGCTGTTTAGTCGAACGGAACGCTGCACTGTTCGCAAACAACTTTGAGGTCAAGGTGAGGAACTAGGACGAAATTTCTGGTAAAACTAAATGAATGTTCTTAATAACGCGAGCGAGCAGATGTTAAAACAGAAGGTTTAAATCCAAGATTTTCAAACGAAAGTCGGTAAACGTTAAATGATCCGTCAAGGGTCGGAACTTACTTTTGTTTCGAATAATTTCTGCTGGATTTCGCTGTTTTTGAGTCCCATCCTCGCCGTTTTGTAAGTTAACACTTCTGGTAGGTTTCGCTAGTAACGGCTCTACGGCCCCGGTTTGGTCAACTTTTGCTTCTTTATTCATTGTTTTCGGAATAGCGACAAGAGGGCGGACGGTGAAGTCAACAACACACAACACTACATAAAATCACAAAAACTCGTGCACGTGTATATACCAGGCGCGCTGAAATTTTGCGGTATACCCGAACAGCTGATTCCGATTGTATCTTGCGAAAACGTTACATTTTTTCATTTCACCGTCAACACGCGTTAACAGAGACGGGCATCGCAAAGCTCTGTGAAAACGATTCTGAGTATTTACTAACGAGCAAACCGAAGCCCACAGGGTTGTCCACCATAAAAACAGCTTGGCGTCTATCTTTTTTCCAAAGAGATAACCAATTTACGGATTAAAATGAAACAATATACTAACGAAGGTCAAATAATATTCTATTCGAGCAGGCTGGTCAGCTGTGTTATTCACAAATAAACTTTAAATACCATTTTAACGTTTAAGTATGTTAACTATCGTCGATAAAGTACCGCAAATTAGAAAAACGCCTCGCTTTTAACGTTAGTTCGTTTGCAATCATTGTTGACTCCCGCCACAACAGTCTTATTAACACTGTTTGTTTAAAATGAAATTAAATCCAATATCTTATCTTTTACAGAATTCCGTTCTGTCGGTTATGTTGGTCCATAATCCCCTTCGAATCATAAAACTTTCGCACGAACATTCGGTGTAAAACCTTCCGTCCGTGGCATATTACAATATGTCGAAACTATAACAAATTAACATTTGACGAAATTCGAACTACAATGTAAATTAAAATTAATTCGTGTTGTTGTGTGCCGCACAACAAAACAAAGTATGCAACCATAGATCATTTGTCCGCCATATCGCTATGATCTTTGTGGGGTGGATTATTGAAGAAGCATGGCTCATTTTTATAACTTAGACTATATGAATTTTCTTCCTTTTATTCGATTCGATATTCGATTTACCTTTCATCAAAAGTCCTGATATTTAATCAAGATTGCCAATATAATCAGTACAAACGAGTCATACTTTTAAAAAATTGAACTGAGGTAGCTTTTACTTAAAGAAAATCCATTTAACAAGGTAAATTAAAACATAAGATGGTCAGATTTTCACAAATTATTGGTGTATGGCAGTTATATTTGATAAAGGCCGAAACAGCTGAAAATCTGAACATCGTTTGTTTTAACTCAACTTCATAGTTTTTCCTTTAGACTCAGACTTTTGTTTTATGAACCCATCTCAATCAAAATTATTCATATTCATTAACGCAAGGTTCTAATAACAATGTTTACGATTAGGTTTTAGAGATGAGTGGTTTAAAAATGATCTTCCCGAGTTTTGCATGATAAATAAAATAAAGATTTTACAAATGAAATATTTAAGGATTGGCTATGACCAAGAGATAATTTTATTTACAAACTAAGGACCAAGCAGTCTATGCTAGAAAAGGATTGATTTGTAATATATTTTTTGCCCGCTGATACCTGTTAAAATTAGCAATGTCCATTAGTATATACGATTAAAAAAACTCCATTTATAATAATGAATTTATTTCATAACTCTTTCATAATTATTTCATACTTATTTCATAATTATCCTGAATTGCCAAAGATATTGTCATGACAAATGTGATTGTCATATTGCGATTCGGACATAGTGGTAAAACTACAAAAATCGCAACGCATGAGTCGCCTATTTAGATAATGCACCTGCTTCTCGTGGCTTTCCAGCTCCCTTTTTTCCGCTACGCTGAAATCGCACAATTTGCACTTGAAGGCGTTCTTATATTCGCGCACCTGGTGAACAAAATAATGTTTATACATGTTCTTAAGTAACTTCGTCTCAAATGAGCACTCATTGCATTTGTATACTTTGCTGGTACTTTGTAACTTGGCCTTGTCTTCTTCCACGTGGACCATCATGTGCTGATGGATCACGGTAGGTCTGAGCGACTTAAAATTGCACTGGCTGCACTCGTAGCGAAGGACTTTGTTTTGCTCCAGCTGCTGGAATATTGTACTTGCCTCGGTAGTTGCAAATGCGCAACCCCTATTTGGAAGCGGAACTAAAATTTCAATATAATTTTAATCAGGATCTACATAAAAGAATGTTTTGAATATTGCCTTCTAGCTTAAATGTAGGAACTCCTGTGCCATCAGGATTTATATCTGTCTCCTCCATCTGAATTATAATTATTTCTTCATCCTCTGGGGTACTAAAAATATATATGTGTGTTATCATTTTGTTCATTCTTCAGCTTTGAACTAAGTTTAATACCATAAACAGTATCAAAATCTAAAATCCTACCTAAATAACTCTTCGATTTGGGGATTGTTTGAAGCAACAGCGGCAATAGTCTCTTGAATTGGATCATCAATAACTTCTGGCTTGTTGTTACTGCAATTTTCTGGCTGTTCGGGCTCCAACAAAGATTCAAGTGTTTCCGGAGGTTTCACATCCATCTGAGTGTCGAATATATCCTGAGGCAAACTTGTATCCGTGAAGGTTTCGCAACTGTACAGTAGCTAAAATCGCAGCGCTTATTCTCTCATTAACTATCCGATAAAAGGCGAACTCACGTTATAATGGTCTTCGCAATAATACAACCCGGCGTTTTCTATATCAGTAACGCCAGTTAAATCACACAAACTCTTACACTCCAAAGGAGGAAGAGGGATAAATATTTTATCTGAGCTTTCGCTTGTATTGGTACAACCCGCTACGATGCAAGTTTGAATTTCGCTCATGATTCAGTTAACTAATTTGTAAGCGGCTTATTTACATCTTATTCCGGAATGTAAACAAAATGAAGTAACCTCTTTCAAGCAATTGTTTTGATACTCTTCTTCTTTTTTTTACGAACTGACAGTCTTAATCAAGAACATTCTAGCAAGAAAAATGAATTTTAACACCGGGCGAATAATTCTAGCAAATGGGGTCACTAGATGTAAGGGAGAAGAAAAAAAAACCTTTGACAATTTGCGGTTAGGATGATCGTAATAGTTCAACTTGTATAGTCAACAGTGTTAAAACGACTGTTTACTTTTATGTAATAACTTAAAATAAGCAGCACTTCTCTGGATGGCGGGAATAACACAAACTTTCTAAAACAACCCCTCAAATGCGGGATCAAAATCTATAACGTTTTACGTATTCAAGTAAAGGGAAATATTAGTACATAGACCACTAAATTTTAATTTTGGACATGTGCATCTTTTGATGCATATAATGCATCATAAGGGTTGTTTCTGCTGCTGCGGAAACGTCACAATACACTCACAATCACCTCATGTAGTTTTACTGGTTTGTAATATGTTTAGTATATAGAACATTACACAATATGTTGGGGGTTCATCAAACATATTCGTTATCTTTAGGGACATTGGTGAAGCAACTTTAAGAAAACCCTGTAAAACCTAAATTTTTATATATAATTGCAATTCTATTTAATTTGGTGATGTTTAAATTTGAATGAATCAATTAATTAAAGTCGCATTACAGTCAATTAAACGATGTGAGGCACTATGATGATCTCGGAAGTACTTAAAACAGGATACAGGATGTATTAGTGAACCGTCAGTTGAGCATCCCCCTTGTAAACGATTATAATCGATGTCGATATGTCCGTGGGCCTGTTAGAGTTAGCTACGAGGGCTGATCAAGTTGTAATCGTAATAAATAAAAACTACCGAAATTACGAAAAGTCACATTTTAATGACGCAAAACTGAGTTTTTATAAAATACTGAATGAAGATAAATTATCGATATGTCTTACATATATATATATATATATATATATATATATATATATATATATATATATATATATATATATATATATATATATATATATATATATATATATATAGTTTATGACAACAAATTGCGATGCGCACCGTATAAAGTGATGAATGCGAACAAGTACTGTCTGACGCTTTATGTAACAAAGCGACAAGTGGTCGTAAAAATTTTTCTCTAACATGTACCTCTATATGTAAAAAAAAAAGTTTAAAATTTACTTCTACATCTTAACAACCAATACTAACTATAAATACCGGGAATTACATTTATACCTCACCACGGCTATAACTTAGCTATACCGTTGATGAGACGGCGTGCGACTGCATTCTTGTCCGAAGCGTTTTGACGTCGTCATCTATCCTTATCAGCAGACGGAATTTCTGCAAAGATTTTCCAAAAATTAACGATAACGAGGTGACCGGCAAATTTCCCCTACCGTTTTTCTATCCCCGGGCGTGGTCACCCAAAGATATATCATGTATCCGGGTATGCATAACATGGACGAAAGCGCGGTGAACCAGCCGAACAGATGAGCCCACAACGGAAACTCGTAACTCAAATACTTGATTGGCTTCCACTGGATCAGGTTGAAAATGAAAACGCCCTTAAAAGGAACCGAGTAATTCTCGCGTAACGCTTCGTGCTATGGACTTACGATGCAAATCACCGGTGTCGCGACGGTCCAGCAAAACTTCCACCACGAGATCGGGTAATACCCGATCATTTCGTTGATGCCGTCGTAAAATCGGTTGACGCCAAACGCCCAGGAAACGGCGATGCATTCGAAGAATATCAAAAAGAGCAAACTGAACCCGCTAACTGCGTAGGAGTCCAGTATTTGAAAGACGTACATTCCACCCTAAAAGCATAATCAGTTAGCAGCAAACGTGCTAACCTACTTCCTGTTAACCATTTATTACTTGCGATATGCAGGACAAACCGACTAAATACGATATGGCGCACACCACAGCGATAAATGTTTCCTTCCTTTTCCTTAACAGTTTTGGCCATTCGTCGATGATCGCCGTTACGAAACCCTCCATCGTGCAAAATTGCGAATCCAGTCCGATCAGGAGGATCATGAAGAAAAAGAGACAAGCCCATAGAGGAGAACCGGGCAATTGCAAGACTGCTGACGGGTAAGCTAGGAACGCTAACCCGGGTCCTGAAATGGATGTATTTTGTGGATCAAAAGGTATGACTTTCAACAAGCGCTTTACCCGATTGAGCGACTTCGCTAACTGGCCTTTGTTGCTCGTGCGCCATGAAGCCGACCACCGAAAATATGACGAAGCCTGCGAACATGCTAGTGCTGGAGTTGACCAAACAGACAATCAGCGCATCCCTAAAAGAAAACGATGGATAAATTAGCGATTTGCTAAAACCGGAGGCGTATCAATACTTGTAAACGTTATTGGTGAACTTGTTGTAACTCCCAAGCGCGACCAGAGTGCCCAGACCTAAGCCGTATGAAAAAAAGATTTGAGTGACCGCATCGATCCACACGCCCGATTCCGATAATTTGGATATGTCGGGCATGACGTAGTACTTGATGCCCTCGAACGCGCCCGGCAAAGTAACCCCGCGGATAAGTAATATGGTTAGAAGTACATAAGGAAACAAAGCGGTGAAATATACGACTTTTCCGGTCCACTTAACACCTTTCCAAATGCAAAAGTAGCATATTATCCAAACCAGCAGAAGTGTTCCCGCCAATTCCCATCTTATAGAACCGACATGTTCGATACCTTCTGATATTTGGAGCGCTCTGCGTCTGCAAAATGAAACATGTAAACCGCCCGACATGTTACGGTCGTCCGAAATAGTTACTCCCAAAATTCTTTGACCGGGTCCGTTAACTCGCTTATGGATACGTTGCTTCTATTTATCGAACACATCTTGGTTAGAGTGTTGTTGATAGAATATTGTTCCCAACAGCTAAGCTGACCTCTGTCGTACGGATTCACGCAAAATTTTGTATTCCAATAGTTGTTGCAAGTTCTCCAGGGAACATCTGAAATATAGTCGTTACATCGTTTAAGCAAAGTCTGTAGACGTTCGTACCAGTTCTTAGAGACATGAAGAAGTAGAATATCGCCCAAGCGAGGATGACGATGTAGTAAATATTCATCCAACATGACATTACGGCAGCTGCGTATCCAATGCCTGAAACGAATTGGATCTCTCAAAATAACATCGACCAGGTGGTACCCATTTACCTTTAAAGATGGGTGCGATCTTGAACACTCCTAATCCGCCGATGGTCATCATTTGTCCCAAAGCCAATTCCATGAAAAACATGGGAATACCAGCCAAAATAAGCGTGATAAAATAGGGTACCAAAAACGCACCGCCACCGTTTTTGTAACATAAGTAGGGAAATCGCCACACATTGCCTAAACCTATGGCTAACCCTACCACCGATAAAATAAAATCTAGTTTAGTGTCCCAAGTACCTCTTTCGGGCAAGTCTCTATGTTTGATATACTGTATCTGGTTTACAGAATTCACGATGCTCGTAAGAGGTGGCAATTCAATCTCCTCGTGCCTATTTAGATGGAACGTGTTTTTCATGCATTCGTGAGCCTCGGATCCCTTTCGATTCGCCATGGTTTTTTTTTTCTCGTAAAAACTTCTTGTCTTTACCAACGATCGAAGGTGTTTATAGTCAGCTCATTACAATCCTGAAATTAATAAAAAGACTTCATACATTTGCTGGCGTTGCTCTCGAAAGATGCCACAAAAATTCAACATTTATTTTGCCAATAATTTGTGTTCCGGATCCCGATTTTTTTCACTTATCTACCACTCTTATTGACTTTTGTTGATTTTTTTAGTGGTTGCGGTAAATCTAATAATAAAAGTAAAAACAGTTCGGTCTCTGAAATTCCATTTCCGAACCAATCACTTCTCTTAGTCCAGAACTAAGGAGCATAAATATTCAAATTGTGTGGGCTTTAACAATCCTATATACATATTATCTGGGGCATTAATATAGCATAAATGGCTATATCCGTTAAAACATTGTCTGTTTGGTTTAGTCATTTAGCAAAGTCCCTTTTTTAGAGCCTCAAATCAGACACTATGGAGTAATCACGACAATTAATGTTTGTCGACTGTTACGATAGACGCGAAATAGAATAAACACGTCGAGTTTTTACGAAGCTTTTTCTCTCTCTCTCTCTCTGAGCTTTTATTCACTGCAAAACCCTTCAGGAAAAAATGTAACTCCTCGTCTCTAAAGTAAGTAACTCTCTCTACAAACTAACACGATTTTTTCTTACATTTTAGCATTTATTCAAAAACCACTTTTATTTTAAAAGACCAAAAATAACTGAACTGATAAACAATATCGCAGAAGCGTGGCCACAATTACGTAAAATTTCTATTCCACGAATTACCCTGCCTGTTTTTTTTATGGCAGGACACAAAAAAAATTGAAAAAGAAAAAAGGTAGATGGGTGAGATTTCTCGAAATACCAGCAAGTCAAGTCAACTTCTTCCTCCATATATATAAAACAGACCCCACTACCACTAAAATATATTAAAAAAACTTACGTATTCGCCCTGTTGCTTCAACACTGCCGTTAACACTCGCGACTATGAATTGAAACGAAACGGGAGTTTTACAAGCGAACTCCCAAGAACAGCAGACAACTGATGAAATCCTGCCGTGGAGCGCGCGGAATCTGTCTCAAATTCTATTCCTGCGAAGGGACAAACCAAACCCACTTGATGATACTGCAAACTACGTAGTGCCTTTGGTTATACGTGCAGGCTATTCAAAATTTCAATTGGAAGGGGAGCGCATTATTGTTAATTTTGATTGTATTTTCGTGAATCGTATGACGTGTAGCAAACGATTATTAATACTGTTGCAAGAAATTAGAGTACGCGGAATTTCACGAAGGCTCAAACAAATCAACAGGAAATTTGAACAGATCAATCCTTATGGAATATAAATAATAAGATTCTTAGCTACATTTAAAAAAGAAATTGACTAGAAGTAAAGGGAGGTTCTATAGACATACCAACACGTCAATTTGGGTTCACGATCGTTTTATATACAGGGTGTTCAAAAAATAGACGTAAATATTTTAGAGGGCAAATGTTTTAATAAAAATCGCGTGTGTAAGGGTCTATAAAAAAAGATAATTTTTCAAAAACCGTTTCCGAGACCAACAAAATTCTTGAACCAGAAGAGACGCAGAAGATACGGCTCTATAAACTTTTATTCCTGCCAATTTTTCAAAAATTTACAAGGTGCAAATAACAAATAACAAATAACATCTATTTCAGGCATTTTTTCGATTATATACAGGGTTTTCAAATTACAGGCAAAAATCTAAAAGACCTAAAAATTGTTTTTTCACAGAGTAAATTATTAGCCGCACATCAAAAATAATTGGTTCAAACGGTGTCATAGACCGCATCAAGAGCTACAATTTTTTTATTTGCGATTTTCGTCTATCACAGATGCTGCTCGGGATATTTGAAAAAATCCATATTGAAATCGCTATTTCGGGGGCTGTCAAGACGCCATGACGTCATTGATTATTACGGCGCACTATTCACTATTTTCAAAAAATTCTTGAACCAGGACGTGTGGAAAATCCACCACCACCTCTACTTCGAACAATGATTTTATCATATACAGGGTGTGTCCTTTGTAAAATATCCTAAAAATTTCCGTTTTTGTGGCTAAATTATTGGCGATAAATGAAAAACCGTTAAAGATGTGATAATTTTATTTGAACAGTATCGTAAACCGTATCGTGAGAGTTTCAGGTTTCGTCAATTATACAGGGCGCGAGATATTTGAAAAAATATCATTCGACCACGCTATTATTTGCGCAAATTTTGATATTTACCGAAGTTTGCTGTAACTTTGAAGTTCCGCGAGATGTGAAGGACATTTTATACAGGGTGCATGCACAATTAAATTACATCTTGCCCCGCCCAGTGACGATTTTTCGAAAGCAATCTTGTTGGATATCCAGAACTAAGGCAACCGTTTTTCAGATATTTGGTCGTTTAAGAAAAAACTAGTTGAGCACGGAATATTTGTTCACTCGCGTCTTAGAACATACGGTCAGAGGATCTTGAAGAAATTTAAGTATTATCGATGCATTTGTGGCATTTGCAACAAATCGATGCTGATGATTTATTTGGCAGGCTTGTCAGGGCATTTTCATTCGTCGCAATATGAGGAATCGGTGTCCTCACGGAATAGGTACCAACGAACCAGTAAGATGGCATCCTCGATCTCCCTAACTCTCCATTTTAGATTTTTTTTATGGGTCTATAGACAAAGTACATAAAACACTATACGACAGCATAGCAGAACTTCGAGAAGCAATCAGTTCATTTAGCCTTTTGAAATCTGCGAATAAGACCAATGATTCTTTTTAATTGTGCCAATTTTGGATTAGAGAAAATGGTCGTCAATTTGAACATTGCCTTTAAGAATTTGTTTCTTTGTTATATAGTTGTCACCTTATGCTACACAAATGTTGTTGCAAACTTATTATATAACTAACTGTTATTATAAAACTTCAAACGATATATAATTCTTCGTTAGCAATATCTTTATACTATATTATATATTATATTTATACTATTTCCGAAGGCGGAAAAGTTATGTAAGACAGTTTCACGAAAAATAGTACACTGTCTAGGAAAGCGCAACTTTTTATCTATAAAAATAACGGAAATACCTCGCAAAAGTACCCAAAATTGGGGACCCTGTATTTTATTTGTGCCACTGGACTTAATAATTACTCTTACTGTGCATTTCCAGGCCCATGTTATAAAAACTTTGCTTTATATTTTTTAACGAGGAATCGTCCTCTCAAATATCTCCGTATATTTTTCTAACACCCGGTATTTAAATAAATTACAATATTTTCGGAGGATTGGATAATAAAAAATAAGTCTGAAATTAGTGAAATAAAAAAACGGTTCTAGCTAATATCAGTTTTAGAAAAGTCTAAAAAACTCAAATTATATTTTTCTTAATGTGCATTTTCCTGATTTCTTAAAATCGATTTACTTTGTCTAGTCAAATTTCAACTGCGACGTTATACGTTTTTTATATTACATTGATAACACAATTCGACAATCGACTCCAATATTTTTTAAAATATCTATTAACGACCTAACTTTCAGACAAGCTTGTGACTATATATTACCTGATGAGTACCCACGTAGTTTATCGACTGAAATGGACTTATTGATAAAGCGAGCGGACGCTCGCTAACGTATCGACCGGCCCTCGTAGAGCATTTCCCAGATAAATAAGGCTGGTGATCGGAAACCCGGCTCCCTTCTCGACGATATATAACACCGTTTATAATGTGGCGCCCAACCGATTATTTACTTCCGCATTTTTCGTTTCACCAAACGTACGAATAGGGGGGTAAGATCAAAGGGAAAACGCTTTTGTCTAATTGCTGACTAATTTCTCTTTTTCTCCTTCCCTGTCGCGCGCGCTTTTCTTTTTTACTTTTTTTTTAAATTGATATAAAACGCACAAAATGCTTGAAGAAAATAGCCTCATTTCGGCAATCAAGGAAACCGCTGTTTTTTTATTGATCACGTTTGATTGATCAAGGATTGTTGATTGCCAAGTGGATTTGATGAAAGAACGTCAATCACATCGTCAAAAGTACTGTAAGAAAATCAGAGTGCGTGAGTAAGTTTGAAACGTTGTTTTCAAATAAAGATGTATTATCGTACGATATGAAAATACAGTGATGTACGAGTCTTGCCCTCGCTCGCTTGTCTCGCTGAGATATTGTCTATAACCTCCATTTAGACACGATGATCTCTTATTAGCTACAGAAAATTCACAATACTTGTTGTTTTATAAAATTAAGTTGGTTAAAAATAAGAAATGTGATGAAGCACAACTTTCAACGCTGTTTGTCTAACCTTCCTAAATATTTGAATGACAAATTAGCATTTCTGAGACTCCCAGCGACACTTACGGTGCTGTTACTTAGAACTGGGAAGATCCCGATGTAAATCTTCGCAGTGGCTCATGACTGGATAACTACCCTCCATTCCAAGATGCAAAAACTTTAAAAACCTGCGCTGTACTTTTTCTAACACATCAACTTTAAAAACTGGATACCATACTATAGACTAGATACTCCATACTCCAGTCTAGACCTAACCATTGAGTTGACTAGAAAAGTGAAGTTTGTAAATTCGAAAGTACTACAATTTCTATTAATAAATCCCAACATCTTCACAACGAAATTTACCGTGCTGGAAATATGTGCAACAAATGAGAGCCATCTGTGAAATTTAACTACACCTAATGCAAGACCAGCCGAGTAAACGGGTCTGCAACATCAATTAAGAACATCGAGAATAGTAAACGGCCAAGATTCGATTCTTGTGGCAGCCCTGACGTGGCATAAAAGACCTCTAGCAACCTTAACAACCTTAGTAGCAAAATTAGTCACTGTTAACCTATAGTCAATGAAACTGTGCTGAGGTGTTGAAATTAACGGCTTTATGGTCGGAGAACCTCACCCGAGAACAGGAGCACTATTCCTAACAAGGAAGTTTGGAATGCCGTCATGCGCTCATACTATTAATTACTTCAGTTTCAGCCATATATTTCATTCAAATAAAGGAGTTCCTAACCCCTTCAACAGGCATCGCACACCCATTAACAATATCCTGGGGACTTTCAAGCATGTTATTGATGTATTTGAGTGCGTTTGAAATTCTTGTCCGAACTTTTTTCGCTTTAACGTATGCTTACATCCGGATCATTTTTTATTTGATTTTCGATTGGAACTAAATAATTATTATGTGCCTCTTGCACATCTCTAGGTAATCTTAATAAGACTATATTATTATTATTGTTCATACGTGCTTATTCTAAAATCAAAAGGAGTTCGACTGGTGTACGTTGTTCAGTCATCGCTTTACTTCCTTTGGGTGTCCCTATGAAAAAGGATGTGTCTAATTAGGAAGTGATTTCTAGGACGTTGTGCTCATGAACGTTTAATTGTCATCCAGAGTTTTAAAATACGATTCATCAAAAAAACACGTGGAAGTTAGGAACTTCAAACTGGGACATTTTAACATAATTTACTATGCGTCAGTACCATTTGGAGTAACGGAATAGAATAATTTAATGCGTAATAACAACAATTATTTAGTATTATTTAGCAACCTAATTCTGAAAAAGTTACATAAATTTAAATAAAATATAATTAAAATATTCATTCCGAATTTTCAGTGACCCATGCATAAATGTTTGCCGCATTTTTTTATAATGAAACTAACACTGCCAACGGTTGACTGATTTAATTAGTGGATGTGAATATTGCGACGTTTTTTATGTTTAACCGTTTGCGATAGAACTTGCAAATTGAATTTGAATTGCCATTTTCGCGCGCGCCGCCTATCAACAATTTCTGGAACTGTGGCGAGGATAGTTTGTAACGTTTCGATAAGGTGTCGCTAGTATACAGCAATGTAATAAATTTTCCAAATTGAATAATAAAAAAAATAAATTATTGTACGACAAACGCAGAACTATTGTGTCCAATCTCGGGGCAACTTAATTAAAATATGGAAATATTTTCCAGATCAAGGCCAAACAAAAGTGACTTTTATTTAACGAAATCCGAACAGTTTTTTTTTAATAAACAATGTGTGAGCAAAAAAATCATTCGGTAGGCCATTCTACATAATTGAATAAATAAAAATGAAACGAATGAATCCTACGCAAGGCGCGACCGCATTAATAAACAAATTAACAACAGCGTATCATGGCAAACCAGACCCGGCCAAGTTGAAAAACTGGAAGTTTAGTAATTATTAAAGTAATTAGGATCGAATTATAGTAAAACATTTCATGTTTACTGCCGACGGCGTTGTCTGCAATTTGGTTTCATTGAGATTCAAATGAAGTGGTTCAGATCCGCTACGGTATTTTTCAGTTTTAGTTTGCAATTCGAAGTGTGTGAAAAACGAGTTAAAAAGGTCCAATGTTCTGGGATTTCAGTACTGTTAAAATTCTTTCAGTAGCGTTTGAACAGCGATGACAGTGTTTTGAAATTAATATCCGAAAATGGCAATTAGCTGTTCGAGTTACGTTGTCTTCTTTGCGTTGTTAGTGGTTACGTTTATCGATAAAATGGGTTTATGTTTAGAAGGTAGTTATTCATTTTAATTTTATGCATTTTCATTATTTAACTTTCAAGACTTAAACCACTATCGTGGGATTGGAATCCCAGGTCTAAACCTGTCTGCGTTGGCTATTATTGTTGTTTTTGTCTCATACATACATATGGCAGATATTTTTGTTTACATTTAGCGTAATACTTCTTTTTTTTGCGAAATAAAGGATTTGGATTTTTCTATTCTTATAGGACTGATAAACGGCAATAAGCCCAAAATGGCAATAGGTTTAACGAAATAACCCCCCCGCCCATCTAATATTGATTGAAATTCTTGGGTTTTACCACATCTTTAACCTCGTCGATAATTTCCCCAATGATTAATGTAGACGTCTGGCATGCTGACATTTTGAAAAATTTTTTTCGTGAAGTAATAACCGCTCGAAAAAAAATGCATTATGACGCAACAATAAGTTTATGTATCTACTTGTGCACCAAAAGTATAATGAATAATTAAAATTAACAAATAGGAAACAAGTATAGCTTCATTATTCATTCTCAGAAAGTTGCAAAGAAATAATTTCTTAATTAAACGAAACACCCTGTATACTATTCCAATTTTTCCAAGATATTTGTATTATTTCAAATAAACTACTGTGACACTATTTACAACGCTTACAAATTTTCTGGATTATTCCTGGGTCGCTTGTGGATATTTCGCAAAACATAATGACAGAAAAATAATCCCAAAAACTACACACACAATCTTTACATTTTAAAAAAATTATTTTATAATTGTTTTTCAGTCGACGAAGAATGCGTTTTTGACGCCACCAATGAACGCGGAATATGCAAAATATCTCACGATTGCCCAGAGGTCGAAGAACTAGCCAAAAGGGGGATTCAACCATCAATTTGTGGATTTTACCAGTTAACAGTACCCATCGTGTGTTGTGAAAGTAAATATAAATATTTGATGTATATTGTACAGGCAAGACTAACACCACTTTGTTCTGCTAGCAAGTAAGGTTTTGATCTCAAGATCAAACTATCATGTTTATGTTCATATTATGAAATTCATGACTTTGAAATGATACTCAAACTATAGATTTACTGTCTATCTATTTAAACACGCTGTACAGTATGCAGGACGAATACTGCAAAAATTGTTACTGCTGCATAAGAACGACTTGTGTAAATTAAATAAGAGTCGTTTCGAATTTTTCAGATAAGAACTACAACAGTCCACCACATGTGGTGAACGATCACGTGATTTACAACCCAGATCAAGATACAATCGCATTCCCGGAAGATACGCCGAATCTGCAGCAAAATTCGTCACCTGCAGAATCGTTACGAAAAAGCGAGCAAAGTTGGTAGATCATCTTAGCCGTAACTTCCTATGTACTACTGATTAATTTTTTTAGAATGCATCGAATACACAAAACCAGTGACTGATGTCGTCCACGCAATTCCCTTGGTAACGCATATTGAACCAATCACCATCAACGTGGAAAAATGCGAATATAATAGTGTAGCCCTCATCGTTGGAGGAACCCCTGCTTCTGCTGCGGAATTTCCTTTCATGGTAAGGGCCAAGTCATTGCACTAGAGTTAAATTTGCTTGGACTTCTGGAAATGAAGCGGATGTCATTTAAATATATTAAAAATTTCAGGCTGCATTGGGTTTCCTGTCTGATGCGTCAAACATCGAATGGAAATGCGGGGCGACCTTAATAAGTGAAAGATTTCTTTTGACGGCCGCACATTGTTCATTTTCTAGAGATGCGTACGTTAGTACATTTTTATTATCTTTATAATAATTACCAACCCGGTGATAAAATATTTTTTTAATTCTAGAGACGCCCCCAAAATTATAAGACTTGGAGAGTTGGATTTCTCAAGATCAGACGATTCGGAACATGTTGATTACGACATTCAGCAAATTATAGTGCATCCTAATTATCGGTACCCACAAAAATATCACGACATCGCATTAGTTCAGTCCACCAGAACCATTAAATTTACCAAATACATTCGACCCGCATGTCTTTACACCAAAATCGATGTAGGTCAAAATAGTTTAATCGCTACCGGATGGGGTAAGACAGGTGAGAGCGCAAAAAGTCAGAATATGGCTTTAAAGGTGTAAAAATAACATTGATTACAGATTTTGCCGCAGATAACAGCGATAAACTTTTGAAAGTGACCTTAAGGTTGTATAGCAACGACGAATGCATAAGAACTTACAGAACCAACAAATATATACCCCTCGGGATCCAATCTAACATGTTATGCGCTGGCGATCTCAGAGGTGGAAGGGATACCTGCCAGGTATTATTTAAATTCATCCGATTTTAAAACAACGGCGGTAAATTTAAACGATCCTACAGGGCGATTCTGGTGGTCCTCTCCTCATTACACAAAAAGAGAACCAATGCAAATTTTACGTAATTGGAGTGACATCGTTCGGGAAATCTTGCGGGCAAGTCCAAACACCAGCTGTATACACCAAAGTGTCAGAATATGTTCAATGGATTGAAGATCAAATATGGTAGAATATAATTTTAATGTGTATTTATGATGTAAAAGGTTTGGTTTTAATTATATGCGCCAATCTATTTTGAAATTTGAAATAATTTATTTAAAAAAGTTTTTCAATTTGTAACGCAAAACATTTACAAAAAAAATTATAATATAAAAGCCTTTATGGAATGTATATTCAGAAACTTTATCCAGAGCGAAAAATTTATCCAGTAAAAAATTAAGATGTTTTTTTTTTAATTAATTCACAATAGGTAATAATAATTAATCACTGAAAAAATAGTTTGCCCCAGCTGCTTCTGAAATTGGAACACTATTGACTAGAACAAGTTCAACAATCACGTGCAATCGTAACTATCATGGATCGTATGCCATGTTAAACCATCTCCATCTGGCCAGTGTGGCGACGGTAAGAGCACATTCCGGAAGAAGGACCTACATTTAAATTTATTTACTAAATAAGCAGAGCCACTATCCTATCCCTACATTATACCTTCCTTGCACCAGACCTAAAAATAGTTGCCAGTTTTTTCTAGGCCCAAAGTTGTATGGATTTCGATAAACTTTTCCCAATTCAGAAAGTCTAAGTGTTTCAGCCTTATTTATATTTGCTTCGATGCTGGTTTCTCCTCGACTTATGAGTTGGGCATGCCACGTAGACAGAGCACCAAGCGCTATAAGCACACCTAAAATATTTCCAATTAACTTAAACTTCAATTACAGAAAATGAAAGATAATAAATACCACAATTGATGAGAGCCATATAAATTATAGCTTTTCTTTTCCAAGGATTAGGGGGCTCATAATCCAGATCCTCACCCAACAATGATGAGTCTAACAATATTGCATCGGTCTACAAAATCTTTCTATTTGAATTAACATATGTACCCTTATATAAGATCAATTGCACATATCTATATCGCTATACTACCCCTCTGCATATTATTATTTTAAAAACTGTGTTTTACTTTTTTGTGCGCGCCTTCAGGGTTTGTAACTCTCTAAGCAAAACCAATTTTAAATTGTAATCAGATATTGTGTTACGTATAAATAATAACCTACAACAAAACTTACAACTGGTATGAGAGCTCCTGTACGATTAATTTTAACTGAGTGGCCTTCAAGTTCTGGATAATCTAGTTCACTAACGCTCAGTGCTAAATTAGTATATGCAACATCAAATCCCGCTAAAATAATAAACAACACTCCAGCCACCATGTATACCATATACAGGAAAAAGTATCTGTGGTTTCTATAGCCAACACAATTGTTTAGCCATGCTGTACACCCAATTTAAGGTTCAACAATTAATTATATTTGACGGCCTGTATAATACAATGCTAGAGTAAAACAAGCTTGGTACAATTCAACAAAAAAGTTCGAGACATTGCCAGGTTTTGCAGTCTTGTACCAATCCAATAATAAAATGAACTAGACACAAAAGGATACGACAATGATGGTCCATTTTCAAAATACACCTATTACATACTGAGCAATGATGTGTGCGAGGAGGTTTTGGAGCAATGCATTTTTTACATATACTAACAGCCTCTGCTATTAATTCACCCTACGGAAAGTAAATACATAAAATATATTACCCCATACAAGATCAACATACCTCAGGTGGGAATCCTGGATGTGTAAAAACTGCCATGTAATAATGAAAACATATATTTAAAAGGAGCCAATGACCAAAACTGACCAAAAATATACAAATTAGGTAATTCCTATTCCACCAGTATGGAATTCCAATCCAATAGGCTATAATAACGACTGAGGCTGTAAGTGCCACTACCGCTATCACCAGTAACTGGAAGCAATAACCATTAACACATCTAGCTATTATCCACGCAAGTTCACTCACAGTGCCTATGGTATTCGTAAAGTTGTCCACAAACCAGAACATCGGACCCATGCAAATATCTGCCATATAACTCTGATCCATAAAATGATTGTATGTTAGAGAACGGAATGTAATTCGACATTTTTGGAAGAATGAGTGTACCGAAGAGCTAAAATTCTATCGTTATTCAAATTCGCAGGAGAATTATTTAACTCACAAAACGTATTTTGGTATGTTACTGAATTGCCAATAGATAGTTATCATCTTTTGTGTCTTTGGTGTCATGAAAGATATTTCATGGTTGAATTATGGGTTGGTGATCGTCTGATAATTACATTTAAAATTTGCAATCAAAAGTTTTAACCCTCTTCGGGTTTGGTAAACATTTTTGACAGTTGACATTCACTTACCCCAAGAATCGTAAACCTAGGTTTACGATTCTTGGCCTTACCCAGTTACAGTTTTGGTTCGAAGAAAACATGCAGAATATGTTTCCAAAATAAATAAACCAGGATATAATGCAAGGCTTGAAAAAAAACACTAAAAAAATATATTATAAAAAAGAGTAACCCCGAACCATCTTTGACAGTAAGCACTAAACCACCCCTAGATGCCCTTAATACGTAATGCCGGTAGGTATCCACCAAGTTGAATTGAACATAACCAATGGTCTTTAGCACTCTATTCTTTGGCAAGTTCCCACAATGGATAAGGTAAGTTTTATTATGGTTCTTGATATAGAGGGCGCTTTTAAAACAACTATTTTAAGCCCTTCAAGAACTCTGTATAAATCAATGAAGAAAAACATTTCGAGCAGATGTCTCGATATGTTGTGTGAGGGGTGTGGGGGGTGTAGACTCACCTTCTCACAACTCTTGAGTTGCCTAGTGGGAACACAAAGAGAAAGAACTCATGCTTATGCGATGTACTTAACACGGTAATTCACGTTAAGATGGCGCTGTGTCAGCATTCAGCTGTGGATTCAGTTAAAAAGCAAAACACTTAGGAAATAACACGACAAAAATGCTGACGTGACATTTATTATAAAAAAAGTGCCAATGTTCTCAACAACAATTTAATAATTGTCATTTTTAAGACAGATGATCGCAATACCTTGAGCAATTGTTATCAGCGGTAGAGGATAACCCGATTGCCGGAAGATGGTGTGAGAGGACAATCCAATTCAACTTAGAAGTCCTGCAACAAGATATGCATTTTAATGGTCCGTCATTAAAGATGCGATTATGCGACGCAAAATATTATCAAAATCCTTTTTTTTTAACTCTAACACCCCTTATTTTAAAATTCTATCAGCTATGATTCGATGTGAGAAAGGCGCTAGGTCTTATTTTGGTATTCTCTCACTTCTGTTATTTAACATCTACTTGGAGTATATATTTCAGCAAGCACTAGAGAACAGTGACATTGGTCAAATAATTAACAATATACGCTATGCAGATGACAGGGATATTTACAAACACTCCAAAAGGCTTACAAGAGCTGATAGATAATATTGTGGAATCAGGTTACTAACATGGCTCGAAAATAAATACAGCGAGTATATCGTAATATCGCCCGTTTAGGTGTAGAGGCTTGAGTTTCACAAATTCCTGGGCATCATAATATTGTTTATTTAAAAAATAAAACCGGAGTTGGTTATTACAAAGTTCTAAATTACTTCTTTTGAAACTGTAAATAAATACATCTGCTTGGGTGTATAAATAGTATATATTTTCTTTTGACATACATGTGATAAAATAAACGTACATAGATACATAAATAATTTAGACTAACTTCAATAAAACCTTAAATATGATATATCATTTAAGCATAGTTAGATATTATTTAGATTTGAATCTTTGAATCTGCTTCCTTGGGGTAGGCTGTCTCTGGCGAGCTAAAAAAGATTGACCTTGACCAGCAGTCAAAGCGGCCAAACGTTCGTCCATTGCTTCACGATGACAACTTAAACTCAAGTTGTAATATGCAGAGACCAATAAGTTTTCCTCAAATTCCTTTAATTGATGCCTTTTTAAGGAACCAGAATTTCCGTTTCCATTTGATTTATTTTCTAAATTCTGAACAATTTCTTTGGCTCTTTCTACGTTTCTATTATATTTAGCTTGAGAATGTTGAAGTTCGGCGTCCTTTCCAGCAAGTGCCTCTTGTAAGGTAGTGATTTTCTGTTTGTATTCTCTATTCTCTGCCAGTATTCTAGAACTGTTTGGTATATTCTGAACGTCGCCTTGGTTCTGTAACTTCAATTCCTCCAATTGTGCCTCTAATTTTAATAATGTCTGATTTAAATTGCGATTTTGCTGTTGGAGTTTATCAATTCTACTCAAGGCACTATCCAGATTTGATTGTTTAGTTTCTACTTCTTGATTTGTTAACCTTAATGTTTTATTTTCTTTTTCTAAGAATCGCAATCTTTCTTTCAAATCTGCCGGTGTTAATTCTTGAGACACGGCTGCACCTGTTTCATTCTTGACATGACCAAGCTTAAGTTCCTCATTTTCCTCTCTTAAGGAATCCCGTTCAGCAATTAGACGATTTTTTTCCCCATTAAGGGTAGCCAATTTCAGTTCTGCCTTTTCTAAATTAAATTGTGCTTTGTCTGCTTTTTGAGTCTCTTCATCTAATTTCTGCTCTAATTCTATTATCCTACTCTTATAGGTTTCGCACTGACTCCTCCAGGTGTTACTTTTTGATAACTCCTCTTCTAGTTCCATGTTTTTTTGAATATAATCTGTATTATTTTGCTCCAATTTGTGAACATGCTTCTTAAGATCCTGGTAATTCTCAAGTCTCTTTTTGTATGATGCAAGAGCTTGTTCTAGGTCATTTACCTTACCCGCTGATTCTGATAAAGCATCAATCTCATCCTTTAATCTAGATGAATCACTTACCGCTACCTGAAGCTCTGCAATTTTTTCCTGATAAGTAAGCATTTGTTTTTCTTGTTCCAGCAACTTAGCTTTAAAGTCATCTCTCATCACTTCCGCCTTAAATAGTTCCTCTTTAAGAAGTTCTATTTGTTTGCGCGTATCTGGAATTTTAGTTTCCTTATCTAACAATGCCCTAATTTGAATTTCCAAATTGTGCTTCTCCTCCATTAAAAGTTGATAGTGTTGATCCAGCTGCTGGTACTGCTGATTAAGTGTTTCTCTGGCTTCATTTGCTGCTTCCAGATCAGAAACTAACTTCACTACCCGCGCATCACTATCTAAGACAAGAAGACTTATTCCTGATCTTCCTTCGCATCCAGTAACTTTTTCTAAATGCTGAATGGCTTGCATAATATTTTGTTGAACTGACTCCTCCATTTCCATGATTAGAGTTATGTAATCTTGTTTTCTATCACAATATATTGCACATCCTGGAAATTTAAAAGGTAAGTTGTTAATACATATTAAATTTGCATAAGGGTTAAAATTCTCACCAAGTATTAAACGTAGCAATTTGGATAGCTGTATAGAATCGCAGTTTTCTCCAATTCGGTTGACATCTGGGCGACCTTCTTCAAGAATATGTAGGTTTAACACATCTTGATAATACTCAATAACAGCCTCTACTATTTTTTTTAAATTGCTGACCCTCAAACGCCAGTTCGCTCCCACGTCTTTTTTAATTTTTGGTTCGAGTTTAGTAAAATGCTCAGGAACAAACTGCAAAAGCGCTTCCAACATAGCAACACCATCACATATTTCCGCTGTATTACGGGTTCTATTCGGTACTATTTTTTGAAACCATTTTACTAGGCTCCTACAAATTTCCTCGTCTTCGTTCATTGTATAAGACTTGTTTTGAAAAGATTGTGATTTCGTGAATATGGATGTTACCAATAACACCTTTACCTATTAGTTTGCGTTTGTCACTAAGGTTAGGTTTCAGGCATATTCATTATATATCACGAAATGGATGAGCAAACTAACCAGTATTTCAGCGGAAGTTTTCAAGGGTTTGTCTATAAATACAAGTAAGTATCTAGCTAGTAATATTCTGGACAGCTTTGCACAGGAGCAGTTTTTGCATTTGGAGTTACACATACAGACTGGTGAAGAAAATTAATTAGGAGCTTGTGCATAATGTAAAAAAAGGGGAAAATGCGGGCCTAGAACTAACAACACCTTTCCTGATGGATATAGGTTGATATAATGTCAACAAAATCTTGAGTCAGTGAAAAGCTAGAATAGACGGACCGGCCGCCTCTCGGTAGATCAAGAGACACATAGAGAATAGCATAATTGGTACTTTTGAGAGGTTTTACTAGTTGTATTATAAACTGCGAATGCGCGAAGTTTTCAGCCACTAATTCTGTGTACCTACCTAACCTAGATCTCTGTCCGTTACCTATGCTGTTATGTCGTTTTATTCTGTGGTATTTTAGTAGAGTGATAGTTAATTTTCGTAAAGTTTTCAGTCTATTGTTTTAGAAAATAACATGGTTTTCTTCATATTGCCTTTAAAGTTGTTTAAAGTTGCTATTTAGCAAACTGTACCAATTCAAGAAATTCGAAGCCGGAAAAATTTCAAATAGAATGAGTGACACTACAAATCGCAGGGCGAATTTTTCTAATATTCCTCAAAATGGGGTGAACAGGAACTTGAATTTGTTGATCAAACCGACTGCTGCTAAGAAACTCATCATCAAAAATTTAAAAAGTATGTTGAAGTTATAGATTCAATTAATAATAATAATTTTGGTTTCCTACTGAGTGTAGTAAATTTTATGTTCAAGTGGAGTTTTAATTTAATTGTATTGGTGAGTTTAACTGATAGTTGTTATAGGTGCTCCTAAATTACCTGAAGATTACACCGAACAAACATGGGAAAAGCTATGCAGTGCCGTTCTAGCTATTCAGCAGTCAAAACCAAACCAATACTCCCTGGAAGAATTGTATCAGGCAGTAGAAAATATGTGCAACCACAAAATGGCTCCTACATTGTACAAAAGACTCTACAATTTAACGGAGCAACATGTAGCCCACAACATAGAACAGTTTTTAGCAGAATCCATGGATAGATTTTTGTTTCTTAAGAAAATGAATGAAACATGGTTAGCTCATTGCAATCAAATGATAATGGTTCGAAGCATATTTTTATATTTGGACCGAACATATGTTTTGCAAAATTCAAACATTTTATCGATTTGGGAGATGGGTTTGGAATTATTTAGTAAATGTATCTTGCGCAATACTTTAGTTCAGACACGGGTTGTTGAAGGACTTTTAATGCTCATTGAGAAAGAAAGACAAGGTGATAAAATTGATCGTACTCTTCTTAAGTCACTTTTGCGTATGCTCACAGACCTGCAAATATATGACAAAGCTTTTGAACAGAAATTTCTTCAATCCACTGAACGGTTATATGCTGCAGAAGGTCAGAGACTTATGCAGGAATTGGATGTTCCTGATTATTTAGCTCATGTTGATAAGAGAATAAATGAGGAAAATGAAAGAGTATTGCATTATCTCGATATAAGCACCAAGTGCCAGTTGATTCACACAGTTGAAAAGCAATTACTCAGTGAGCATGTAACCAACATTCTTCAAAAAGGTCTGGATCTACTGTTAAGTGAATTTCGATTAACTGATTTATCATTGTTGTATAATTTGTTGAGTCGTGTTAAAAATGGCCTTGTTGAACTGTGCACAACTTTTAATGCCTACATCAAAAAGCGAGGACGAACCATTGTAATTGACCCTGAGAAAGACAAAACAATGGTTCAAGAGTTGTTGGATTTTAAAGATGCTATGGACAATATTGTGGTTACTTGCTTTCACAAAAATGAGAAGTTTGGCAATTCTTTAAAAGAGGCCTTTGAACATTTTATCAATCAAAGGACCAACAAGCCAGCCGAGCTCATTGGTAGGTGTCAATAATTTACTTTAACGCATGTGTTGATCAATTTTGCTTAAAAGTATTTAAGTCATTAGCTAACTTGTTTCAGCAAAATTTGTGGATTCAAAACTTCGTGCAGGTAACAAGGAAGCCACAGAAGAAGAGCTGGAGCGACTTTTAGACAAAATTATGGTACTTTTTCGTTTTATTCATGGGAAAGATGTATTTGAAGCATTCTACAAAAAGGATCTTGCCAAAAGACTGTTGGTTGGTAAATCTGCTAGTGTTGATGCTGAAAAGAGCATGTTGAGTAAGCTCAAGCAAGAGTGTGGAGGTGGTTTTACATCCAAGCTTGAGGGAATGTTTAAAGATATGGAACTTAGCAAGGATATCAATGTTGCTTTTAAACAATACCTAAATATTAATACTCGCGATTTGCCTCCTATAGATATGACTGTTAATATTTTAACCATGGGTTATTGGCCCACCTATCATCCTATGGAAGTGACTCTGCCCGATGAGATGGTGAAGTTTCAGGATATATTTAGGGATTTCTATCTAAGCAAACACAGTGGTAGAAAACTGCAATGGCAACCGACTTTAGGACACTGTGTTTTAAAGTCAAGATTTAAAACTGGGCCTAAGGAATTGGTTGTTTCATTATTTCAGACACTTGTGATTTTATTATTTAACAACTACGATGAACTATCGTTTGATTATATCAAAGAAGTGACCAATATAGAAGATGGGGAACTACGAAGAACTTTACAATCCTTGGCATGCGGTAAAGCTAGAGTACTGAATAAAATTCCCAAAGGAAGAGATATTTATGACAATGATAGGTTTAGATTTAATAACGAGTTTACAAATAAACTGTTTCGAATTAAGATTAATCAAATTCAAATGAAGGAGACAGTGAGTGATTATGTTAAATGGTTTAGCCAAAAAGTGTGATTTTGTTTCTTTCAGACCGAAGAGCAGAAAGCTACTGAGGAGAGAGTCTTTCAGGATCGTCAATATCAAATTGATGCAGCTATAGTGAGAATAATGAAAATGCGTAAAACACTAAGCCACAATCTCCTCATAAGCGAACTGTACTTGCAACTCAAATTCCCTGTGAAGGTAAGAGGTTTTAGCTGCGAACATACTGATTAACACTAATTGATTCATTAATTTGCAGCCCGCAGATCTAAAAAAGCGTATCGAGTCTCTGATAGATCGAGATTACATGGAAAGGGACAAAGACAACCCCAATCAGTATAATTACGTCGCTTAAAACAAACTTAGTGATTTCGAGCCTTGGTGTGTATTCATAAGTTTGTTCGAGTTAAGTAATATTCAATAATTTCTAGTCCAGTAAAAACCCGGCCTCTTTTCACGCAGTCTACCTAGCCAGCAAAATTGTTCGTTTCTATCCAATTTATAAAGCGTCCAAAAATTTTTTTTAATAAGCCATTGGGATTATTTTTGTTTTTGGACTAGCTTTGGACAAGCATATTTAAATTATTCCTTTCGTAAGAATTCACACGGGGCCTCTGTAGATCTTGCTCTACAAGTTTCATTGAATGGTTTTAAATCAATTTAATTTAAGCGATGGTTATATCGCGAAAGCTGTTTAAACGCATTGTTTGTATATTCGTAATGTTGTACATACATCATTTCCTTTTCATGTTGATTGTATATAACTGTAACCGCTCTAGATAAAATTGACAGTTTCCTGGATTGTAAATTTTATAGCATCACCCGTTTTGGAAATTTGTGCGATATAAATCATAAAACTTGTGTTGAATGACAAGTACGTACTTTCCAATAATCAGGTTTAATTTTCGGTCACATATTTTTGCAGTTTGAACAGTTTTGTAACTTAAACTTTAAATATATTAATATTTCAGTAGAACGTTTTTTTTTTTGTATATAAAAGCAAGCGACAAGCAGGTGCAGTAATATTAGCGAATCGTTCAGTCTTCTTCGAAATTTTTGATGAGGTGTCTGACATTGGGCGAATGATCGTCCCAAAAGTTCGGATTCCACTCGGCGAAATAGCTCTGGAATTCCTCATTTTCTTCGCCTTGGTGAATTGTAACGATAGCGACATCTTCTCGGCCATGTTTTTGCAGATAACTCTGAAACGTGAAACGTTAAAGTAACGGGTTATTAGAAGGAACCTCTATTACCTGGACGACTTCGCCACTCTCGCCTTTCTCTTCTTCATCGGCGTTATTGCCGATCCATATAAAGATTTGTCTTCCCACATCCATAAATAGCACATCATCGACATTCAAATCCTCCTGATTAAAGTTGTGCACCTCTTCGATTATGAACTTGCTGCCTGGTGTTTTTTTATACATATGGTACAGCCTGGGTTCCCAATCGCTGCTTGCAGAACGTACGAGGCGATGACGTAATTCGCCAGTACCTTGCCAAGTTCTGAAATATTGGGTAAACGCAACAGGCTCTGCTCCTTGCACGATCCTCTGCACGTTTGTCCATTTCGGATGTTTATGTTCCACCAAAAACGCGTCGGCTTTACCCATCGCTTGTTGTTTCTCCTGGTTGGTCCCTTTCTTACCGATCCAAACGAAAATGTTAGAATCTCCGGTATCTAGTATGAAGCAATCGTTTTCGTCCAACAAGGAAGCTTCAAGCGGCCGCTGCCCTACTGGGGTAACTTGCAATTTTCCCGAAGCATCCGACACTCGGTAGAGGGTCACAATGCGTTCTTCATTGGTTTCGAACTGTTGGTCGTCGCCGCCAGCGCTCTCTTCTGGTACTTCCTCTCTTGACCCCCCTCCTAAGGCGTTAAAGTAGTCGTCGAAATCGGACTGGGGACTAAACTCATCTACAAAAATTGCCCCGTATAGAAACTAGCGCATGAATAAAGAAAAAAACTAATCTCCTCACCAACGATTACGACTTTGGACTTGCCGGAATGATCTTGGTCTCTTATTTGATTAGCAGCTGCAGTGGCTTTGAGTTTTTCTACCCTTTTTGCTTTGGTGCCGACATATATGTAGATATTGTTGCCAGTATCCAAAATAAAGCAGTCCCCTTTGTTCATGGAGGAAATGTTTGGAACAACCTAGGGTGGTTGTTTGTTGGATGGTTTTTTAGGGGCGTAAACAGTAACGTGTTACCTGTTTTACTCTTATGTTTCTCGCTCCCTTAACTTGGAACAATCTGGTTTCGAATGCGTTCCTATCGACGTGGTGAAACCCTGAACTGACACCACCCTGCAGGTATCGCACCCCGCTTTTGAAATAAGACAGGAACAGTTGGGATTCGTGATTTTCAAGTTCGCGGTGTTCGACTGGTCCACCACCAAGTTGCTCGTCCAGTTGAACTGATAATATGGCTGCAGCGCCAGCTTCATCCTGACATGTTAGGGTTAAGATGATTCTCGAATAAAAGTTCAATTAAAAAGGTGGAACTTAAATACAAATTTAAGTAGCACTTGGTTAATTTCTCCGTGTTTTTGCAAATCAGTGATCTTTCTTAAACAGTTATTAAATTTTACGTCTTGGATGGGATGTATAATCCGCAAAGCAAACGGATTTTACGACGCGATAAAAATTATTTTCGGCCAGCGCATCTGGAAAAACATCGGGTCTGTTAGTTATTTACTGATCTTCCGTTTCGCAAGTTGATTTAGTGGTTTATATAAATCTTGTCACCAAATATTTCAGTTAATTTTAGTGCTTTGTAAACAACAAAAACTCTGGCCGTCTACGCACCTGACTAGTTTGTGACCCAAGCCAGAAATGAATATCCCACGATTTTTCACCTTTTTTGTTGATTTTCGTCTAAAAAAAAATATCGATTACACACCTAATAATGGAAATTACTAGTCATTAATATACGCACGCTTAGCACAATGTACGAATCCCCAGAGTAGAATTTTCCATATTGATTTTTTGGATACGCCACCGGTTTGAAGTCCTAAAATGAAAATTCTAAATACCTAAATGTTATTTGCCGTTTTATGACGCCTTAAATGTCGTACGCTTCGTTTGCGCCCCCGTTCAAGGCAACCCTATTATATTTCGCAGTGATTTACGTTCTCAAGACAATGAGAAAGCTGCTTGAAAAAGGTCAGCTTTTCTAAATTATCGGAAAATCTAATATTAGATTTTTTACTTAGTGTTTTATTACGATCTAATCGTCTTCAACATATGGCACTGATAAAGCTATTACATTTTTTGAGCTTTAACCCATTCACTATTGTGGTTCTTGGACCATTTATTTCGAATTCCTAAAAAAATTTAAAATAAATATAAAAATTCGATAACATAAGTTTTGCTTCAAAATCGATTTATAGATAATTCGTGGTGTCCCGGAAAAATTAATTATTGCCCTAATTAACGTTGCTTTAATGAAAAGGCCGACGCTTTGGAAACTATCCAAAAATCGACAATACGCGCGATTTTATATATAGTTTTTTTTTCTGACTATTTTCTAAGTGAAAATGTATCTAAACTTGCAGGCTTAGTCAGCGATATTTTTGTTGAATCAGGTCCATTTAACGATTTCGGGAATGTATTCATCCGCCATTGTTTATCCTTGAATATTTGTTTATAAAACAGGAAATTTCTTACGGTGGATTTTACTAAAATCCTTTGTGACTAATGGCTTGTACCTATTGTAGTACTGGCCGTGATATTCAAGGTTAATCCCATTTAACTAACAACAAAGTCGAGACGTTTATTATATTCTAAAATTTGCTTTTGTTTTTTTTAATTTTGCACTCTTCTTCATCAGTATTTAAGCCCCCTGAAACATTTATCTTGTGAAATATATTAATTTTTTAAATTTCATATTTAAAAAAATATTTTTATAGCCATTTTTAATTTTGAAATCGTTATTTTACCCTTGATTGTTATATGTCAATAATCTCTCCCGCTAAAATAACAACAAATTGAATTACCTAGAGAATTACGTTTTAATTAAGGCCTCCTGAAACACTTATCTTGTGACGTATATATATTTTAAAATTACATATTTAAAAAATGGGTTGAAAGTTCCATTGCAAAAATCTCTCCCGTTTAAACAACAACAAATTGCGTTACCTGGAAAATAACGTTTATTTATTATATTTTAATATTTACTATTATCTGTTTTTTTTTATTTTGCACTTCTTCCTCGCGAATCACTCGTCTTTTGACTCTAAACTTTATTTTCGAATAACTTTTTTTTTTAAATATTGAGCATTTTTAATTTTGAAATCGTCATTTTACTCACACTGATTAATTTATTATTAATATTATTATTTATTAACTAACCAATAAAAAGATTCAACAGATATTTGGTTTTAGCGTAGCGCATCCACCATCAATCAGGATTTGCGATGTTCCGCATATCGTAAAAATTAATCGACGCGTCCTGATAAGATATGTAAACAAGTGTTAAAAACTTTTATGAAGCCATTTCGTTTTATTGCTACGAAAAGTTCTATGAGTTTCGTTTGAATCTTTATGATTTAGCTGCAATTAACAATCAATAAAATAAATTGAACAATTATCACCTCATTATGCCTATTTTTTATTGTCTGACACATTATTGAAATTTCTCGGCACTGATTTAAAATATTCTAAAATAATCTGGTGGTATTACGTCTTTCTTCTTACGTCTTTCCTACTTAAATATTTCTAAACGATTCGTCGACGACGAGAAAGAATTTCAATTTCAAAGCAACCTGTTGAAACGATATTCTTTTTAAATAGCATATGTAATAGTACCTCGATCCTCCAGACTTCTATTCCTGCAGTTTGACCGGCATTTTCGAATGCTGGTTCCATTACTTTATGTCCCGTCTTTTGTCTTTTCGCTGAGGGTGACTGCGAACGTGTGGATCCTGACCAAGAATTGGCAGGTGCGGACTCACCAACAGACGCGATTAAAATCAGCGTTACACCGACGGCAAAACCCGCTTTCAGTAGAACACCTATTCCCATTTTGATTCTTTACGCACGCGCCCTGAAATATGGTAATTATTTTAAATTTACCACAACCGCAATTGATTACAAAGCAAACCAAATAGCAACTATTGTTTACGAGTTCCTAAAGAACATAGTGACATCGTTAGAATGTTCCTGGGGATCTAAAGCGAGCATAGGTTCATCGTAATTTCAAAAATAGTCTTTGTTGTAATTTTTTTTGGACTGGTCATATCGGGTAGGAAAACCTTTAGCAGCGATAATTAACAGACCCACTGAGATGCAATTGATCTAATTCACTGGAACCAAGTTTTTGGTGAATGCGCTTGGGAACAAGTAACTAGTAGTAACTAGTGGGAGATAAATAATTATAATCAAAATAAATATTTTTATTATTTAATAATTGATACACTGTTTAAAAGTGCTTATGAAGATAAATTTGTATCTAGATATCATATCATAATCATAATCTGAATGTTAATGGGTCTAGGGTGATATGAAATGAATTTACAATTTCTTATCTATTTTTATCTTCTTACCTTAAAAAAATATTACGAAAGTGAACACTGCAGATAAACAAAACACTCCTTTTTGCAACACTTCTTGTCAAACAACTAACGGAAATATTAAGCAAGCGAAACTATTCGTTATTCTTATAGCAATGACCCGTACCTTGCTAAGGTCGCGCTAATATCGTAAATCTTGGAAATTATTTAAGCATCTCATTAAATTGTTTATGCGAGTCTTCAAGTAGAGCTTGTATAGCTAGGGTGATGTATAGGTCAAAATTTTTACTGGAACTGTTTATAGATATTTTGTAGTTCTTGGACCTGATTTTGTTTTTAAACAATGATCCAACGTAAGTTGGTTATTTTTAAATTGTTTTGTTTAATAAAGTCGAAACAACCGCGCCATGCTGAGTAGAATGAACATCTGTCAATTTAAGTCAATATGGACAATTACGATTGACTGTTACGTCACAGATATTGCTTTTCAACTTTTATGCTTTTTGAACTGAACTCTCTCTTCGTCTGCTCTTTCTTGTGATTAGATAAAACGGTTTCATGACGCCTTTGTCGGCCTAACATTTTTTTTAATTACTTGTCAATAGTTTTTGATCACCAATGCATAGGCCGCGCAGCAAGAGTTTCCATGATAAACCAATGTTAGTACGCCTAAAATTTAAGTGATAAATATATTCATTCAATTTATTCTATAGGTTAATTTTGTAGTGGAACGTTATTTGTTATCTTTCACCTCATTGTAATAAAGAGTCTGTAGTCAAAGAAAGGAGAATAATTATTACTGACTGTGGCAAAATCAAAATCGGTGCAATTATTATTGTTATCTTTATCTTGTTGAATATTCTAGGTGGGCAATCAACGCAACGAGCCAGACGCATGCACAAAGCACGGCTGATTCGGTTGGTGGGGGAAAAAAAATGTTACTATTCCAATGGTTCTGTGCGTTCTGTGGGTGTTCAGAAAATAATGTTGTGATTATATTGCTTTTAATATAATGATAGTTTATAAATATGTGAATTGTGCGATAAAATTTACAAGAATAAACAAGTGTATTATGTCGGTAGGTGAACGTAAGGCATATTAGCCAACACTTGATGGGCCATATATTGGACGTGTTTATTTACTATCCTCTACTATAATAACATTCCATTCATAAAGTAGTATTTATTTATTACTCATAACTAGTAATCTGAATGCGTTTCCAATTGTTTAAAAAATTTTCGTCGATCCAAGGCGGTTTGAAATGCCAGAATCTTTGGTTACATCTACGTATTGAAAAATCAGTGGAATTTTTCAAATGTTCATCATAATGAACGGGATAATATATATACCAAGAGAAGATGTGGAAAAACCGTTTAGAACATATTCGTAATTGTTTTTAAGTTTAATTGGAAGCGTCAATTCGTGTGTTAAACATGGAAATGGGAGTACGTAAATTGCCAAAAAAACGTAAATTCGACCCCTCTGAACTTGATGAAAATCAGGCCCAAGCATGTATACCAGTGTCGGTCGTCCAAAGTGTTGCATCTATACCACCTCAAGCGACCGCTGTGGATTACTCGTGTCCAGCAAGAATTAATCTCTGTGAAGAACCAACAATTCTTAAGCAAATAAATAAGCAAATTAATGTTGATCTAAGTGAATGGTGTGAGCATAGAGTTTTGGCAAAACAGGGTGACTTCTACTACCCCGGCGTTATTCGGGAGGCCACTGGTTCAACTGTGAGTACTAATAATTAAAATAATTAAATTAAAAATTAGTTTTTACATCTGCGTTATTTTTATACCAAGTAATAATTCTCAACGCAACTATATCCACTCTGATCTTTGCACACGAAAATCCTTTGATCTCAAATGATCCCCGAACTGTCTATATTTTTAACCTGGGCATTTTTATTTTCTATTTATTAAATACAAACCGTTTAAGGAAAATTTTCTCAATTATGTGTAGTAATAGTCGTGGTGAGCAAGAATCGGCACCCCTATGACACTATTGCAACATCCGACCTTTTCTCTGTAACCCCCCCCCCCCCCCCCCCATTGGTCGTAATTAATACAGACTACTGGCGCCATTGTAATTTTTTTTAACAATTGTAGTGCATTTTGTTCCTGCTTCCTTTTCTCATAGTGAATCTTGTGGATCCCAGATTTGTCTTCTCTATCAATATATGTTTTTTTTTTGCGGTACTCATTCGCTTTCCCTTTTTCTTATAGTCCTTTGGTCTACAAAACTTAATACTTAACAGTACCTTATTTTCTTTAAATTAGATAACGGTCGTGTTGGATGGGAAATCGGACAAGGAGAAATTAACTTACGAAAATGTCTTTGACAATGAGTGTTATAATGTGATAGGTGATGCGAGTCCATCTGTAAACCAAATAAGTTTGGGTACACGGGTTTGTGTTCGGCATAACCAGAGTATGTTTGTCGAAGGTGTTGTCTGTACTATACTTGAGGGGCAACCTGTGCGGTTTGTCGTAGCTGTAATAGGGGAAAAATCCTGCGAAGTTACCGTAAAACGGGCGGATTTAAGATTGCTGAGACCACCTTGGTGGGACGAATTAGAAAACTTAGAACCCAGTCTGGAAATCATTAATTCCCAAGCAATAGATTATTGCCGTAATAATCAAATATCTCCGACACTTCATACTCCTGTTAGCGCTTGTACTCCTCTTTCAAATGGTAGACATTATGATGAGTTTTGTGAAAGTGAAGACGAACTTAGACAAGAAACATTTCATTCAGAAGTGGATGCCAAACTTTCGGGTAGTTCTAAAAGGAGTAGTATGCATAGTCGCGGTAGTTCGTCAAGTAGTGTAACCCGCTCCCAGCCGACCACTCCTCGCAGTCAAGCTGCTACCCCCCATAAATATAAGAAAGGCGATGTTGTCTCAAACCCCAACGGGATAAGAAAGAAGTTTAATGGTAAACAATGGAGAAGGCTGTGTTCAAAAGACGGTTGCACAAAAGAAAGTCAAAGAAGGGGTTATTGTTCAAGGCATTTAAGTCTGAAAGGAAATAGTTTAAGAAGCGGACCATTTCCAAGATCAAACAGCAAGGGTGATGGTGAAGACACTTCCAGAGATTCGGAAACATCTCCAAATTGTACTGACAGAAGAATTACAGGAAGATTTGATCAGGAAGAAACTGATGCTGCTAACATGTTGGGTTTGTCCGTTTTCTCCTTGGAACAATTCCAATTTCCACTAAACACGTCGTATTTTAGTATCATTAGGGAGTTCTCGGTCTGCTACTCCCGCTTTTTCACCTAATGGTCCAACAGGATCGTCACCACGCACAATGCAATCTCCGATCACAGTAGGATTGCGCCAGAACGTTTTTATGCCAATCCCTAGTAGTCATTCACATGGTTTACCAAAAATAAATTCGCCTGGTCCTCAGGGATACAATCCGCCTTACCATCAACCCGTGATTAGACCAGAATTGGTAAGACCTGTTCAAGGAAGTGTGATAAGGGTTTCTCCCAATCCAAGGCCGTGGGGAATCAATGCTGTGGAACAACCCAGTGTTATTTTACAGCATGCACTAACAAGTCCTTCAAACCAATCTGTGGAGTCTGAACCTTCTCTGCTCTCAACAGGTACTTTTAAGAAGTATGATTACTAAGATTTCTCTAGTATGGCGGTTGTAGGTTCCTTATATGTTGTGCCATCTCAGACCCATGAAAAAAATGTAATGATGATAAAACATGAAATTGAAAACAAAATGGAAGAACCAAAATCATTTCAGCGCCAGGTAAAAATAGTACCTGTAACAAAATTTTCTTGGATTTGTAATTTTATGTTTAAGGTTATACAGAGTGATCACTTGATACAACCACGGGTTTCTTCAAATATCATAAGTAATTTAGGCAACACACATCCCACAATTGGGCCGGGTCATCTATCATCAAACAACATAAATCCCGGCTTACCAGTGATCGTGAATCCAACACAACTTGTACCAGTACTTCCAGCAGCTGCCACACAATCAGTTGTGAAAAAAGTGACGTCGGCTCCAAGCACTCATCAAACCGCCGCAGCAGTAATTGTTAAGTCTGAACAAGTTTCCCCAAATCTCAATCATAAAGAACCCGTAATTCGACACAATCCCTTAACATTACAAGGATCACACCAAAGGATAAGTGCCTTGCAAACCAAGGTCATTATCAAATTCTGAAATAAATACCATGGTCTCATGATTCATTCATTCTAGGCGCAGCATTCTCCCCACCAAATATCCCAGCCTGCTCCCGTTTCTCCTAATCCTTCCAGACCTTTAATTTCGCAAATAAAAGTAGGCCCCAACCCACAACAAACGCAGTCAGCTTTTATAATCCCGTGGCATTCCATTGTTCCCATTCTTACTGCCAGTCCCGGTGGGCCAAATTCTCCTCAATCGTCGCAACTATCCCCTCCCCTTTCCGCACCGCCGGTAAGTAGACTGCCACCACTAGATTCACGCGGAGATGAAGATGTTGATGGTGAAAATTTGCCCGCACCCACTGAGGAGGACGATGATGTTTTTGAAACAGAAGGTAGTGATGGGATAGAACATAGCAGAAATAACCATCAGCGTCGGAGTCAGTCGCTTAGTTCCCTTCAAAGTAATAACAAAGAGCCAAAGAATAACAAAGAGCGTATAAGGCGACCAATGAACGCGTTTATGATTTTTTCAAAACGGCATAGAGGACTTGTGCACCAACGCCATCCGAACCAAGATAATAGAACGGTGTCCAAAATTTTAGGGGAGTGGTGGTATGCCTTGGGTCCGGTGGAAAAGAAAAAATATCACGAACTAGCGACAGAAGTTAAGGAAGCGCACTTCAAAGCACATCCTGAATGGAAATGGTCGGCAGGGTTTTTTATGACGCCGTAATTGATTAAATAAGTCATTTTTTTAGGTGTAACAAGGACAGAAGAAAATCTTCCACTGGTTCTGGAAGAAGCAAATTGAGTTCTACTGGTGATAGCGGCGAAATTGGGGACCCAGTTACTAGTCCGAGGGTACAAACGTCTCCCGTGCATAATTTGGATCAAATAGAGAGAACTCTTCCCCACCAGTCAGACACAGATCCATTGCAAGCCGATGATGACGACGACGATCACCTAGTTATAGTGGATTCCATGGTTCATGAGATTGATTTAAAGTGCAAGGAAAAAGTAACCGATTCTGATTCAGAGTCTCATAGTGACATGGATTCTTCCGCTGACAACGGCCATAGAATATTTCCACATCAGCAGTTTAGTCCTGTTGGCAGTAATTGTCCGACAGCTGGTTCAGATGTTACTTGTAGGCCCAAGCCTATTAAAGCAAGTATGCCATCTCAAGAAACGCCTAAATATAGTCCAGCTCCAAGCGGCACTTTCAGTTTTCACTATCATTCCCCAATAAACCCTTCAGGTATTACTGGCTTTCAGCCGACAGGTGGCGCTTTTAAAACCATGCCTGCTTCACCGAAATTCACCAAACCTGGGGGGCTGGAGGAAGGGGGCCATGAAAATTGGGGAACAAATCCGCCAAAGCCAACAGATACATTGCAGTGGGTCAATTCGACTATTCAAAGCAAAACTAACCACACATTAGCCATACTAAAACCGCAAATTAAAGCCAATCACATAATCATGAGTGAAGGCAGTAACCATAATAATTACCAATCACCTTTAACGGTTCTTATAGGTGGCCAGCCTACAATTTGTCTTTCAAATGAAATTGAGAGATCCCAACCTTTTGTGGTCGTAGCTTCGACCGCCACATCTGATGTACCAGTTCAATGCCTTTATATGCAGCCACAATCTTTCAAAGTAACCGATAGCAATCAAGGAGGAAAGGGTGTATCACTGCAGGGTTTACATTTGGTATCTAAGCCTTCAGTGACACAGTCAGTGATTGTAAGTCAATCCCAAAGTAAGCTTATGTCCAGTCAGAATCAGTCGTCTATCCATTCCTCATTGGAAGCACCGAATCCATCAACTCCCAAAACAGCTGTTAACCACTGTGGTAAGGCGATACCACAAAACTGTTTTTATATCATTCATCATGACTTATTTTTCACTTTAGGCCTAATACATCAACCTCAGGCATTAGAACAGCTAGCCGCCGTGGACGCATCCATGAATTCTAGTGATCCATCTAATATTGATGTAAACCAGGAGTTCAAATTGGCCCCAACCCCAGCCCAATTGGGTCGTGCTCCCCTACAGAGAAGACAATCTATGGCAGTTATGTCCAGCCTTCAGGGTTCCCACGGTTCTGAGAATCAGATGCCCCATTCGCCAGCTTGTGAAGATAGTGATAATTTGGCTCTCTCGTCACCTTGCACCAAGAAAAGTTTTTTTAAGAGGAACATTGAAGATGGCATGGATAAGTAAGGGGAAAGCATGTGGTGAATAAAAATTCAGGTCTAGCGTGACTATATTATTCCAGAGTGTTGGACGCCGTCAACTTTGAAAAAAAGTTCTCCTCTTTGCCACAATTCAAACCTAACGAAGGTCAATCACCGAGTGCCATTTCCGTGCCTAGTCCCAGCTTGTTTAATTATAACAAGAAGCGAACGCCTTTGACGGCTTCGTCTCATCGAATGTCCATGGACGAGGAGTCGGAGACTGAAGTCCCAACACCGCTGTCTTTACCCAAGTCTGCTTCTTCTGGGAAGCCTATAATTGGAAACCAATTTTTCGGGCCAGACTTTTCAATAGAAAACGCTCGCGGTAAGTAAAACTTTATGAAATGGTTGAAAATGTTCCCATTCTTTTCACAATGAAATAGAACTGACGGAAATGGGTGAGGGCAACTCTCCAAGGACTCCGCGCACACCTGGTACCTCGAGAGATTCAGAGAAAGGCCATAGACGGACTTTGGAGCAGCGCAGGCTTTTAGTGATGCAATTATTTAACGAGCAATCGTACTTCCCTACCTCTCAAGCCACTTCTAAGTTTCAAGCGGAACACGCCGATATATTTCCTACGAAATCGAGCTTGCAGTTAAAAATCAGAGAGGTCAGACAAAAGCTGATGGCGCAAAACAATCCGCCATTGACGCCCCTTACCCCCAGCGCAAATCAATCTGTAAATAGTCCGCAATTAACACCGCAGGAACCCGTGAAGGTTTCCTCAAGTAGTTAGCTAGTAATGTGCAATAGAATTTTGTCTTCCTTTACCACTTACCTTGTTTAACTGAAGCGTTTCTCAGTAACCGTTTTTGGGGTATTGTTTTTTTTAATGATTGCAAGGGAAACGATTATTTCCTTCAGGATTAAAATTAAACCCGCCGAAAAAATTGAAAAAGATTTCTTTTAAGTTATAAAGAGTTTTTTTTAGTTTTTGTCCGCAATATTAAATTTTAGTTTCTATGTTATACAAATGTCCGTGATTTTAAAGTTCCCATTCGAGTTCGCAATTACTCTTCGTTAACGGCATTGATCCAAATATTTTTGCGATTTGCGATTTGTAGTCGTAGAAAGTCAGATTCGTTTAAACTTTGAATTCTCCTAATTTGCCGTAAAAAAATATATCCTTATTAATTTAAATTTCGTTTTGTAAAACTAAAAAAGGGAAATGTTAAAAAGTTAAATATTTTAGTGAAGCTACTGAATATACAGAGTGGTCCTCATTATGATGGAGCGTATTCAGCAGATAAAAGTAAGTAAAAAAGTTCATATACATTTGTATCCTAAAATGCGTCGTTTAGGAGATACAGGGAATATTGCGCAAAAAATAGTTTTTCTTTTAATTTTTTAATACATCTCTTCTAGATTTTGCTTTCAAACTATTATAATAATTCTAGTTAAATTAATAAAATTAATTATTATTAGGGTATTAACTTAAATTGCGAAAGTTTATATGAACTTTTTTACTTATTTTTATCTGCTGAATACGCTGTTAAAGTTTCTCCATTATATTTAGGACCACCATGTATAGAGATGTATCTTTAGCGGGTTCCCGTAAGTATAATCTGTTAGAGATTTGTAGTCCATAGACATTCTTCAAATTAATTTCTTGTTTAAACATATCGAAATGTTTAAACAAACGGCTGGTGTCAACACCAAGATCTGTATAAAATGATTGAATGTAGTGTTCAAAGCGATCGTGTACATTACTAATATTTTTGTAGTTGTTGCTTCCAGAAACAGTTCTAAATTCAAGTGCTTAAAAAAATAATTCAATATTTTTATACAGACGTGCACGTGTTTATATAACTGCGCGGAAAATAATTCTAAAATATAAGAATGATCGAAACGGAGTACACACCCGATTTTTTTTTTTTTTAATTTGCGTTAAACAAGGAACGCAGGCATCTATGAGAGTGACGACAATCCATGAAGAACCGTGCAGAGGAAAGCTGCTTTGAAACAACTACGTTCTTAACATAGATTTTTTTTCATAGGCAAGTTATTAATGACATTTCGTTTTCGCTTCTTGAGACCGCCTACCCCCGAAATGGTAGTTTTATTGTGAAGTTGTTGACATTTAGGGATACCTGATGGTGATTTTTTCTTAATATTATTTTTGTATAACATATTATGTGCAATAAAATTGTATTGTTTATCCGAGAAAATAGAAGAGTATCAAGGGATATATATATAAGTATTCACATATTGTATGACATTATCTGCGATAATTTTAGTTAATTATTTTTTTTACTTAGAACTTAGTTTTCTTTAAAAAAATAAATTTTAAGTTTTTACCCATTCTTTTTGGAGTCCTGCAGTGTACGAGGGAGTCAGTCTTATGTGATTATATAAGTGATTTATGAATCTCTAAACAGGATGGGGATATTTTTGTTTTGCTCTTTGTCTAAACAATATCCATAATAAGCAGTAACTTTAATTTAGTTTATGTTATGTACATGTAACGGTTGTGTTTTATTTTAACGTTTATTTAATACGCTTTTTACTGTTAGTTTTAAGGCATTATTACTAATATATGTGATCGAAAAAGCCAAGACATTCATATACATCGTTTTTCCTTTAAATTTTATTTAAATTTGTTGAAAACTAAAGCAGTAGTCGAAAATGGAAATGCCTTGGTTTCTCGTCTTAGGTTCAGTATAAATAAACTGTTAATTGGTGTTGTAAAAGATTGTTAAAAAATGTTAACTACTATTGTGCGCGTGTTGAGGACGAATTGATATCATCGATCAATAATCTGTGTCAATTAAAAAAATCGGAGATTTTCTTTTTTGGTCAATTGTTATGAGATATTAATAAAAAAAGATCCAAATTTATTTTTCAGCGAACGTAGCAACTCGTCGCTAACAAGCACAATATAGTAGTGTGTTAGCATTTTATATAGTCAATGATCTCGTTCACTTATTGATAGAAAAAATGTGCACTCTTTCATTAAGCACATCATTATGTATATAATTACTCTTAAGTAGTATTTGTACTACATATTTTATTTAAAATGAAACGATATTTCACAAAGTCACAATAAATGTATTGAAAACTGAAGTGCTTTTGGTTATTCAGCTGGCCGGACTTGGAAAATGGTAGATTAAACAAATTCCAAAAATAAATGTATAAATATTTTATTTACAGTGGAACATATATTTGATATTATAAGGTACAATAAAGGAAAAGAACAATTTCTGCCAAATAAATATAATTTTACATTTACAAAAAACAAGGAGCAGACAATTAGTTATTTTTCTTTTTCGATCTGATATTGTTGATATCTTGTACAATTTGATCGATATCAGTTTCGTTATAACTAGCTACCTTTCTTGAATTTTGGAGGGGTAATAAATTGACCAAATGATTAAAATTGAAATTAACATTTTCCTTCACTATAGTAGAAAGGAATTGAATGTTATACAAGCCCGCCAGAACTAAAATAATAAATACAACGGTCCATAACGATGTCTGCTTAATCGGCTGTTCGATAATTGTAGACTTTATTTTAAAATCTAATTCAATATATTTAAAAGTAGAATTCGCGTTAAAATATCTCGCTCGAGCCTTGGATTTGATCTGAGAAGATTCTAGATGAACGGAATATAATTTTCCATTAACTGTTAGTGCCGGAAAAGCTATCAATAGTCCGTAGTTCCCTTCTATCCCTTTGGCCTGATTTTCTAGGGATATTGAATGGAGAAGGGTGGGACCATCACTATCACAGTATAATTTTAACTTCAAAGCTTTGTAGTGGTCCGCATTTTCCGCATAGACTTTTACCAATACAGTCAACTTCGGTATGGGGTAAAATACAATTATGGATAAGTTTTTCACGTCCTCATTTATATTCTGAAATTTCGGACGACTCAGTTTATCTTGAACAGGAATTAATTTAACATTTACCTTAACTTCTATGAATTCTGGCGATGTTCTTTCCAAATTATTTCCATATTTTTTTCCGACTTCCACGTAAACCTTAAATGAGCAATATGGTTGCAACCCCCGGATTCTAAATTTGCCCATTTGATCGCTAGTAGTTTCTTCTGAATAAGATGTGCAGTTGTCCATACCAGATGCGATAACATTAACATTTTCAATGGGATCTTTGTTCAAAGATGTAATTTTGCCATACGCACTGAAAGCTACTCGTTTTCCACTAAATAATCACAACATATTAATTTTGATTAATTTCTAATTGCTAATAACACACCCTAACTGTACTTTTACAGTTTCTCCTTCTCTTATGGTAACTAGTTTTGATGCTGGTTCAAACTGATATTCCTTCAACATTGGTTTCAAAAAGTAGTCCCCCGCACTTAAGGAATAAAAGGCGATTATTCCAATTTGATCAGTTTGCAAATTCCTCCTGTAACTTTCCCCACCTGATAATGATACCAACACCCCCTGGAAGTAAGCATATTAACTTTGTAACAGCTTTATTTTAATTAGGTAAAACTAACTGAAAGAGGAGACTTATCCTTATGATCCACAACTTCTATAATTATTTCTGCCAACTTTTGAGCCCTGAAATTGCCATCATCATCAGGACCTGTAATTATATACGAGTCTTTTTGCGCACTAATGTGATATTCAGCTGTGGCATCTAAGGGTGGAAACTTATACAATCCTTTTGAGTCAGTTTCCACAGTCAATAATTGATCATTATCTAATCTATCAACAGTGACAACTACTCCTGGCAATGGGGGAATGAGTTTTCCTTGAAATATTTTCCCCTTGCGGGCGTTAATTTTTCTCCCGATGTTTTCACAATCATTGACCCCTACAACGTTCAGCACTTCCGGCTTGAAAACTAACAAATCAGACTGAGGTGTTACAATCGCGACCGCTTCAGGCTTTAAGATGAGTCTGAGATCATAGTTTCCATTCGCATATGAAACAGTTTCTACCGTTTTTTCGCCGTCAATTTCTAGATTTACTTCTATAGGTCCGTAATTGGCGTCGCTTTCAATTGCCAACGTGACCGTGTGTTTTATCGCATTCAAAGTGATTTCGTTGTTCTTTGAATTTGTATTATACGTAAATGTATCAGAGTCGTAACTGTGGCAACTCCTAATCAAGAACTTATATTCTCCCGGTGCATTTACGCAAAATGAAGTGGTTCCTCTTGAAATTTTAACTTCAGATAGTTTTCCGTCTCCAATTGTGTTATACAAGATCTAAAGCATTGAAGGATCATGAACAGAAAAGTGAAAAAACTTACAAAGTCCCACCTTAACATCGTGAGATGACACAACGTTTACAAGATAACCAGTCTGTATAAAATGCGGCGCTTCTACTGAAAGACTGTTTACATTTAAAGTGTGTTTATTAGTTTTCCAGCAATATTTATTAGGTTTCAATATTATTTCATAAAATCCTGGGGACATATTTGTAGCATAATATTTAGAATCTAAAATATATTTGATAACTGAAAATTAGCAATCAATTAGCAACGTTGCAATACCTTTTACAAAAACGGTAATTTCATCAAACCCCGATTTCAGTATAACATCCAAATCCTCACAGTCATTTATTTGGATGCAATCAAGTTTACCGGTTATATTAGATTTCAACTGGGAGAATACTACATCAAATAAATGTTCTGAAGTGACTTCAATTAATTGGCTTAATGGAAAAAATCTGAAAATTAAAATTTTTGAACCATTGGACATTTTTATTTAAACTTCTCAAATTACTGGACTCTGTTTTTCTTGTCTTCTTCGCTAATTAAGACTTGAACTTTATAGTTTCCCGGTGCAAGGTACTGACAAAATTGGTTATCGAAATTGGTTTTAGTGGTGACAAAGTCGGTGGATCCTATTTTACTAAATGCAACAGCTTGAGGTTTGTCACTTATTACCTCACCACATACCTTAAAAGCTGAGGGCACTAAATCTGGCAACATCTTAATATTTGTGTCTATATATAATGTTATTTCATCGAATAATAAATCCTCTACAAAGAAAGTAACAAATTTTTCATAATGCAAATATAACTATTATTACATAAGGATATAATATGTGCAATCTACCTGCTTCAGCTTTCAACTTATATTTAGCAACTTTCAACTTTTCAAGCAGATAATTGCCAAATTCATCAGTCTTAGCAACTTCTTGGCCATTCAGGTATATTTTTGCATTCGAAATTCCCTTCTCTTTACCATTTGTTACTTTACCAGATACACTAAATCCAATAACCTTCCAAATTAAGTAATTGAGCGCCATCCAATTGGTTGTTGGGATATCTAATTTATCTTACCAAAAAGTGTTGAGGTAGTTCAACACTATCATGTCCTACTTCAAAATCAATTTTCTCTGGTTGATAGTAAATATTGTTTTTTCTATAATACGGCACAACAGAATATCTGCCATAAGGCACCACAGGAAACTCAAATTCTCCCTTATCGTTGGAAGTAACATGACACAACAATCTGTTTTGCAATTGAAATTCAACCAATTCATTTTTGTTACATTTGTCAACAGCAGTTTTACCCTTAAGAAAATAATATGTTAATAAAAAGACTACTTTGAACAATAACAAACAAACCCCATCTTTAAACACTAATGCGACTATGGTGTCTTTAACTGGGTTACCTTGAGCAGTAAGAATTTTTCCTGTTACATCATAACCATGAACAAGGAAACTCTGGGAAGGTAATTCAGTATTACCTTCTTTAACTGCCACATCAAACGACTTTTTGTAGATTTGCCACCTGTCAGGAAAGTTTTTCACAAAAAAAAAAATCATAAATAATCTAAACTTACTTAGGGTGTGATATTGAAACAGTGTAAACACCAGGAAAAACTGGGGAAAAGAAAAAATTGCCATGATCATCTGTCTGAGTGATCCTTCTATCATCAGTTGATTGTAACTCAACCAATACTCCTTTAGGCCCACCTTTGTTACCACCTAAGCTTTCTACCTTACCAGTAATACCAAATCCTTTAAATACAAAATTAATGTCCTTTCCCAGAGAACAGTCATCGCGACCATCAATGTTTAATTGGACTTCTTTTGGCGTCAAAGTCCAGCCAGGAGGTGGAGAAAGCTAAGGGATATTAATTAAATTATCTTTACATCTGTAGACATACCTTACCTGTAATATGAATTCGCCTTTGTCATATATAGGCAGAAAATAGTAACCATTATTGGGTGCACAATTCGTTCTGTCTTTGACAATACCCTGTCTTGTAATTCTGCAATAATAATTATTATTTGTTTTATTAGCAATCTTTATCCGATTCCGCCTACAATTTCACTTCAATTTTCGAGAAATCTATAGGAACGTGACTTTTTATAAATCCGCCGCAACCTAGCACGTCGCTGGCAAACGCCAACGAAAAGTAATGCAGAAAAGTCGGAAATATGAGCCAAAACTTATTCATCACCAAAAACATTACTTTCCAAGTTAAATTTTATTTAAGGTTATATTAGAAAAGTTAGGTTAACTATAACTTCTTCTTCATCGCATTTTTATTGGCCTAAATTGCTAGGATTAAGTTTTATGAATTATTTATTTATGAATTATGACGTCAAAACGCTGTTCTGTGCCAGCTATGGTCATTATGCTTGTGTTTTAGTTTTTTTATGATTTTGATAGTAAAAAAAATAAGTATATACATATTACACTTAACCGAAATGATATTTCCGTAAATTTCACACGTTTATTTGAAGTCAACGTTATTTCTGAGGGTAATTAAGTTATTAAATATAAGGCATTAGAATTAAAAAAAAAACATTTATTAAAAGATCCACACAACTATTTGGTGACAACATAAGATGAAATATTGATCTATAAATAAAGTTGGGAGACAAATTTAAATGATCGAGATTAATATTGCATGAGTCAATAAAATCGCTACATTGCCTTTAACGAGCCATTTACTAAGTCTAAAAAGCTTCACATGTGTAACAGAAATATATGCCGAGATTTAACAAACCCCGGGATATTTTCAAAAAGACATTGAGGGACATCCCACATAAAGTTAAGGCAGTTGCATTTTTGTAACTGCCTTTACACTTTGATATTTACCAACATTGCTTTCCTAAGATATGATCTACATACATTTAAGGCATAAACTGTTACTTAATAATTCATATAGGATAACAAAAGTTATAAAATCTCTTTAACTAGGTACGGAAAAATACATCTTTAAAAAAAATATGTGGGTAATAACACACTCCTTTACTCTAAAATATTTACATTTAATAATGTATAATCACTTTATGTAACAAAAAAGAACCCAAGGATGAAGGTACTAAAAAAAGTTCAGCTTACAGCAACTGGTTATTTAGAAAAAAATTATATACAATATGGTTCCAGTAGCTGTAGCAAAAAAAGTACATTAAAAAAAGAGATACTCATAAAAATTAAAAAAGCATTGGGAAGGCCTTTCCAAAAAAGAAAATGCCTTTAAAGCACCAATTAGGCTATATCTAACAATACTTATTCTTTTCGAATTCGAATTAAAAACACAATACAACAGAAAACGGCAGAAGTTACACAAATAGAAAACTAATACTTTCCTCCTGCGACACAAAGTAACATCATTCCAAAGAGCACACGTCTTGTGCTGATAAAAATTATATACTTTTATTGAGTTTCACTGACGGTAAATACATTTTGTCAGTTTTCTCGCACGTTTCAGATCTAAAGTTAATCAGGGAACGACGTAAAACTTTTACAGACCTCGGGCTACATTTGTCTTTCTCCAATGGTAAGGCCCGCTTAGTGCGCTTGATTACTTGGTCTTCTGAAGCTTGACAGTTTTGATAGGTCTGCCCATTTTTCACTAATCGCACCAAACCCAACTTAACCGGTAGCTTATTATTGCTTAATTGGGCTTTGTCATTTGACAAAGCGGAGATGGGGGTTACCACTTTCCTCGCAGTTATTTTCTTGGGAGCAGTTTCTTTTGTTTCAATTCTGTCAACAATAAACGCAACGCATGGAGACCGCCATTGTCAATCATCGATTTAGATAAGCTAACCAGCGCAACATGCATTGCTCTCAACTTCTGCAGTTTACGTGTACATCTCGTTTATGTAGGTTTCTAACAAATTTAAGCACAACTATGGATAAAACTACAAACCAACAATTAATTAGTAACATAAAAAATTATACAAAATATAACAGAAAATGAAAAAACCAAATCAAATCAAGGAAAATTTGGCCAACCATTAACTAAAAGCAGGAGTATAAGACAAATTGATTACATGCAACGAACACAAATATAGACATTTGAAAGCCTAGGGGTTAACCACTGAACTATCAAATGTAGCCAATTTTTTAGCCGTTTTTGCTATTCACTCATTGTAGGGTTTTTGTCTCACTAATACGAAAATTTAAACAACCATTTATAAAAAGGGAAACTACCTAATTAATTAAAATCGCAAATTGGCGGACTGGGGTCTTTTCGACCCAATGGGCTGTTTTTAGTTAATAATCCCTCTATTGTCTTGGTATTAACAACTTATTTATTTTATGCGCACATGTTTTAGTTTTCTGTGGATTGTTTATACTCAATAGCTAAGTTGACATTTAAGATTCCAGTCCGCCGTTATTTTTCCGTTTATGGAGTGGGAGACTTCCGCAGTACTCTGTGAACAAGGAAAAAAGATCGAATCGTTGTATTGTGATATTGGTACATTTGGTGAAAATTATGGCTGCTAAAATTTCCACAATGGAATAAAGGGAAACCCCAGCGACACTTAGGAAAAGAGCTAATGATAACAAATACAACGACAAATAGATTCAAATCGTCGTTTTTCGTAATCTTTCCCGAGAAGCGGAATATCAGAATGGAGCGAGTAAAAGTCCACCTACGCCAAATGCTAGGTCACTAGGCGCCGTCTTTGCAAAATATGCTTACTTAATTTATAAAAAAAAAAACTAAAACAGTGAAACACGTTGCTAAATAAAAATTAAAATGGGGTAAAAAGGTTAAGTAATACAGTGCAAAGTGGTTAACCCCCAGATGAAAGCCATTCCACAGTTCAAAGTTCAAGCCCAAACATGTCTGTGATTAAACAAACCTTTTGGTCACGATTCGGTTGCTTGAGCAGCCAGAAACGCGTGATCCATTGCTAATAATCTTACCGCCCCTTAGCGTGGTTTGATTGGAAGTAGCGTTGGTTAAATGAATCCTTCTCAAGCGATCAGTGCTGAAATGAATGCAATGTCAGTTGTGCAGATAATTACCACAGTTGCGCAATTACTTCATGCTTCCGAGAGGCTTAAGCCTGCTTCTTTGCGCTTTAATTTCGTTTAGTTTATCACCTTGAGTGGGAATTTTACTTTCTTCATATTCGGGCTCAGGCGGGTCATTTATTTCCATGCAGTCTACTTTTCTCATAATACCTGTCACATTATCCTGACCCTTCTTTTGCTTTAGCTCAGACATACTGTAGATCCCTACAGAAAATTTTATAGGAGAGGACAGACCATTCTGTTCACGATATAATTCACCAGCTTCCCACAGCTGAGCCTGCCTCCTGGAAATAAATTGAGTTTGCATTATTTGCATACACAATATGTCCAAGATAAGAGCAAGGAGGTCTCGGAAAATTGTTTGAGCATTCTCATCTTGGACATACTGCATATAATAAACAGAAATTAACCCACGCTCGTAGCCAGCTTTGTTGATGGCCTATAATAGAACCAGGCCGACATATACGGATCCAAGCAATTGCTTCTTCTGCAGTAAATTTCCAGTGCTTCATTATATAACAAGCGATTAAGGAACCAGTCCTACCCAACCCAGCTGGAAGCCGTATTTTATGTTAATTTTTATATATTAGAAAAATAATTTTATTTTATTTGTGGTTTTCGTACCTTTGCAATGCACTGCGATGGCACCTTTAGCTGTTTCGCAGATATTGATAAAATGATACATAATTCGCCTAGTAGGTGTCCCACCATCCGCGAAGTAAAGGTCTTTGTGGTCAAAACCAGCTTGGATAAATTTATAAGAATCATATGCCTTTTTATTTAATCTAATAATAGTGCTGATTTTATGCCTCCTGAAATAAGCAAAATATGTTTCTGGTGAATGAATCGGATAACCCATTTCCAGCTTGGAATGATTGTGCGGACCACAGAATGCAATAAATTTATTTGGAACAATCCAGTTAAAATCTCCATTTTCCACTCGTTCATAATGTTCATACTCCAGAAAATCAAAGTTGTCAAAATTAAAAAATCCAAACTCCAGAGCTTTCTTAATTGCTCTTAGGCAATCCAACAATGAAAGAGTGTAAGGTTCACCTATTGATGCATCTCGAAACTGCATATAATCCTTGGTGGAGTCATGATTCAGAATCTCATACGCTTCTTCAGGTTCAAAACCGAGGTATATTATCTGTGAAGAAAATTATATTATATAAAGACAACTGCAGTTGATATTTCTCACCGAATATGACCCAATTAGGAAAGCTGCGTTAACTCTTTTTTGCACATTGGAGCCTGTGTAATGCACAATTTTCTTATTTGCGAAAGCTGGATTATTAAGTTTTCGTCTCAGCTTCACACAATAATGATACAGCATAGCCAAATTTAAAGGTCCAAAATCGAGGTAAAAGCTGTCATATGTAAGTTCATTATCAATTGAAAAATAATGTACAGATGGGATGGATTTCGGTTTGATATCGGTATTTAAAGACACAAAAAACAAGTGACCTGAAAATGTAAGAAATTAATTAAAATAAAATTTAATAAACTGCTAACTATGGATTTACCTTTAATAAATTGTGATGCATTCAGCAAAACATTATCAAAAACGTCCATGTTTAATACGCTTTTGTTTTTCGCTCTCATAGGTCAGCTAAAAACTGCGTTATAAATAAATATTACCATAAATTGAATGGTTACTTGCTAGGTGTATTAAAACCCACATATTTAAAAAATATGTAGGTGAAAATGTGGGCGGGAATTATTATTATGATACATTTGTAAGTGATTTTTTTAAACGAACACTAAATTCTACATTTAAAAAAATCGTTAGGCAAATAGTCAAATAAATGCTCTTTTTTCAATCGTAATATTCCAACTGTCGAAAATTAAACTTTGATCAACATCAACAATTATTTACCCATTCAATCTAAAATCCGACTCATCTAAATATTCGTAGTTGCACCATAATTGACAGTTTGTTTATAAATAATGGAAATATTTCTCCATTGTAGAGAAGTCCACAACTATTTTTATTAGCATAAGATTGTGATTTTAACTAAACGAATACCAGAACAGACGTTTTAACCACATTTGCCTTAGATTTTCGATTTATTTTGATTTTACTGGTGTTTAACTTGAGAATATAGTTCCCATAAATAAAAGAAAATTGACGTTTCCCCATCTGACCAACTACTAACTAAAATTCAACCAGCGCGTTCAACGGATCTAACAGTTCCGGAGTTTTGACACTATGCGTTTCTTGCCTGTAGATAGGCAAAAGGTTGACAAGGAATATATGTACACCCAATATAGCATGCCGATAAAACTTACTGATGCGACGCATCAGTTTTTCCGTAATAAACAGTGATAAAGAAAATTAATCAGCCGCGCATATATTGGAACTAGATTAAGCAAACGGGTTGTGGAAAACAAAAGTGCTTCAAAGCCAGAAAGCGCTTGACAGTAAAGAGCAAAACACCAAATAGCCCTTGTAAAGCTTACTCGAATTTCTTTATCTAGTCAGATGGATGTGTTTGGTGTGTCATAATCGGTACCCCCAGAGTGCTCCCGTTGTACTACTTTTATGGTATATTTCGAAGCTCTTGTCAATTTTCGTGCCACTTTAAATGCAAAAACACATTCCGAGACAACCGCTACCGAGAACGGTTCCGTAAGTGTTAGCTCCGGTGAATGCGCTCTGGAAGTTTAAATTTAGGGAATTTTGTTTCGAATGGGAAGACTGACATTTCGAAGCACAGACTGCAATTTTCAACTTGCAGTGGTAAGTAGAAAGTTCTGACGTCATTGAGTACTGGTTAGCATTTTCTATACCATATTTTCTACAAAATAAACCCTTAAGTTAGAGTACCAAGGCTGGCGATTACTGCGAAATGAATTAAAATTCATTACATACGGATTGAATTACATAGGATTCGTTTGTATAAAAGTAATTTTCGAGAGTGACACAATTTATAGGATTTAACATTTTTATTTTCATAAAAAAATAAGGAATGCAATATTTAAAATACATAAATCGCAGCGAAACATGGACCTGCATAAAAGATTTATCGCAACACTAAGTCAATCTTAAAATAACAGTATTTAAAATGTGATATTTGACAATTTTTCAGAAAATTAACATAATTTGTGTTAATTTTTTATTTACATCTAAATATATAATATATGTATATATCTACCTAATAGGGTTGATAAATCTCTTTGATCACAAATTTTAGGGATAGCGATAATTACAACTTTCTTCTTCTTCAAAAGGGTGTTCCCGGAGGAGGCCCTCTTGATCCTCGTCCATATGCCTTTGAGGAAATATAACTCCGTCTCCCAAACTAGACAAAGAAATTTTTTTTTCCATCAATTAATTTATTATCGACTTAAATTTATTTTCAATGTACTTTGTAAGTCTAATCTACATACTCGACAGCACACACTTATTTATTTTCTTAAAAATGTTATTTAGATGTTAATTTAAACACCAAGGTTAACTCAAAACAAAAATTAACTCAAAGTAAAAAAATCGTTTATTAAAAAAATAACAATCAGAATTAAGTACTAAGTTAAATCTATAATATGGATATTTCTGTTTGGCCTGGGTTCAGTTTACTTGTCTCGGTTTCAACGTCACGCCGTCTGCTTGAAAAATGACACCTTTCAATAATTATTTTAAAATAGCACATTTATTGTAATAAAGCTTTAACATGCACTACAAGTTAACAACGTCAAACCATTGCACAAACAATGCAAATTGTTTGGTGTGCAATGTGCAATGTTAAAAATACACTGGCGAGAGATATGTTAGACCCAGATGAAACGTTCCTCCAAGCAAACAACATTCAGAATCAGCGCATATAAATGCTTGGTAAATTATATATTTCGAGATGAACCTAACATACGCATTAAAAATCATTTAAATTTAATTAAAATCATAGACAAAATGCAACATTAAATTATTAATATCAAGCTTATTAATCTAAACCAGCGAATCTAAAAACCGACATTAGGAAATAGAAGTCCAGCTAGGAAAACACCTGACATCATTTACTAGTATCGTTAAACTGGTTAAAAAAATTAGTAATATGCAAAAAGAGTGAAAAGGAAGGTGTTCAGTGTCTAGCCACAATGTAATTTATGTGGTATAGCTTTATACAGCATTAGGCAAAGTCGTCTTCTAACCTGTTTTGTATGTTGTCCATTGAATGATAAGAACTCTGGAGGTGCCTTGAATGCACAGGGTATTCAATACCATCACCCAAACTACAAAAGTAATTTTTAATTGTTAAAGCTCTGTTACAAAATATTCCGCTTGAAGTAATCGGCACCATTTTTTTTTATTTGAAAGTAATATTATTATATTGTAAATACCTAAAGAGATTTTTACCCTTATGTCTTATTAAAAAAATATAATTTCGTTATAGTTAGGCAATTTTGTTTTTTATTTTTCAGATGTAACAGAAAAGCTTGGAGATAAAGTATCTTACAGGCATTGTATTCAGATTTAAATAACAAGGTGCCCCACCTAAATTAAACATTTCAAAATATTGTCATCAAACCCAATTAGTACTTAAATATGAGTTAGTGTTTACAAAGTACATCGTGGGATATACTTTTAAACATGTTTTCAGACAAATTTGGTGTGAATTTATTTGTATAGAGCCAAATTTCTCTGAAAGAAAAATGATGTAGGAAGAAAGTATTTAATAAACTAAAAAGTCAGAATTAAAAAGCTATAATACTATACCTTGTATGTAAAGGTAAGAACCAGAGTTTTGGATTATCACCAAATACCTCTTTAAAATTTCTATACCGCCCCAGGTGGAAGCCATATTTATCAGCACCGAGTCCCCGAAAACTGGGTGGTCTAAACGCCTCTGCAAAAATTTAAAAATATTGTCATTATATTGTAAACAGAACTACCATGTCTATTTACCAAGCGTTGTTCTATTCTTCAGTACCAGATAACAATGATACCCAAACAAGGACATCAAGCTCACACCGAACATAATAGCAACAAAAAATAGAAAAAAAATATGGAATCTCCCCATACCTTGAAGGTCACCCTTAAACACATTCAAAATTACTTATAGAACAATTAAAAGGTGTGGAAATCAAATACCTTCCAAAATGCAATAAAGTATGGAAGGGAAGTTAGACATATATAAATACAGTATAAAAGTGCGTATCCTAAAAAGAGCACAAAATATTTATAATTTGTGAAACAAACACAATTATTAATCCACGGACAGTGGTGATCCATTTTTAAAACACACACCCCACACACAGAGCAATGATGGGTTCTATCAGGCTTGACATTTTTACATTTCTCGCAAAATCTAATGCTTCCGCCTATGGTAACATTGGTTATAGGCAAACTTTTTGCGCAATTTTCTAGTATTCTATTTTGTGTTTCCAGTGAATCATTATTATGCATGTAGGCGTCAAAATCTGCGTCTGATATCCTAAACTAAAAATTCAAAAAAAATATATATATATATTTTCAATAATATTGCACTCACATTGCTAGGCACCCTGCCAATATCTGTAAATATTGTTTGTATATAGGACCAGCAGAACATGACAAAAAGCATGTGATAAAATATTAGGAAAAGTATTTGGGCTAGTGTGTTTTCCATGTTACCTATAAAAATCATCAACTCATACAACATTCTTCACAGTCTTACACAACGAACTTACTTAAACATAACTGAATAACGTATGCATAGTAAGACCAGGCAACAATAGTAACTATAAATAATACAGGTATCCATTTAACAGCTTTTAAACACCAATAACATGCCCCATTGCTATCAGTCCCTGAGACTGCCATGACAATGCTTTATCCCTGTTTCAACCTGCTTAAGGAATTCATTTCAGATGAAATCCGCATTACACGCAAGGGTGGGGTTTTACAATTGTACTGAAATTTGATAATGCTCTAATAACCTAAAATTCGTGCAGCCCTTTACTTACCTGAACTAGAAAAGTTATTGACGACATTAGGCTACATCTTTAAAAGTGATATAGTTGCTTATTTTATTAAGAGAAATTATAATAGCCCATCAAGAAATATTATTAAAATACTTAAATTGTTCGGAGATCCTTATCAATAATAGCAGGTTCAGAATAAGTTTAGGTTTTTTGACTTTTCGCACAGTTAAATTAATACTGTACCTGCAAAAATACTATATGACACTAAGGTAATTTTTGAATTGTGGCGCCCTCTTATCAACAACCATACATAACAATCGTATCTTCTGACGTAGATAAATATGAAATGCCTTGCTAGAGACGAGCGTTACTGCACGAGTGTTGATTTTTGGTTGAATTCCAACAAACCGAGTCCTAACCAATATATTTATTACACATTCTTTACACATTATATACAACATTCTAAATTAAAGAAGATAACTGTGCATTTTTTCCAAACTCATCGCGGGTGGCTAAATTTTCGGTGCGAGAATTAATAGTTGTTCATCATTAGGGTTACATACGAATAAGAAGCCTTCATTATCTAAAAAATAAATATGCATAACGATAAGCTAATTGAATTCAGTATCTGCTAACCGCTAAACCCGATTGAGTTGTCATGGCATCGAAAGGGCCTATCGTTAGAAGTAATGGCCTCTGAGCTCTAAGTATTACAGTCAAAAGGGATTTCTTAACACCCATGGTTTGTTTGTACCACGGGCTGTCGTAGATGGCATCCGCTAGTGCCAAACTCTGCGAAAATTTAATCGTATTAATTGAATCCTTCATAAAAACTTTAACCACCTGTATTTTTACTTCATTCGCATTCCACGCCAAAATAAAAGTTTGAACAAATAAGTGACTGATGTAAAAAATAGGCGACGCTAGCATCTTGCGATCGTACTAAAAAAGCGAAAAACTAAAGCCTTGAAATTAAAAACGTAATAACAATTCGGTACCGTTATAAATTGGATGGATGTTGCGGCTACATTTAAAGAGTCTAGAAGATATTCCATCAAAATCAAGTATTTGACGCAATCGTTTAATTTTTTAACGAACCTGTATATAGACACGAATGAAATGCATTGAAATACGTTCGAATTATGCGATTACCTATTAACTTCCTGGTGCTCTAAGATTAGATGTCGTAAAATGACAAATATATCGTCTTCGTAGGTGCCCATTTTTCTAAACCTGATGCACAACTGCTTTAAAACCGATGGTACAAACATAATGCAGGAGAAGAAAATGGTTTTGGTGGAAACTATACGAAAACCGTTAATGATAGCGGCAAAATCATTGACATAGTGCAAAACCGCGGCGTGTTTTTCTGCATCAAATTTGTAACAATACAGTTCGAATAGGAACGGCACTGGCAAAGTAGCATTATGCTCCCTGTTGTATTTTTCCACTTCGAATCTTCGCCAATACGTTTCCAAAATCATCGTCGATCCGGCGAACAGCGTGAAAACAAGTACAATCCAATTCGAATTTTTGCAAAAGTGTACTTGTTTTAAGTGTGCTTGGATAATTATTTTCTCGCCGGAGCGAAATATTTTTTCTTCCTCTTCATAAACGAATGAGATGAGACGAAGAACCTCGTCTCTTTGCCAGAGAATGGTCGCAACTTCAACTATTAGAAGCGTTATGAAATAGGAAAGCTGCTTGAATAACTCTTCGGTGGTTTTGCTAGAATTCTTATCTAGGAGTGTTAACGTACACTGGATACACAGAGATGCTAGGAATATCGGGAAACATACGCGGACAAATTTCCGATAAACAGTGTATGTCTTTTTTAAAATAACATTTTCCACGGGCAGTGGTAATCTCCATATTCCCGCGCTAATCATACATAATTTCGGCATATCTAGAATGTGTTCAATGCTCGTCATTTTATAATAAGACCTCTGCAGAAAATTTCAAGTAAAAACTAAAATCATAAATTTTTTGTAGAAATAATATCTACTTACAACAAAGCGGTGTCTGACAGGACTGTGAGTGAGAAGTCTCTATCATCAATATCGTTTATTTATTTTTCTATGATTTCTCATAGTATGTGTTTATATCCCTTCTCTATAATTACGAAAATAAAAGGGTTACCGCCGCGATTGAACTTTTTCATCCCTCACGTTTTGTTTTGAATAAGAAATCATTTCAACCCGATCAGGGGCGTCTGTTTGGGAATTTTATGTGAGATACACTGGTTATTATCGTTTTATAAGGGCGTGGGAATTGATTATGCGGTTTTTGAACTTACCGGCGATTCAATAAACTAACTGAAAACAAAATGAACGCGATAGGCTCTTTTTGAACCAGATAATTTAATAAAAGTTATGGAACCCGTACGCCAATGGTTTTAGGAACAAATGCTACATTGTGTATGTGCTAATTTATGTATGAAATGCATAAATCGCAAGTCGCGATATATGAAAGAGGTTGTTATTCAACTGCCACTGATTTGACACTGTTTTGAACACAGCGCATATTTTTCATATACAAGAAGGTAACATCTTCAATTTTTTTTTAGCGGAAAATAAATAGCCTGCCATCTGAAGAACACATTTTATTGCAAACTTCGCACAATTCATTATAAAATAAAATGTCAATCATACAAAACAATATTTGGAAGATAATTTTATTTAAAGGTAATTACATTAAGCTTCGTAGTTGGTACTCTGAGGCGATTAAGTTTGTCCTGCCACAATTTTAAATTTGGTTTTGGGATCGACGCACAGTTGGTGTATTCATTTTTGTTTCCAGATCTTTCCATCACTCTAGGTTGTATATACGACAAATCGTCCGCATTGTCACATATAACACCCGATAGAGTAGTTTTACGAATTTCATTTAATTGCTCGCCCGTAAAAGATTGCCAGTTGCAAGAATTTTCATACCAAAATCGGTCGCCGTATTTAATCCTCATAAATTGATCGAGGATAAGGCACGTAAACGTGGGTCCTAGAATACTTCCTTCTAGGGGTTTCTCACTCACTGCTCCGCTGTACAAATCTATATCTTCAACAGTCCTGAAAAAACATTTACATACATTTTGAAAATGTAAACTTCAACTAACTTACCGATAGACAGATTTTATATTTTCCAATGGGTCTCGGTCCATAACTTCCCTTAAATTGTCGAACGTATGAGGCACTGCAAGTCCACATTTTTTCCTCCAAAACACGTAACCGGGTAGACCGTGGTCCCTACCCCTTTGAATGTTCAACGAAACCAAATCCAAGCCGCATTTTTTCGATTCGTTGGTTTGCTTCGTGTCACGTTCGAACATGTGTGACTTTAGCTGCAATCAAATTCAAAACGTTTGTTCACCGGACCTGGTATACGTGGTGTTTACTTCGTTCGAGAAATAACTATCCGATGCTTCTATACTCGTATTCATGGCACCTCTTAGGATCCTGTCGAGTTCTCCTTCGTCGTACAATGCGAAAGGATCGAAAAGCATTTTATGCATTTGCACGTATTCCGGACTCGTCGAGTCATTCGCAAGCAACTTGATCAATCCCGGTATAATCGTGTGGGCAAATCTGAACGCCGCGGTTGCAAACTCGTTTGCTATGTTGGGGTCGATATGGTCGCTGTATTTGTTGAAATAACCGTATTGCTGTGGGCTCAATTGAAACTGCTTCATGATTCGATCTCCTGGAACGCAAGCAACCGAGTCACGATTGAATTTTCGAAGTAACCAACTCATACCCAAGAGTATCGGCAAAAATTCGTTATACGTTATATGCTGCATTTGCGCACCCACTAGTCTTCGCGCTTCTTGAAACAAAATTTCGTCGTTCCAATGGGGGTTCATCGTAGATAACTGGGTCGCTAACCGATTGTGCTGCCGCACCCATATCAAGTGCATAGTGACCAGATGCAGATTTTCGTTAGCTCTGTCGTCGCCTGCCGAAAGACAATCGAGAGTTATCATTCGGAAAGAGATACGCAGGAAGTATTACCCGCCAAAAAGCAATATCTGCCCCTTTCTCTTTCGTCGTCTCTATTGCATCCATCGGCCATATCATGCGATATCGGTAACAGCGTCCGGTTATCTTTTGTAACGTACGTTTTCAAAAAACCACCCTCGAACGTTCTGAGAGATTGAGCTTTGCTCTCATCAGCGCCGTAAACCACCGAACCGTCTATAAACGAGGTTACTTGGTTCATTTGTTCTCTAGGTCCTAAAAGGGTCAAAGTGAAGCGGAGAGGGAATTACGTTATCATTTTAAATACCCAAACAGCAAGTGGGACTCGGTGCGGATCTCACAAATTCCATGCAGCTTATATTGTATTTTGCCAAAGGGTCTGAAGGTTCTACAAGGACGGGAAAACATTCTGGCGAAGAGTACGCCTGATTACCGCAACAAGATATAGTATCTCCGTTGTTTTTGCGACTCGGAGCGGTCGCTGTTATATCGTGATCTAAAAATTGACCCCACACGGCTAGCATTACTGAAAATTTGAGATCCTCTCTGTAATACGGCCTATGCACTTCGATGCTGACCACTCTGGCCGATGGTAACGGCGTGCCGCTACGAGATGCCCGCGGTTGACTAATACCATCAGCATAATCGGCAGGCAATCCTCTTCGGAATGGCGTATTTGCAACGCCGAATAAAGCAGAGTGTCGCAAATTGTTACAGCTACCATCGTAAGAGCGATATTTTTGATAGACATTGCAGCTTTCGCTGGGGGTGGGGGAACAATAATCCGGACCGCTTTCATCGGTCCCATCGTTAAAACAGATCTTGGTTAATTCGTATAAGTCATTCTGAATACTACAAAAAAAACAATCCCATTAAATGTAACAAAAAATCCATAATTACGTACCCGTATAAATATCGGGTCGCATATTCTTCTGCGTATCCTTTTCTGGACAAATTCCGAGCTTTTTCAGAAAAACTAAATGCTTTTTGATGTCTGTAGCTGGGGCTATCGATAGATAGAGAAGGATTATACGTTTCCATTCTGTCTTTTTCGGAAAGAGCTTTTTTCCCTGCAATCAACGCGTCTTGAATGTCCGTAGTGATATTATCAAGTCCGTTTGAAATTTCATCGTTCAAAGGCCAGTTTCGACTATTAAGCAATACTAGAAAGCTTTCTAAAGGGACCACATCGCTTTCGATTGCCGTCGAATTATCGTTTGATATAGGGTTATCGTTATCGTTAATACTGTAAGCTACAGTAATTACTACAGCCGCTGTAACGCCTACTCTAAAATATTATTTATTAATTAATTAATTATTATTATTAAAACAAAATCAAGTGAATGTCTAGCATTTTACTTACCCAATCGATGTAATATTTTATATTTAAAATAAAAACACTTACAGAAAAATCGTACACACGCAACACTGGAATTGTTTCACTCTTCGTTTCCGCGCACGGGCGATGCTGGATTCAAAAACGTATTGCGGTTGCGATGGTCTTAAAAGGCTTGTAGTTTCCTGTACTTGCGTTTCTGCCATTTCGAGTAAATTACGAGGTTTAAATACGAACGCCGAAAGACGTGTTCGACGTTATTAGAAAATTGTAATTGATACTGAAGCCAATCAAGCATGTTTGAAACCTTATACGAGACCGCTTCAGTCACCTGGAAATGTTATCTTTCGTTTGGCTTGGAACGGTTATATTAACATAGGAATTAAATTAATATATTTAGGTGTTTTATTATTATATATTTAGCACCGAATATTTGCCCGAGTAAAAATTTTGTGCTGGGATAAGGCGTAGGTGGTTATATATCAAGCGAAAACAAATGATAAAATTATTTTAATGAAAAATCGGATGCTGGCGTATACAAATTACATATGGAATATTTTAAACGTGTGACGTGTTCTAGACCTTACAAAACAATTGGTCCAGTTTTCTTACTATGCTAACCAAAAAGGTACCTTCAAATTCCTCCAAATCCACGTAAACAATTATTAAATATTCGAAAGGTTACTACATAAAAAAAGACCTACAGTTTCTATAACAGTAGACGAATAAAACAATGTGGGACAAAATTAAATTAGGATCAGTAGATCGAACAGCTAGAAAAGCAAAATTAAGAATACATAAAATATTAGATTTTCTACTAGCTACTCCAGTCTTATTTACTCCAGCAGATTTTGGCGTTTTTCTTTGTTTAATGATACATACAAAAATATAATCGCACACCAAAGCTTGTCTATTAATTAATAGTAAAATCGATCACGGCATGATAGTTAAGGGCTAATCAAAACCTTTTCCGCCTTCATCACTACAGGACTCCCTAGGACCCTACGTGGTTCGAGGAGAAACTAAAACTTACCAAATTAACCTTAAGGCCCACCGGGTTGTTTTGATTGAAACGTATTTTCCTCTTAAAAAAATTAAAGTAACGAGGCATATAATTATCAAGTCTAATAAAACATTGCATACACACATTTAAAAATTTGTTTAATTTTCCCAGTTCATTTGTTAACTTTGTGAAATGTTTGGATTGGAAAATTATGCATAATTTTGAGGTACATCGACTATATATTACATCAATTTGGTGTTCTGCTTACAGTATAAAATTCGTATATATACACACACAAACTCAATCTATATATGGAGGTTTTTGTTGATTTCAATAAAACAATTCCAGCATGTGTCATAAGGTGTGTCATTTGTATCCACTATCGCTGTCATTAAAGTCAGGATTTGCATGAATCGGATCAGCTTTGAAACAGGCCTGTTTCAGATGTCAGTTTAGGATAACAGAAAAGACACAATTATTAAATATACCTGCTTAAAGATGGTTGGCGCATATAGGGTGTAGCACAGGCAAAAAAGGAAATCAGGTAGACTAAAGACAAGATGAATGAAAAGGTGCAGAACTAGAGCATGAAGCAGAGCTAGTGCTATATATAATAAATGCAGCTAACGAAAAAACATTCGTCCATACAGGAGGCCTTAAGTGTAATAAAGATAGTCCCAGGTGTATTTGAAGAGACATTTGACAATACACATACATTTGACACACCTTTCATTTTGTTATGATTCCTTTTGGTGTATTTTTGTCAAACTCGAGACTTCGCCATGGACGGATAATATTTTTCGTTATCTTTATAGGTAAAATGATTACAATGGAAAACTATTCATATGAAGGCGTATCGTTTTAAATTAGCTTCAAATATGGTTCACCTTAACTTGCCCATCCACGCTGGTGTTTTTTTTTTAAATTGTTGTGCTCTAAATAGAAACTGATTAAGCAACACTGCACCGAGTGCCGCCGACATACACAAACCACTTTATATATATATATATATATATATATATATATATATATATATATATATATATATATATATATATATATATATTCTCACGTATTGATTCACGGATGGAAAAATGTGATAACACTATATTCCGGGATATCATCCGTTCGCTCGTTGAACTCCGACTGGAATCCTGCATCCGACTGGAATCCTGCAAATCTTGCATCCGACTGGAATCCTGCAGACGTTTCGCCAAAATCTCACTTGGCATCTTCAATGCTCGCGCTCCGAAAACACTTCGAAGTGTTTTCGGAGCGCGAGCATTGAAGATGCCAAGTGAGATTTTGGCGAAACGTCTGCAGGATTCCAGTCGGATGCAAGATTTGCAGGATTCCAGTCGGATGCAGGATTCCAGTCGGAGTTCAACGAGCGAACGGATGATATCCCGGAATATAGTGTTATCATATATATATATATATATATATATATATATATATATATATATATATATATATATATATATATATGTGTGTGTGTGTATAAATATAAATACACACTCTAAACAGCTATAAATGTATACTTGGGCAACAAGTTCAAGTAAATTTCAATATAAAAAAATATTAATCTCATTTTTTAAATAAACATGAGCAAGTTTAAGTCTTACGGTGGAAGTTCTGAATCTTTGCAAACCATTTCTATCGATACGGATCTGATCGGAACTGAGAACATAGGCTTTTTGAGCACCATGGGTTTTGCCTTAGTCGGTGGTTTAAAGGTTGTGGTTGACGTCGCTGGGCCTAACGTGGCGTACTTTCTATTAGGTACAGGACTAGATATAGTCACAAATTCAGACCCTTCCAGATGTATTTTTGTGTTTTTCTTTAGCGTACATTGATTTTGCTTAGCAAAAGTTTCCGCGGCCGTTTGCATTTCGGGACTTTCGACATCTTGCTGTTTCTCGTTCGTCGTTAGACTTTCCGGAGAATTATTTAAACACAACCCCGAAAAAACCGATACCGAGCTGGCTAACGGTAAATCCATAACCAAGTCAGGGGTGTGACTTTGCCTTTGAGCAAACGGCTCAGATAATCTCTGTGATTTTAAAAGGGGCGTCGAAGAAGCCTCGGTATCAGCTCTGCGCTGCCACAAATCCCGACTCTGGGAAAAATTCACGTTGGATTCGTCAATTTCTGATTTCTCGGAGCTCGAAAGAGTGTCTTCTTTAGTGGTTACTGTTTCTGTTACTCCACTAGGGGTTGGATCTTCTTTCTGAACTAATAGCGACTGAGAATCAAGATCATCTGAATTTGGAGGGTATATAGGGATGTCTTCGGCAACAGTTGGATGCTAAAAAACAACAATTATGATTATTTATATTGTAAAGTGAACCTGTCGAAGGAAATTGAATTTTCTAAAGCTTTGAAAAAATGTTTATAGTTATTAGAGGGTGATAAATGAAAGCTTGGTTGATCAATACTGATTGAAGCTAAATATTTGCACCAAATTAAATGTTGAAATATAGAATTTACTACTTATGTAATTTTACATGCTAAGTTGTGTGTAATCCCCCTTACCTTTGAAAATATTAGTGTAGATACTTAATTTACTTTAGTGTTACCAACTAACATAAAAAATATTTTAATAAATAAAGGACCCCTATAGGCAACCTAATGTTAGTAACCTGTTAATCACTGAATAATGATGGGAAGATAACTTTAAGAGACAGTAGGTGCAAGTGAAAATTGGGATTTATATAATATGCTCACCTTCTATGTATGATGACCTCAAGCAGTTTACTTAGTTACTTCTATGAAATCAACAAAAAATAATTTAAAATACTGCTACACTCTTACGCTAAAAATAAAAGCGGCACTCGGTTACAATTTGCTTTTAAGCACGAAAACATGCAATAATTTTAAATTCAAAAACCGGGTTCTATTAACTGATTGTTTTTATTAAAAAAATATCGGCAACATTTCAAAAATTATAAAATAAAACCTAAATTAATTATCTTTGTATAAACTGAAACAATTTTTCAAAGTACGGCTCCGTGACCATACAACCCCGGGTACCACACAGCTGGTGAATATCTTTCTTGTTCTTTGTTGGTTTTAGTCGTGATTGTAATTTGAAATAAATAGACCTATCTAAACAAAGAATTACGCAAATCGCATACAATCATAAAAGTAACAGATTTTACTTTACAGCAGCGTTCAACTTATTTGGTATCATTAATATTATTTCCTCCTTTACTTCAGATTATCAATTTTATTTCTCAAAGTGAATTGTTGTCTTTTTAACAAATGACCTAATTTGGACTCGGCCACCACAAGATTTTTTTTTAATATTCCACACCGGGGTTCGTTTGGTTACATTATACACAATAAAAAACTAAACAGTAAAATAAAAAAAGTTATTTCATAGCAGAGAACAAAACAATATATAAAATTGTCTTATCACAAAGTTGCATAAAACCTTAAATAATGATATTTATTTTATTTCTTATCAAATATTTGTGTAACAGAGTTATGTATACAATATAAACAACCTTCCACAAGCTATACTTTTCCCAAATATTTAAAAACCAAATTCGTTAAATATCGATTGTTATCAGTTTTTTTTTTAATAACATTTTTCGCTCGTCTTCCTTACCCCTCGTTATCGAGTAAGCCGAAGATCACAGTAAGGCGGATTCTTATTGCTCACATTTCCGGTTTTATACGGGCCCTATACATTCGCAAAAGTTTTTTTTTAATACAACATGCTTCTATTTACCACTTGTGGAAACGCCATCGGAGTACTACTAATCTGCTTAACATTATCTCATTTACAAAAATAAGGTGGATACACACACAACAAAAACATGCACATGCGCGTAAATCCAACGGTATCGACGATACAAAGGGCTGCGGCATGCGAATTAGAACACCCTAAGGGCCACAATATAACCCGACGACATTGACTCGAAAAAAAAAAGCTGCTGAAGCAACTCAACGTATTGGACATAGGCGACAGTAATCAACTAAACAGTTGTTTCCAGTACCTCGGTCGCTGACCATATGGCCGCGCCACTGGTCGTGATCGCGCTACCGGCATCAATGATTTCAGATTCGTTTGAGCTGGAGGTACGTCTGCGCACTGATTCTTCTGAGGAGCTGCATTTAATGACGCCCATTTTGTCGCGATCCCTTTCATCATCCCTAAATTGAAGAAACGTCCTTCACCTTACTCAAAAGGATCGCTCGGGGTTTGTACTCACTTAATTTTTAGGGAAATGTATTTATCTGGAACGAGACCCTCCTGACCGTTAATCGCACCCCTCCACCAATCGTTTGAGACTTGCGAGTACAAGGTTACGGTATCGCCCCTTTTGAGTGAGAGCTCCCGATTTGATCGGGCAATAAAGTCAAATTGGGCAGTGGCTTCCAAGTTTTCGGAATCTACCAACAAACTAATTAAATCAATTCGAATTCGTAGGTGAGAAAGTTCATTACCGTCCTCAGAAGGATACACCTCTGAGTCAGCATCGTCTTGAGTTTGATCGGATGGGGAATCGCCAACATCCCTACAAATTTATAAAGTCACATAACGGGTTCAAAATCTTAAACAGTTTCCACTCACTGGTCGTCGGTGTTTGGAGAAATATATTTCTCATATACGGTGCCTTCATCGTTGGGGAAAATTTCATCGTGGAATATAATAATATTTTTAATGAGTTCGTTGACTTGGTTTTGAAATTGAACCTGGTCCTTATCGTCGGGCACCGGTACGAGAGTCGGACCAAAGCAAATAGCCAAATTGTACGGATCCATCATATTCTCATCAGAAAACTCAGACAAGTGGTTCAGAAATGCAAACAGATATCTTAAAACGATCATTACCGGTCTAGGAAGACTTTTGACAACCTCACGCATTTTATTTATGAACTCCCTTTTATTTTCTAGTTCTAAAATTTAAATCGGTTTCGAAAATCATCTTGGTTTATTAAAACAACACTAGTTTTATGTCAACTTACGTGCCAGCTCCATGAATTGCTCGAAATAAATAATGGGAAACAATGGCTCCCGTAATTCCCTCAAATACAACTTCAGCACCCCCGCTACGCTGTTTATATCGGAAGCGTCGGTCATATCCGCCAAAGGATCCTCCCCCCGCTCGAACCACTCACGGAAATTGTTTATTTCTACTTGAGAACCGGAAACGCGAAAAATTCCCTGATGATGTAATCCTGGAACGCGGATATTATAATAGTAGTGGGCGCGATCAAATTGGTGCCGTATTCTTACCATAGAGGTTGATTACCCGAATGCAAGACCTCAAAATGAGTGGTATTTCTTGATTGGTAGCTTCTTGGTATTCCTCAAGGGACCCGCCGAATAATTTTGGCTGCCCGCTCATTTGAAGTCTCCCGATTCGTTTCCTCTTCGGCGTTTTTACCACAGGACGAGCGGTCGCACACAATTCTGGGGCTTCCGATGCCAAAGACTGACGCAAATACTCCTGTTTCGCGTCTAACCGGGCAATTCGTGAAGAACCCAAAAGGTACTCCCTAAATTTCTACAAAAACCACAGCCACATCAGCGTACGGTGAATCGGAAACATATTCTTTTGCAATGCTACCTGCAGATAAAACTCCTCTGTTTCTTGTCGATCCGCTCGAGCTTTAATAGATACCGTTTCCGGAGGTTTATTCAAAGACTGAGCGTTATCTCCAAAATATCCACTGCAATCGTAATCCTTAGCACTTAACATTTCCAACAGAGTACTTTCGGCAGTCTCGAGCGTTTTCCAAACCTCCTCGGACTCGGTCCTCAACGACATGACCCTCTGGTGAAGCTGAGTCAACCTGCTCTCCATCTCCCTCTGCAAAATGTTCTGGATCTCCGGTTCGGCGGTATCTTCGGTTTTATGGCCTTGAAATTCTAACTTCTTCGGAATCATAAACGCGCTATGATTGTACTCTAAAAACCTTTGCTTGTCTAATCTGGAATCGAGAGAATTTATACAGGCCGAGAGCGTATCCAAACCGTTCTGCACGGATTTTTGCCGGCCTTCCTCGGCGGTGACGTGCATCAACAAAGCTCGGGATATACAGTTATGGAAACCAAAATCCATACACTGAAACGTCAAACGCGCAAAATTACGAATAAACCCAAAAGTTTAGTCGACTAACGTACGTCTATGAGATCCGACAAATCATCCACGAAATATTTGTGAATGGTCGTGTTGGACGCCTCCAAACACAAAATATATTCATTCCTGGACTTTAGAGCTTTGAGTTTTGCATCGGTATATTTGTTTCTCCGCTAAAACGGCAACGATATTAATAATTTTGTAACGTTTCTTAACGAAACCTACTTTCGCCACCTCTTTTTCCATCAGTTTATATTTTTTCGAGCGCTCTAACTTGTCTTGTGATAACGTGGCTTCTAACTTGTTTCTCTGTATCTCAGCGGCACGCAGTTTGGCTTCAGCCTGCCGCAATTCAGCTTGATAACTATGATATGTCTTCATTGTTGTGTGAAGTTCGTGCAAGACCCTTAAAATCTCTTCATGCGTTTCGTAACCAATTTCCCGGCACTAGAATTGTTTTTTGTCGTGAAAATAAAATGAATGTTTCCGGTTTTACTAACTCTTTTGTATATTCGTTGAACGTCTTCCATCACTTGTGCTAGCCTAGAAACTAGATGGGTGGAATAAACTTCCGATAAAGCTACGTGATCTCGGCTTAGATTTTTCGTCTGGGTAACTAACTGTTGCCAACAGGCATAACTTGAGAATAAAGGCCACTGTTCGCGTCTACAATATAAATTAATTGCCATTAATAGCATTCATCGGTAAGGCAATTGGAAAATTTTGACAGAGCCCGAGGAGCAAACGCTGGACCAACGCGGTGTACAACCCGGGACCAATATAGACCAACTGTCCTCCCAATGGAGCCGATAGTAGAGACAATAGCAGACCAATGGCGAAATTAAAAAAAAAACAGTGCCAATGGGACCAATTGAGGCTAATAATAGAGTAGAGACCAATATTGACAACTATGGGACTAACAAAGCCAATTTATTAGTGGTACATTGGGACCATGAAAAATATGGGACCAATAGAGCCAATTTATTACTTCAATTCTAGAGACCAATGGGACAACACAAGGGTCAATAGTGACAGCATTGACAACTATGGAACCGATAGAGTCAATTTATTAGGTCAGGGGCTCACAATTTGTGAGTAAGGGTGTGGCAATCCCGAGGTGCCCTAGCTGGATCCCACTTTGCTTCACTTCCTTCTACTATTCTTGGGTGGGGTCCCTTCCTCTTTTGCCTTTCCTATCGGTCTCTCTTGACCAACTCTTGTTTTTTTTTCCGTCCCCGACACTATTAGACAACGAGGGCTAGGGGTCTTTCTTTTCACGCTAAATTAAAAAACCTTATGACGACCTGGCGATGGACATGGAAAACCTTGAATAAAATTCATGACGGAACAACATAATATAAATTCGATTACGGTGCAGGGGGACTCGGAAACCCCAGTGCGCGCCCAGGTTGGTTGTAAAGCGGGCCAGTCTCGTGTGACAGAATGCGACCGCGACTCCGAGGGTGGAACTCAGGGTCTCTGGAGTTTTGATGCTACTGGGTTAAAGACACGGGAGAGAAGCTATCGCTGGTCCGGTGTGAAGGATCCTTTTGCAAAAAGAAGTCTGATAGGAAGATCCCCAACGCGGGCCAATACCAAGAACACGGAAAATCCAGCCAAAAGGCCTAGAGAGGAAACCTCGCCAAAACAGGAAGAGACAGAAAATAAGGAGGGACTCGCAATCAAAAAACTTATCGAAGATATGGATGTACAGGTTACAAAGTTGATGAGTGTCATCCAGACAAATATAAATACTAAAAAGGAGATCAAAGATTCGGTAGTAAGGTTAAGCAGCATAGCTAGCAGGTTAAAAGGCAGAGAAATACAGATGTGGCTGGGAAAAGGCGGAAGTAGTAAGAGTAGTGAAACAGAGAAGAACTCGGCAGCAACACAAACAAGCAATGAACATAATATGGCAGACACAGAAACGCAAACTGTATACATGAAAGTATTGACAGAGGAGAAAGAAGCAGAACTCATAAGGGAGTCTCTGAGGGCAATAGAATCCTTAGATGATCTTTTGAGAGCAGTAAAGAAGACCTGGCCCGAGGCGGCATACAAAAATGTAAAAATCGAAGTGGGAAACCCCCTATCAAAAAGTTCTGGAGGTGACCCGGCGATATACTCCGAAGACCCTGAAATGACTAAAGGTATCAGTAGGATTTTTAAGGAGAGATATCCCGAACTCACGTTGTTGGGAGATCCAAAAGAGACTACTGAAGTAGCATACCTCACTACCTCAGTAAAAATTGGGAGAATGGCAACAAGCGAACGTACCGTATTCAGGCTCTGTCCACTGGGACCTGTGAGCGATGAAAGAAAAAATGAGGAATTGTACAAGATTCTGGTAGGCCTTAGAGAGACGGCAATCAAATTGGGAACGAATAATATACGGATGCCAATACCCGACAGGTATGAAACTGAAATGGTCAGAAAGCTGCTCGAAGTGGCATTCATCGACACAAAGATAGGGATAAGCCTGCACGTGCCGAAACAAGAAATCAACAGGAACACGATTAACACTACAAAAAAAATTGACCAAGACAATGACACAGATGTTCTAATTGTTAAGGCAGGGAATAAAACTTATGCTGAGCTACTGAGGGAAATGAAGACCAAAATTAGCCCTAAGGAACTAAATATAGATATAAAGCAAGTAAAAGAGACTAAAGATGGTGAAGTTCTATTAATCATGAAAAGCAACAAGGCGAATACCGAGTTATTACGTGCGCAAATAGAAGGTAAAATATCAAACGCCGAAGCTCGAACTGCAAGGGAACAGAAGACGATACTTCATGTGTACGGCATAGACGCCGCAACTAGTACTGAGGAACTAAAAGTGGCACTGCAGATCTACACCGATGGAGTTGAAGGGGATATAGAGGTGAAGTCTATGAGACCATACTCTAGAGGCTCTCAGGCTGCAACAGTAGCAGTGAACCCTAAAGTTTCAGAAATCCTACGAAAAGCGGATAGGATCAAGATTGGATGGAGCTCTTGTAGTATTAAGGAGCGCATACCAGTCCTACAGTGTTACAAATGCCTTCAACATGGGCATACTATCAGAACGTGCAAAGGGCCAAATCGTGCGAAATTGTGCTACAGATGTGGAGATGAAGGACACAAAGCCGCAGGATGCAAAAACGAGCCAACATGCTATGACTGTGGAGGAAAGGGACACCGAACAGGGAACATAAAATGCCCTGTCTACGGCAACCTTTTGAAGCAGAAAAGATAAAACTAACAAAAATGATGCAACATCTAACACAACCAGTGACAACAAACAGGAGTAGGAGGGAGCATTACCAGGACCAACACCAGGACATCAAGATTATGCAAGGAAATGTTGATAGAGGCTCAAAGGCGGTGGATATGTTATATAAGATGGCCGAAGAACATGGGGCGGATATTGTCCTGGTAGCAGAGCCAAACCGGAAGAAAGTGAAAGGTAGGAAATGGATTCACGACCAAAATATGGACGCAGCGATTTATGTCCCAGGAGGCCAGATCAAGATCCTGCAACATGGTGCAGGGGTTGGTTTCGTATGGGTGGAGACACCACATGTTATAATCTATAGCTGCTACATATCACAAAACGTAGACATTGTCACGTTTGAGAACTTTCTGCATAACCTCAGGGAAGATATGAAAAAACAAAAGAAAGAGATGGTCATTGGAGGAGACTTCAACGCTAAATCCTTTCTGTGGAGCCCTAAACCAGAAGATAGGAGAGGGGAATTACTATCAGAATAGTTGGCTGAAGAGAACCTCATTGTACACAATAGAGGCAGTGTACCAACCTTTATCAGGGGAGGCAGTGAGTCATATATTGACATAACATTTAGCACCCAAAAGATAGCCAGACAAGTCATAAATTGGAAAGTCCTTGAAGAAGAAAACCTGAGTCTCCATCAGCATATTCTGTATACAATCACTGGAAGCAATTGGACCGAGCTCCAGAAACCCAATACAGCACAGCGCTGGGTAATAAATAAAGAAAGGCTTACCGATCTGTCTCTGGAAGTAGGCAGACAACTCGGGAATGACCATAACAATCTGAGATCAGCAGAGCATTTTACGGACTTAGCAACAAATGCGTGCGATAAGACCTTTGTAAGGAAACGCAGCAGCGCAAGAAGACCGGTGTACTGGTGGACAGCAGAAGTGGCAGAAGCGAGGAAAAAATGCATTGAAAGTAAGAGAAAGATGGTCCGAGCGAACAAACGTAGCGATGAATCAGTCAAGAGATTATGCCATGATAAATATAAAACAGATAGAGCCCAACTCAAAAGAGCAATTTCTGAGGCAAAAAAAGCTGCATGGAAGAAAGTGATCGAGGAAGTAGACAAAGACATATGGGGACGAGGGTACAAGATTGTTACCAACAAAATAAAATATCCACCATTAAATATGTCAGATGAAAAGCAATTACAAATTGCTAAGTCACTTTTTCCGACTCGACCACTGCAAAAGTGGAACAAGGTAACAGTTCAACCTAGGGACATACCTCTGTTTACTGTCGAAGAACTAAGAACTGCAGTTGGAAAAATAAAGGATAGCAAAGCCCCTGGACCGGACAATCTCCCTCCTGAAATTATAAAGACAATTGCGAAGGATTATATTGAGGAGTGCACAGACCTCATGAACAAAATATTGCTGAAGGGAGAATTTCCTAGAATATGGAAATTGGCGCGACTTATCCTTATAGAGAAACCAGGTCAGGATAAGAAGTATAGACCCATATGCTTAATCAATGTAGCTGGTAAGCTACTGGAACATTTGCTGGTAAAACGTCTCAAGGAAGAAATTGAAAGGACTGGCGGACTGGCAGAAGAACAGCATGGGTTTCGGGAAAAGAGATCAACTATCAGCGCTTTGAGAAGGATACGAGAAAAGATAGACGAAGTAAAACAGACACCGTGGGGAAGGAGGAAGTTATGTGCTCTTGTCACGGAAGAGCTTCGAAATCGTAACATAGCCCCTTATCTGTATAACATCATAGCAAGCTACTTCGAAGATAGGCGTTTAAGCATAGGTGAGGCAGCGCAAATGGACGTCACATGCGGGGTCCCGCAGGGATCAGTAATAGGTCCAACCCTATGGAATGTGTATTACAACGGTGTATTCCGAATTCCTGTTCCAAATGGTATTACCCTTGTCGGATATGCTGACGATCTGGCTATCTTAGCAGAAGTAAAAGAAGTCGAGATGATGGAAACAGTAGCCAACCATGCCCTTTACAATGTCACGGAATGGATGAAATCTAAAAACCTGAAATTAGCCCCCCAAAAAACAGAGGCAGTCCTACTTGTTGCTGGAAGGAAAGTTAAAAACATTTCAGTCACAGTGGAAAACACAACAGTTCAGAGTCAGGAAGTAGTCAGATATTTAGGTATAAAACTAGATAGAAACATGTCCACATCAGAGCCGTAACAGAAAAGGCCAACAAGGCCTTGAACAACATCAGTCGCCTTCTACCAAAAGTGAATGGGCCTCGTGAAAGCACCAGGAGGATATTATGCTCAGTAGTGACTTCAATACTACTATATGGCGCCTCAATATGGGAGCAAGCAGTTGAGAAGAAAGTCTATAAAAGGATTCTGAGTAGTGTTCAAAGCGAGGTAGCCATAAGAGTCTCCGAAGCATACAGAACAACTTCCAATAAGGCACTTATGGTGATAGCTAGGATCCCACCTATTAATCTCCTAGTTAAGTGCAGAGCCCGTATAGAGAAAGATGGACCAGACGCTAAAACGGAAGCACAAAACGCGGTGATGTTGTGCTGGCAAGAGGAATGGGACATAGATGATGGTACAGCGGAATGGAGTAAAAAGCTAATTCCAAATATAAGACCCTGGTTTGAGAGACGACACGGTGAAGTAGACTTCTTTCTTACACAAATACTCACCGGGCGCGGGTGCTTTGAAGCCTACTTCGAACGTTTCAATCTGGCCGAAACCGAGGAGTGCCTTTATTGCATAAACGTGGATACGGTTGAACACACTCTATTTTTCTGCCCAAGATGGAACATGCAGCGGAATATAGCAGAGCAAATACTCGGTCACATAAGCCCAGACAACCTAGTAGAAAAGATGTTAGAGTCACCGACAAATTGGGACCACGTCTGCTAAATGGCAAAGCAAATACTTTCTGCCAAGAGGATAGAACGGCCAAATCTTATACAAGCTCGCTGAACCTTAGTCAATAGGAGACCGAAAGATCATGGGGAAGATCATAGGGCGCAAGAGAACATCACGCGCGTCCGGACGACACTCCATCTGAAGTAATGCTGACGCAGTTCCAGATGGAGGGCACACTGTTTTGTCGTCAAGAGAGGAAGTGTGAGTACGCTCACACTGGGTTTACACGGTCGGCTGATGCCAACCCGTCGTCGCCAAGGGGACACACCATCCATCCCCAGGGTGTCTCGAGACGCCCAGAACGGGCTGAGGAAGATTCGCCTTATAACCTCTCATACAAAAAAAAAAAAAAACAAAGCCAATTTATTAGGTCAATAACGGCAATTCTAGAGATTAGTGGTACATTGGGACCATGAAAAATATGGAACCAATAGGACAACACAAGGGTCAATAGTGACAGCATTGACAACTATGGAACCGATAGAGTCAATTTATTAGGTCAATAAAGCCAATTCTAGAGACCAGTGGGCGACAATGGTGATAATACTGACAACTATAGCACGAATAGAGCGAATTTATTAGGTCAATGAAGCTAGTGCTAGAGGCCAATGGGCCAATTTATTAAGTCAATGAACCCCATTCTAGGGATGAATGGGACAATACAAAAGTCAGTGGTCAATGGAGTGTACACAATGTTAACTCGCGGTTTAGCCCTCGGTAGAGCATTACAAAATTAAATATGTTACATAATTCCGAAACCGATCTTACTTTTGTTTTTGTTCTTTATGTCTAAGTTGCAAGCTCTTTGCTAGTTTGTCTAAATTCTTAGAATAGTCCAATTCTAACTCCCCCCTGCGTCGAAAAAAATCCTGCAGTTCCGTTAGCAGGGCTACTTGAGCCTCCATACGGACATCCAGACATCTCAGTTGTTCGTTTAACTGAAGTCTTATATCTAGAAAACGGGAAATCGTAGAAAATACAAGAAAAGTTATAATTTTACTTATTAGTGTTATCAATTTTATTTAAAACGGAAGCGCGGTAGCGATGCTCGATTAGCTCAATAAGACCCTATGTTTCGAAGCACATACTAATGTTCAATCTCGTTTAAAGCAATTGACGGAACGTACGTGGTGTGGTTTTTAAGCGTAGGTATTTCAATTTTTGAGCCCGCGAAGTGTGATAAAAATAAAACAGTGGGTTTACTAAAGTATATACCAAGCAGTAGCGGTTTCGGGTTACCGGTGATATAATCGGGTTTTACTGAAAAACGAAAGTATCGAAATAAAACAATTAACCCAAAAAAGCAGCACCAGGCTGGCTGTAAATTTCTAAAATAAACGTCAGACCACTCTTGATTATTAATTAACAAAATCCATTTGCGTATTTTGAGTTTTTGTGGCTCCATCGTTTTACTGTTTATACTATCCTGGTTTTCAAAATAAATAACAACTAAAAGTTCAGATTTTCACGAAATTACATATATTGACATGACAATTGCTTCGACAACACCGTGTCTTTATCAAAAAAAATGTTTAGTTCTTATTTATTTTGATAAATGGATTTTCATCAAGTAAAAGCCACCTCGGTTCAATTATCGTGGTTTTAGTTTCACCTCCTACGTTTTTACCTTCGTTTTCAAATTCTCAATGATAGAACGGCAGGTGGATTCCTGACTATTGTTTAGATCTCGTCAATTTGTGGGTGGGAACAGTTTATTTCTGGCATATTTAAAACGCTGTTAACAAATTTGCAATTCAATCAGACATATTCATACTCACAAGCGTAGCACGTGTGGTAAAGGAAAGCAATTAATTAGATCGCCGCCATTATTTTTTCTTTTTCCGCGGATTGAATATAAAAGCAAAATCTCATTGAAGAAATATAATCCTTAAACATGGGATTTTTTTAGAAATTCACACAATACATTACGAAATATGTTTTGTTTTATATCAAACACTGCTACGATATATATTTACCAACATGTTATTTACTAATACGGCAAACGTTACGTTATGTATTTATTTATGCCGAGTAACCCATTCATAAAGATGTTATTACTAATGAAGCACTTCATTTATTTTTTTCGAATTTTTAAAATGAAATTAACACTATGATTACGTTAAAACGGCATCATTGTAAGAGTCGAAACCATTTTAATTAAGTTAACGAAATAATATGGTCCGCGAATGGAAAGTTGGAAGTGTTGCAAATTAGTTTTCTACGGGCAATTTATGATTAGATATATACCGATATTCGTGGAATGAATGCAGACAAATAAAATTTACAATCGGAAAGAAAGAAAACAAACGATAACGCCGGGAAATTCACAAACCGGGCAACCTAATTCGATCAAACAAAACAGGAAGCGCGAAATACCGCAAAAACATAATGTTCCGATAATAAAGCGCGCTCTCCTTAAGGGCAGTAACATAAAACAGAATCGATAAATAGGAAAACGGTTTCGGGATGTGCAAGAATGAAGTTGATAGGCAAATTCGACAACGCGGATACACCCGGGACATTTCCGGATACGCACCTGGGAAAACGTCTTTGTTTTCCGTATTGTGTGGATGAATCCAGCCGTTCTTTTGTTGGATTATACACTGAAACATTGTGTTTTTTTTTTAAGCGGCACAATTCCGACGAGAAAAACAACTCTCACATTTGTCCGCGACACGGTTTCTTTTTTAAAAACGGGCACTGTTCGAAAAACGGAAGTCGCTACATAAATAAAAGTCAACCCGCCACGAGATTAGTCTAAAAATATAACCAAAATAGTGGAGAAGCCATTATTCCGAAACACAGCGGCCAAGGTTGGAAGCTGTACGGTGCAATGGATTTGTAACCCGTAGCGGTTCGATGCGATGTTGCCGCACCGACTCAAATGCTTTTCCTTAAAAATATCTTCCCCGTATACAGTGCGGACGGGGGATATCTATGCACAACCGTATCCGTAATCTCTTCAAGTCATTTTCTGATTTTGGTGGACTTTTTGGGAAAGTGTTATAAGTTGCAGATGATAAAATATGCCAAACAGGACACATTGTAAATTAATTAAATCCAGAAAACCAGCAACTGTACTGCACTGGAAAAATTTGCCTCTTCGTTGACACTTAATTAGTGCCCATAACGTCATACTTTTATATAATTATAATGACTTAGTAAAGTAGGCCGACGTTATCGGTAATTTACAACAATTTCTCTTTGCAAAATGAACGCAAAATCCATATATGCCGAAGAAACATTTGGAGGGTTTTTAAAAAATATGGCTTGTCACATATTAAATTCAAATTAACTCCCGCTACTTTGTTTTTAACGTCCCGTAAGGTTTAAACGGTTAAAACGTCTACTTCCTCTACTCCAACACATTTTTAATCTCGACATGTGTTTTTGTTACAGTCAGGCGATGCACTTATCGCGTTACAGGTTTTATATTTCTACTGATGGTGATTCTTAATCATTTCTTCTTTCCGGTACCCGTTAATGCGTACGTTTTCTTCATTAAATAAAATATACACTGTGTGTCGGTTTAAGCCTATAATCTCCTAGAAGCGAGTGCGCAAAGTTGGAATAAATATCTTACGAAAACGAGGCAATCTGACAACGCCGTTAAGAGCATGCCTGAGGGAAAGAAATGAACGAACCTGACAAGTTAGTAGAGATATTTCATAGGAACCATAACAGGGGGGAGGGAGCTGGAAATCGATCTCGCCCGCAATTTTTTTTTTTCAAAAACACTTGACTTACTAATAACTGTCTGCAAAATTAGTAACATTTGTTGCCGGTTTCTTCAAATTTCAAGGAAGGAAAAAACTGAAAGAAGCTGTGACAAGTTAGTGGAGATATTTTATAGTAACCGAAAAAGGGGAGAGCTGTAGAAGATTTTTTTTCAAAAACATTCGCTTTATTGTCAGGTTTCCTCAATGTTCACGGGTAAATCACGCATGAAACCTGATGTATGATAGATATATATGTTTCGTTGGAATTTGAGGACATAACAAGCTATAAACAAATTAAATTTAAAGAAATAAAAAATATTTTGGAATTTTAACCAATTTTGACAAATGCTATTGTTAAATTATTATTTAAATTGGGATCTCCAATTTGCATTTTTTAGAATGTTCACTCAACCCAAGGATTCAAAATTATTTTCCGTTTTAAAATGTAATTTTTTCATCAACATGTATTAATAATTATCAAAATAAATAAATAAGCAAGTAGACACTTCTGGTATTACTACAAGTGTCCATAACCTAAAAATATAATGCATCGATTACAGTATACCCTCAAATTTTCCAATTTATGTTAGTTTGAGTTCGATGAGACACCCTGTATGTTACGCGATAATTTTTGTGTGATGCATGGAAACATATATAATGCACTCATAAAAGTTTTCTTTTATTTATTTAACTTCTACAGTAAATAAGTTTACTAAATCTGAAAAGAAAAAAAATTTAAAGGACAAAATTTTTCAAAAATCAAATTAAATTTTTATGCCCGTTGTGAAAATTTATTTATTTACTTATTAGTTTATTTTCCTATTTAATAATTAATTTAATTATTTTGTTTGTATTATTTGTATTTGTAAAATTGTTTGAAAATCTAAAGAATGTCTGCGAAATCCGCGACATCTGAAATCCATTAAAGAACCGAAAAAAGTTGACAAGTTAGTGAAGTACAAGGAAGGAGCAAATCAACTTCACCAGAAGATTATTTTTTCAAAAACTGTTGCCTTGCATTGTTGGGTTGCCTCAATTCGCCAGAGGGAGGCAATATATGTGGTGACTTGACCCCATAGGCACTTGTACTTGTGGAATTATTACCATAAATTTCCCCAATAATGTAAACAATAAATTATGTATACCAATTAAAGTATGCAAATCAAGAGTATCAGTGCGGTTAATAAAATTACTGCGAGATAATTCACAGGTTTTCACAAGAATCGCGAACAATGAGCATTTGGTTCCGTGAAAACTGCTATCGATGAATACTTTCATTTCATTCATTTTTTTAAATTTATTCGATCGCAAAGTGGAATAAAAATGTTTAAACAAAACAGTAAAAAATATATAGAAGACGAAATATTAATTTTTCATTATTTATTAATATAGGGCCCGCACCTGTTTAATAACGAGGTTTTGTTTACAATTCAGCGAGGCTTTAAGTACTTGTTTATTTTATTTTCATTCGTATTGATCGAGATAATGTTAACCATTCGTAGTTTAAAAAAATTAAAAATACATTTATACAAAAAAAAATTAACGGTAACTTTTTAAATTGTATACATGGGACGTATTTTACCGATTAACTTGTCTTCGGTCTCATATATTACGCTTGAAAGGTCGCTGCATCCAGGAACAAAAATATTTTTGAATATTTCTAAAAATAATACAATTAATTGAATTTAAAAATACCCAAATGTAAACACATAAACAAAGTCAGTTTAAGATATAATATTAATACCTTAAACATTTATTGTTTTGTTAACGGAAAAGTTTTGAAAATTCTTTCCTGTAGTGCAATGTAAATAGGTATACAATTTTAAAGAACGCACGCCAGCTTTAAAGAAGTTGTTTTTAGTCATATGTCCACTACTTAGGATATCCGATGTGATATTAACCTCGATATGAACAAATTAAATGTAATAAAATTGTTATTAAAAGTGATTAAATTTATTGAGACATTTAAAATACAATTAGAAACACAATGTGCAATAAACAACCCAACATTAAGACGTTTTACAACTCCTTTATGAAATTGTAATTTGATAAATCTTATGGAAGGGACCATGGTCCATTAAAGTGTTCTTCGCGCTGTAAATTTTGTTGTACGGACAGTATTTACGATACCGGGTGTTTTTACTATAAAAACAAAAATTTTCGTTTTTTTGCCGATAGCTGGCATATCCAGAGCCGGGTGAGAAAAAAAATGTGGCAAACGGAATTTTCATAGAAATACGAGATGTTTTATTTTAAAGTTTATCAGAAAAGTAAAAGTGGGATTTTAGGCAAAATTCAGTGTCATACTCAGATTTTTTCTATCTTCAATTATTTTCGAGAATTAAATCCTGCGTATTTTTGCATAATGCGATAGTTTTTAATATTTAAGTTTAAAAAAATAACCTCTAATTTAAAACAGAACAATTTTATTTTTATTTGACCTAAAAGGAATACACATTTTTAGACTTCTAATTAATATATTAAAACTAGTCAATATTGCTTAAGACAAATAAAAAAGAACAATGAATTGCAACAACAATGAAAAGTCATAAAATGATGGCTTATAGAACTGGATCACAAGTGATGCCCAACTTGTTCTCCATTATATCTTAAACATGTTTCACACATGGTTCTATACATATTTTTATTTATTATTTATCTTATTAAATATTAATTTTATCAATATCCTTGTTTTCTTTGTTGGACTGGGGTTTACAAAATAATAAATATCGGATTAAATTTGATATTAATCTTAAAAAAATCTTTTATCCGGCTGTCTTCTTTAGTAACAGATGATTATAAACATTTTTTACTGGAAGAAAGTAGAATAATGCAAACTTGTTAAAATACATTGAATATTCTTTAAAGTTTTCAAATTTAATATTAGTTGCTTTTGGCCTTTTAATTAAAAATGTAACGCAAATTACCAGGAAGGTGTTATTCTGTTTTTATGACCAACTAACAAAAACGAGTATGTTTTTTCAAAACCTAAATTATTAGGCTTAATTAATTAATTTTATATTTATATATAACAATATATAGAGCGAAATATAGGTTTGGTTTATTTCTCGAAAATAATTGAAGATAGAAAAAATCTTAGTACACCATTAAATTCCCCTTGAAAGCAGCAACAAAGTCACTTTTTTCATTTCTAATAAGCTTTAGAAAAACCGAGGTACGATGTGTCATCCCGTGCCTCAAAAATCAAAAGGGCTATTTCAATAATTGTTTTTAAAAAGATACTCTCCGGCTCCCCACCTGCCTCGGTTTCAAAAATCTTTTTTTTTATTGGAGCTCCTAGACCGAGAAATCGCACGTTAATTTTTTTCAAAATCACGCATAAATTCTAGCAAAATTAAAGCACTGAAGCACGCCATAGAACTGCCTAAACCTGTCGTGCAACGTAATCGCCAGACATATTTTCTCCCCCATCCAACACACCCTAATACGTGTCAAGAGCTCATCTAATACAAGTTGACTCACTACACGCATTTTTAAAATATTGACGCCACATACGTGGCTAACGACCATGGCTCGAACATTAAAAAACATGTTCAGAAAATCATACCAAATGCATGAAGTCCGTGAATCTCCGATCTTGTGGATATACTATTCAGTAAAAAAAAAATGTAAAGCAATCACGGTCGGATTATCTTATAAAAGAAAGATCCATAAATTTGGAAAAAAAATAAACTAGTTATTTTTTATGAGCATCCAAAAATACTCCACAATATGTGCATAAAATATGCGCACGAAAAGTATTATTAATACCGACATTCAATGCTTTCCACAAATACACATACCCGTAGTTAAAGCAACAAACACCTAATACACATAAATGCAATTCGTTTTGACTGTAAATGCGGTCCTCAGAGGTTTGTTCATGTGTTTGTTTGGATACAAAAGTGATGAGGAAAAGATTATCGAGAAAATAAATTAAAATCGGTTAGTTTTATTTTTTTTTTATTGCCAAAAACAGTCCATCTCTCAAAATCGATTAGTAAACTCATGTACACCAACTTAATATTATTTTGTCATAAAAAAATTAGTCAGCGCTCCAACCACTTAAATCTGAAAATGGTAAGCAGATCTGTCCGCCACGTGAAACTATATACTGCGACTAAGAGAACACTTTTTTTATAGAAAAAAAAAACGAGCCTCTAATAACATTTGATACGAAGATTCCACATATGGCCTGGCGTTGAAGGAATCTTTATAATGATTATTTTAGAAACAGATGTCACCTCGAAATATAATCCGACAGGACATGATCAACATATAAGTATTCCAATTATTTGCAAAGCAGTGAAGCATAGCATAGTTTTTGGCTTTTGTTTTATTCAGCAGCTTAAAATTGACGAATCTGGTCCGAAATATTCGGGCTGCCGCTCATGTTGAAAGGTTTCCAATACATTTTCGAATTCTGTGTCAAATGGATGCATACCCTATACTCCTTTTAAATTTTAAATCATCTAAATTTTGTAGTTTTTCCTTACACACCTTTGATTTCAAATATCCCCAGTGTTCACTAAACTAATGATTCACGGATGGGAATTTTTTCCAGGATATTATCCTCCGTTCGTTGAATTCGACAAACTCACGTGGCATAAATAAGGTTATTAGATATACGATAAATATTTTCCCTGCTTTTTTTTCTATTTGGCTTTAATTCTAATTTTGTTACCGACAGAAAATTAAGAATGGTCATAGACATTTCATTTCTTTTTTTTTTCAATGAAAAAAAAAACTTAATTAAGCCTGAAGAAAAAGGAACAAAATTTTGATAAATTTTTTTAAAAATTGGACAATACTCCTCTGTCCCTTTTTTTATAGTATTGTAAAGTAGTGTTCTTTATATATTATTTTAAATTTAGAAATGTGTGAAATCTTTCTAGTTACTACAAATTTTCTCTAAATTTTACTAACGTAATGGGTCATTTTGGATATTTTGCATTAAAAAAATTACATACTTCTTCTTGAGTTCTCGTTATTCAATAAAAATTAAATGTCACATGAATTATGCGTGAAATTTGACTGAATCTAATTTTTGACCAATATTGTATATTTTCTGCTTACTGCAAAAAAGCGCAAGAAAAAATTATGATGGACGTGTGCGAGTATTTTTTTAAAATCCAATAACTGATTTTTAAATGAATTTGGTCCACATTTTAGCCCTCTCCTGTATATTTACAAATGGAGCTGTAAAGATTAATAATTACTTTATAATAATTTATTTATAATTAACGATTTAGAAATACCACATCCAGAAATATTTCGATGTATTATTCTAGCGAAACCATGATAGCGAAAGATTAGGGTGGTTATTATAAGCCAATAACAATTCTAGCATAAAAATTCCGTAAAAAATATGTGTGCCTACCAACTTGTCTAGATAACTTAATGTTTACGTTCCGCGCGAAAGAGTGAATTCCTGCTTATCGGGCATTGATAATGTTTATGCCTCCAGAACTCCGCAAATATAAAAAAGGATTTCGTTGGTAACATGATTGATGTCACACTATGTATATGCTCGTGAATACCACTCCAAAAATGTCGAAAACGCAATGGGTATTTACCTATATCGCCTTTTTTTTTACTATTACTTCGAAATATTTCATTTATATCTGGGATAGTGACAATGTGTAAATTATCATTTCAGGCGTATGAAACAGGTTTTTAGGTCCGTTGCGAGGGCTAGTTGTTTGCGTTCCATGAAAATGGTTAAAATTATGGCAAGTCATTAAGATAATCACATGACCTCGCATATCTGCCGCTAGCCTTTATTGCTTTTCTCAAAATTTTAATCCCTTGACTAGGTAAAACCATCAAGAAGTTTGTTCCTTTCGCATTGACTTCGAGGTATAAGTTGATTGACAATTACGTTCAAGGTTGAGGATTTAAAAGCAGTTCATGGAAATACTTTATTAATTGTTCTTAATAGTTAATTGTCAGCGAGTTCGCTTTTGTTGTATGAGATTTTTCCCTCGTTGATTTGTAATTTCTGTGTCCCTCATCCGACACCAAAAAGCCAAATTTAAAATTAATAAGATGATTTTTAACTTCAAAATATACGATTTAATGATATAAAAGAAGTGATCGCAAAAATTGATATACGAATTTTAAATGAATCGGGTAATCGCTCGGAATGTGTAAATTTGACAGTAACTACTATAGTACCAATTCACTGCTATTCTACCATTCTTGATCTTACAGATTCAATTATATACGTCTGTTTATAGTTCCATCAGAGCTTCTGATATTAACTTTACAGTAAAATGAAAGTGGAAGAAAATGACCAATGCATAGAGTAACAAAGAACTATCTCGTTGGAAAGTGTTTGAAGGAAAGAGAAATGTAAAATATTATTTGAAATAAAAGACTTACTGTTAAATACCAATAGCTTTCTCGTCGACCCGAGCCTTTTAATAGGTGATTTCGTCTCGTCGTTTTCGTCCATATTTAAAAAATATATATTATAAGCGAATATTTTTCGGTAAACTATCCAAATGGCAGATTATAAAAATAAGCTAGGCACACTCCTTTCACATGAATTTCTAATTATTGGATTCAGAAGGCACTGGCGAAAGTATCGTACGGCGAGTTTTGAAAGAATCCGCACAAACTACACACAACAAGCGTCTTGCAGTATTAATTTGACCGCATCTCAAAATAGAACTACTTGAATCCTTTTCGTTATTCGCTACTGTTATGATTCGCTGGAGTCGGTATAAACAACAGCACGCTGGTAACACAGAATACCAAGCTTAGCAACATGACAACGGAATCAACAGCGCGTTCAGTATTTACCGTTGTGGGAAGTGTAAGAAATGCTTTGGGTAAAAATGGTGTATTCTATTGGAAAAATACTTAGTTAGTTTTGTAATATGAAATTGATTTAATTTTTTTTGGTACGATCTACAATTTAATTCCGAACAAACGTAATGCGCAGCCGCAGTTACATAAGTACGCTGCGTTCGGATTATCCACTGCGTTCGGATTTTTCATTTCTTTTATTATAACCGCCGATTTGGAGCCTATGTATCTAAATGACATTAAATGAAAAGGCCGATAACTTATTGACCCACGATTTAATTCACATCCCGTAAACACGTCTAGCAAGCTAAAACGAAAAATGCGTAGAGTATTATTGTTAACCGCGGTTACAGTAAATTTTTTTATGTGCAATTCGAAGAGCACAAACGGCACTTATACGGTGATAAAAGCGGACAACGTTACGTCTCTACCTAAAAGTACATTCTCGTTGTTATTAAGTGAATTATTTTTAGGAAATCAATATTTTTAGTTACTGTCACGGTATTAAACCGACCACATCATCTTTTCATCGGTAGATGCCTGAAAAAATATCCACTTCTTCATCAGGAGAACGTGATAGTGAAAAACGACGGAAAAAGTCATGTATCAGCCAACATAAGGGTAAATAATTCAATGAATTACGAAGATATAAAATTTAAGTTGGGGAAATACATATTTTTTTAGATGAATATTGGAGGGCCAGTTTACATAGTCTGTGCAAACATATATGACGAACAACCAGAGGCGGGTGCTTACCCTAGTTATTCAGCAGGTGGCGTGGGTCACAGTTTTGTCGAATTTAACGTTCTTACCGCCTATGGTAAAGGATTTCACTTTTTTGTTCAAATTTTCGGATATAAGTTGTAACTAACCTTTAGGCAAGTGGCATACAAAATAAAAAACACGTATTAGAAGAAACATACATTTTAATTATAAAGACAGGTAATCTACTGCAGTGGTTATCTACATATTAAAATACTCTTAAACGGTATCATACAGTATCACATCCATTTTATCACATACACAAGAAATATAAACATTAAACTAAGTAACAAAAATGCAAGTGAGTGCATGCGAAGTTTCAACAAAATATCGCTGTTAAGTATATTACGGGCTATACAAATAAGTTTGTACCAAAAATCACTATATATACGCTAACTCTCTAAGCTAACAATAACCCCAGTATTAACCTAACAACATTAATATAAAAATATATTTAATTATTAACACTATCCAATATTTGCTGTTATACAAATATGTAATGTAAAACGGAACCCTTAAATGATGGACATGCTGTATATATAGTGCGTCTAAGAAATAATATTGCCTGTTTGGGGATTCGGAAACGTAAGAGTTACGATGACGGTCGGATTCCAAAAATATATGCAATTTATTTCAAAATTGGGAAAAATGAATGAAAAATTTGTTCTATCCTCCTAGCTCACAGACTTTCCAAGACCCCCATGCCCTGGGACGCACTGTACATATTTATAGGTACATATATGTCTTTTGGGAAAAATTAATTTTCATGAGCATTGTTGGTTGAAAACAAATATACCTCTTTAAATTGGTTAACGTCTATATACATTAAACTTTTAGTTGAACATTTCAACATTATAGATTATCACTGGTACTACTTTGTAAGCAGTTACAAATTTTGGTAGATTAGATTACTTAAAACAATTGCCCTAACTATATCAATAACAGTATCCTTTTATTTATCTGGGAAAAGCTACTGATACAGTTAAGACGTACTAAGTCTAAAACTTAAAATATTGTAAGGCCCGTTCTAATTAAAAAATTTAAACGATTCTCTCTTCTGAAAAGTGCCGTAATTGACTCTAAGAGGACTTTCAAAAGCAGTATGCAAATCTAAACCAGCAACAATTTTGGCTAATTGTTAAAAGCAGCTAGTAATAAAAAAATAACTAAAACAACGGCAAAATGAAAATCAGCGGAAGCATCTGTTCAATTAAAAATAGCTTCAAAAAATTTGTATGGTTACTCTTTTCTGATTTCTGAATATAAGCGACGGTTATATGTATCTCAGTAGCTTAATCTTAATAATTAGTCATTCTTGCAGGATAGTCCAAGAAAGTGTGTTTGTGCGATGATATGCGGTTATAAAATAGAAGTGGGTTTGCCAATTTGTACCTACTGTTCAACCTTCTTTCTTGTATTGCGAAATATGAAAAAAATGCGATGTCGTGAGTAGGATCAACATAGCAATAAGTGGTAGGGGGTTCATGGTTCTACAAAGAGTGTTATGGTAAAAGATAAATAAGATCGCAGAAAAACTGTTGAAGTGTTAACAATTTTGCCCCACATTTTTCACCCCTATGAACTCCGGAAGTTATCAACTAAAAAATATCGAAATTTTGGTGACCAAAAGATATCACATTTTTTTATTGTTTTATTTAATTATAATTTGTTTTAGAAAAATATTTTTCAGTTTTGTTTAAGATAAAATGGTTTCCAATTACGAAAGTACTGTTGCCTATTAGGAAAAACTGGAAGACGGATTAAAAATCTATTCGAAACTTCTTTTTATCGTTCATTCGTCAGGATATTAAATGAGAAGACAATCCTATAAGAAGTAGTTTGATTAAATTTGTTACATTTTAATAATTTTTTTTGCATTTTTTGGATCAAACATTCCAATACTCATACTCGCAATATAACCACTAAATCTTAACCCTCTGTTCATTAAATAACTATTGGTTTGGTTAAAATGCCACTGGTTTCAACTTTCCTCAAATATATTCTCCATGTTAAAGTTTTAAGTACCCATTTTATAAACCCAACTATATAAATCAGATCAAAATATGTTTAGCATTATATAATATTTTTTAATTTAATACCCTGTTATTAACAACTTTCCAAATAAAATTAACTTTGCCAACAGCACATGAAAATGTATATTATTTAGTGTGTTTTTTTAACTGGCCTGTCCGATGTGTATTGTAGAATTGGCGTTAACAATAACTAACTTAAAAAATGAAAAAACAAAAAAACACTATCCCCTGAGTCAATGATTGGCATTTTTAATAAAACTTTCGAACTTCTTACCGCATCAATAGCATAAGATTCGTATATCCCTAAAAGATGTACAGTGTATTAATATGATAATAATCTATGTAAACAATACAACAATTATTAAAAAACCTTTACTTTACAACGCCTTATTGTCTAGTCGCCTTATTTGTAAGAATGGTATTCGCTTTAAATAATTAATATAAAAAAATAAGGTCGTAAGTCACTGGACTCGTAACTACTTAGGCCTATTTGAAAAAAAAAAAAAAAAACGTAACAAAAAAATCATCGGTTTTTACAGAAACATACGCTAATGTATGGTCTTAAACAACATCACATTTACTGTTGTACTCCGGAAAAATTAACTTTAAGAAATTAACAGTCTATCACAGAACAAACGAAATACCAAAAATTAGACAACTCCAACCGGTATCGCAAAGCTTTTATGCGCAATACGCAAACCCTCGTGTCAAAGTTGCCGCTAATGTGGCGTACAGAAAAAGAATTAAACAACGGCAGTGTGACGAGTGTTCACAAAAACCTCAAATTTCTCGAACAGTCGGGAAAAATTGCGTCGAAAATAACCTACCCACTATCGGTTTCCATTGGTATGGTTGTCAATGAATCGACACTATCATTCGAAGACACACTGCCGCGAATATTGGCAAAACGACCGAGTACCACGTCATCATCTGGCGATGTCGGCACTCGAGTTACCCGAAATCTGGACTTTTTAGCAGGGACGGTTGAGGGCGGTCTCATTGTACCATTTTCTGGCACTTTGACAATTTGGAAACGACTTTTTGGGGCTGGGCTAGACGCAGGTGAAGGTAAGGGAGAGCCCACCTACAATGCAAATATATAAGCTTAAATAGGATGTCTAAAACTTAAGATTTCTAGAAAAGCAATACTTGGAATGTCCTAGTTGGGTCAGGTACTCCATATCTAGGTTCACAGCTCAGCGAAACCTTTCTTGAGATCTTTTGGGAAATGTTAAGGACTTCATCATCCTCGTCACTGTCGTTGGAGTAATTTTTATTTACAGTACATATCGCGTTAAGTTTTTTAACCAGCTGAGAATAGGCTTCGGGGTCCTAAAAAAAATATTTTACGCGAAAATACGCTTAGGAAGCTATTAAACATTGAAAATAACTAACACTGCAAGAACGATTGTTTTCGTCGATCTCGATTTTTGTTATTTTCGAATTCGTCAACGCGTTGCATAGGGTCTCGACTCCGAGCAATTGGATCGCTTTGTTTCCTTTTAGATTGATTTTCTGGAAAGTCAATGAAATGGCAACAGTTTGTTTAAAAGTATAATGATTGCACCTGCAGCGAAGAGTTGTTTGGAATGGCGTTCGCCAGAATTAACATTCCCTTGCAAGTCAATAAAGTGCATTGAAGACCCAGCCCCTCTAGCGACTGAGTATGGGGTAATCCTTCAGCTATATAATTTAGTACTTCGTCTGTTAAATGATTGTAACCTATATTTAAGGTGTGCAGATTTTTGGCGTCCGTCTAAAAATTGCAAAATTGCACCAAAAATTGCAACATTTTGCCATCATATAATATTGCTCTACTCACAATTATGTTTTTAATAACTGGACCACTCTTTTCTGTAATTTGATTGTTGAATATCACCAATACTGATAATCCGACACCAGGTTCAGTCTGTACGCATAATCCTTTTGCCAATACCTCCAAGCCACGATCCCCTAAATTATTGTTACTTATATCCAACACCTTCAGGTGTGTATTATTAACGAGAAACCTTTGTAAAGCGTCAGCTTCTTTAGTATATAAACCCGTAGAAGGAAGGTACAACTCCCTTATGGTTTTATTGGTCATAAGGGATTCAACTATAAAAAGACAAAAAATACAGCCTCAAATTATATAAAAAAGTTGACCCAGCCCAATTACCTAAATAAAAACTGGGAAGTTTGACTAGCATACATCCATCAAATTTAAGCGTAGTGATATTGGAATTGTTCTTGATAGCATTTATCAAGTGTCTCATGTAGAGCTCGCTAATCACCATTCCTTTAAAAGATAGTGACTCTAGTACCATGATATTGCTGCAAGCGCTACAGAAACATTTCCATGTGTCATCTTCTTCAAAATTCATGGCAACTTCAAAGTGGCTAACCGATTTGTAGTATTCCAAAATATTAAGAAATTCAGTTATAGTTTCTGGAGTAAACTGGCAATCTTGTAGCACAAGAGTATGAAAATTTGTAATCTTTAAAATATCCTCTAGAGTTTCATTTACTTCAGACGTGATTTTAATTGAGCTCAATTTCAAAATAGCTGAATGGTTCGTGTTATTTTTGATTTCCTAAAAATTTTATTTAATGCGAAAAATCACTACGAAACAAATTTTCAAAATTACCTGTATTTGCGATTTAATCGCGTCAATTTCGATTGTTTTATGTTTCTTGCACGAATTCTGGTAAGTCTGGAGAATGTTTTCTGATGGTAGAAACTGACCTATATGTTGAAAACACCATTTATCTAAAGATTGTTTACCCAAGACGCAATCAAAGCTTACTTATAACCCACGGATGGCACTTTTCTGGTTCCTTATAAGTGACCAATTGAGACTGATCCATGGGAAAAAACACACGCCGTTGGGATGGGGAAACATCTCCCTCAATTGAGGAATCGAAATAAGAAGACTTCCGGAGGATAGAAGTACGAGGGGTGTCCAGCAATACACTATCATCACTCCCGTCGAAGGAATTAAAAGAATATTTTTCGCCGGCTTCAATGTTCGTCGCGCCGAGAACCGTAATCAATGGCGATCTGTCTGGATCATCATTTTCATCCTCAATTACTTCAACATCTTCAATTGGAGACTCCTGCCTTTTTAGAACTTTGTCAAAGGGCTTTTCCATGAGGATAACCTCTTTTTCGTTACACGGCTCCAGCTCATTCCGCACATCTTCAATATGAGTGATATCCTCAATTCCATCATCTTCCTCTGATGTTGTTTCACTATTTGTTGAAATTGATGGGGAAACAGAGGGAGATAATGGGAAAACTCCCACAGGGGTTGGTTCTAACGGAGTGCAAAGCTCCTCTTCATCAATTGAAAACGACTTGTCAATCAAAGAAGCAGCCAGTGACGCTTTTGAGTTAAATGTATCTATTCATGGGAGCAAAAACTTCAAATACAAAAAATATTCAATATGATGGGAGGTCATATACCACTTTCACGCAATACCCTATTGTTTGCGTGACAAAACCAAGCGAAATTTTAGTTAATATAATTAAGTGAAAATCAAACGTAATACAGGACGCCCTGAAAGGTGGTGGATATGAAAACTTGTTTTGCCTTTCGTTTTAATAAGATTAATAAACCTTTTGGCTTTTTAGACTTTTATTTGAATCAGATCAAATATAAAATTGGCAAGTCTAGTAACTTTTAAGCGACGAGTTTGACGAGATTTTATCATTATTCTAATCTTTTTCTTAGCCCATCACTGACAAACAGTTATAAAAATCAAAATTATGATTTGGAAACCAATTTTTTTAAATGACACGACAACACATTAATGCTTGAATTTCGATCAAATGATTATAAATCTGCAGCCAACATAAACAAACAATTCCGTAAACATATTGTTTTACAGAAAATCCTTGCAACCAGCCTACAATTGTTATTTGTTATTTATTAAATTTATTAAATTGTAGGTTCTGTATTCCTATTAGTTGCTACCTTTCAGGGAATCCTTTATAGGTAGTTATTTACGATATACGGTCGTTACTATTGTCTCCAAAATTGGTTTATTGAGACAAATCGCACAAATATGAAAATATATATATTTTCTTTTCTAAAGAGAAACTTCTTGAAAACCGCAATATTTTGTTTCGTATAGCGTTAATAACTCTGTAATCTGTGCAGAAATATGCAGCAAGTAACTACTCTAATAAAACAACCTAACTCTCTTGGTGTGTAAGCTGTGTTATGAAATCATTCCCTATACCTGAAGCTGAAAGGAAAATTCCAACTTGGACCGCTTCTATTGGGTAACAAAAGTCATCGTCGAAGTCAATCAAAGAATCAGATAATTTGACTTTTGATAGTGAGGAATCTATTAACAATAAGCTTGATTTTAATTAGCAAAGATAGGTCTGTAATTATACCATACTACCCAAATACAAATCCAATTCAATAAAATAAAACGATATCTACCATGGTATTAATTTCTAAATTATGCTTACCATTTTTCATGTTACTCTGAGTTGACTCTTTGGAATGTTCAGGATCTTCAGTTAAAGGGCTTTCAGATATGCTTTCAGTGCCACTATCAATTAAAATAGGAGTGTCATAATCGTCTTTACATGGGCCCAAATCCATTACTTTAATATTTAGCGTCTTACTTTCTTTCTACTATGACCTAAAATATTACAAAAAAATAACTTTTTTTTAGGGAAACAATAGAAAATACTTACATCTTATTCGGACCATCCTCCTTGAACTTTTTGCAGATTTTATAGAAAAAGTTTTTGTTTTACATTATTGGCCATCGCAGGCCTGCTGTCTTCACACTATTACAAATTTCAGAAATGGGATGTGTGTCAAAAATCGCCAATATGGACCTCGCAGTGACAAATTATGTATGTATTGTTTTGATTGAAAGTTATTATTGTTTCCTCACCATAAATCACTAATAATTTTATGCTAAACTCCTCTTTTGAAATATTGTATTATTAAAGGTTATAAGGAATTATATAAATAAAAATAGATTTATTCTATCTAATATTTAACCATTACAGATAACTGTAAATGGCAGACCTCTTTCCTACTCTGTGAAAAAGTCAAAATTATTCAAACTTTGCCGTTGTCTATAATTGTTGATATTAAATTTATGGTGAAAAAACTATTTTGTTTGTTTGCAATTATTAAACGACAATTGAGAAAAATTGATATTAGACATTTCCAAAACCTACACAACAAAATGAATGAAGGTTTAAATATGGGGATTTAGAAATCGGTGCGAATATGTTCACTTACTACGCCAACCGTGAATCTATATATACTTAATAACAGCATGTGCAAAACTGAGCATTTCTGGTTTGCAAAATTATAAAATATTTTTTTTACTCAAAGTCGCATTTCCTCGTTGTGTATTACACGTGGAATATTTTATTTAAACAGCGTAAACATTGGTGCACGTAAAGAATTAAGAATTGGTAAAGTTTCCATAACCTTTATTGTCATAATTAATTCCAGTCTTCATCGGTAGATGTCGCATCAGATTCTGTTTTTAAAGGTGCTGGAATCATGGCGGAAATTTTTGCCATGGTCGATTCCGCGTTTATTGAGTTATCTGGATCAACTTTTCTTGTCCCTGAAATACCTTTTCTTCTCATTAATAATTTTGAGTGTAAATCAGCCATCAAATCACCAGTCTGAAAAAAACAGATTTAATTGATATAACCCTTACTAAAGCTTATTCATCTTCTGCTCCTACCGGTACTTTGGAGGTAGCAGTTACATTAGAGTTGGGTTTAGCTGATCTGAGGTTGGCTTTTTGAGTACCTCCAGCTTGTCTTATAGCTTCCATTAAATTTGCTCTCAAATCTGACTGTGGTGCCGAAACGCTTTCACTTGCAGGTTTACTTCCTTTTTGATTAGGTGGAACTGGATCGGGTTTTATGTCATAGGTAGGTAGTGGTGGAGCTATAGGTGGAGGTGGGCACAGATTAATTGGAGGAGGTTGAGGTATGGTCTCTGGAGGAGGAGGTGGGGGAAGCATATCTGGAATGTCTGTTGGTTTCTGCACAGCTTCTGTTTCAATAACTGTAGGCAAATCATCTATATTCTCTATTAAGGCCATGGTTACTGAAGATGGCGCAATACCTGGGCCAATCTGAAAAAGAATTTTATGTGAGCATATACATTTAAACTGTTTTCTTTAGTTACATCGCTTTCGTAACGTAAGTCGTCAGCAATACCAGGCAAATCGGGCAGGTCAAGTGGAACATCTAGGGCTGGTAGTTCTTCAATTTTAGGATTATAAAAATAGTTCTCCTTTGATTGTTTAGCTAATCTTGATCTTTCACTTATAGATAGAGGGGCTGCTCCTAATTCTGAAGCTTTCTGAATGTCAGTTTTTCTGATACTTTCAGAAACTTTTAAAGAATCAGAGATAACAAAATGTTTATATAAATTTTTTCCTGAATTGTATAAGATCAAGTCATTCACATTATTAATATTTAAAGGGATTGCACCTAATCCATCTATATTCAATTTGTTTCTATTTTCTGGTTGTTTTACATGGTAAAACTGTAATTTATTTAATGGCTCATATGTGGAAGAACAACTCTGATTCTCCACCTTATGCCTTTTTAATTCGCAGGTAGGGGTCTCTTTAAATATAGATATGTAATCCACATTGATATCGCTAGCAGGATATTTGCTACTTGAGAATACATGCGTGGCTTTTTTGGCACCTTTCAAACTGTTTATTTTTTCAGATGCATCATCCAGTCTTTTGGATATACTTGCAAGTTTCTCGTTATTAGTTTTGATTCGGTGATTAACTGTTTTAAAAACGTTGTCAGTAATTTCCGATACATAGCTTAAAACCTCTGCCATTTGTATGATCGTCTCTTCGCTGCTTAAGTTTTGAGGAATGATTGGGACTTTATAGGGGCTAGACATATCTATAAGTGGAAGTCTTACGAAGTACGTTTTATGTATATGTCTAAATCTCAGACGTAAATGTCAACATTCTTTTTTTTTTAACTAAAATGTGTCACACAAAAATCACAAAATAAATTCCAACCTATACCAGAGAGGCATACAAAAAACTATTTGTTTACCCTTTTCAAATAAAGCAATGTTGCCGGCTGAGATTATATTCTTTTACATAGGTGTCATGGCCAACTCTTAGAGATAAGGATGATATGATAGGCGCTGTAAGGCAACTAGAACAAATAATTTCGGCCAGTATATGGGAAGCAAAAATTAAGTATTTTTGTTTTGTTGCAAATAACATTTAAGAAACTAAGATATGCAGGGAAATGTGTCAGGATATGGCAACATACGTCGTTATATGTCAATGTATTTGTCACATATAATTGTTTTATTTAAAAAAATATAAAAAAATATGGCACGGTCAACACATTATTAATTATGATGTACATCATTTAACAATATAAAGGAATATAGAAGAAATCACAATTTATAAAGAAAAATGTCTGAAGCAAACCGTTCGCAACAGTCTTTCGAAAATCCTATGTTTCGCGAAATCCACAAAAATACTTGGCTCAAAAAAGTGTCTCCTAATAATACTAAGAAGGTAGTTTTTCTAATACTTTTGGTGCATTTATAATAATGAAATAAAACTTTAAAGAAATATACTTTTAATTTTAGAGACGTGAAAGGTTATGGGTAGTTTTTTGTGTACACGACGATACCGATGCATTTTTAGAAACATACAATGATAACAAAGTCGCTGTTTTCCATAAACCAGAATGGCATGTCTCTCTTAATAACGTGCAACATATTTCACCCACCATATGTGCTCATGAGCAGGAATATGAGTTTGTATTAACATTGTCAAATGAAGTAATCAGATTAGCAGCTCCAACATGGGAAGAAATGTTGGATTGGGTTGAAAGCCTAAAGTCAAAGCTTTTTGAGCTAAGAATTTTAAGTCCTAAAGAAAATGTATATACCAAACTACCAGAAAAGACAAATTTACAATTGCTTTCCACGCGAGATCCAACATCACCATTGCCTCCACCTCCAGAAGTGCCTCCTGAAAATTTACCTGGAATAGAGCCTTCCAACAATGATCCTATTATAAATAGCAATCATATAATAACATATGAGAGGAGAAGATCAGAATCCCAAAGCAGTGGAACATCACAAAGAACCAACAATATTAATGAATCTGCCAGTGCTGGGGTCAACATTAGTAGTCAAGTATTTAATTTTGACCATTTTAATGCTGCCATTGAAACAACTAGCAATTCCATGAATTCTGTACATTATGAGCATTTATTTCAGATGCAGCCAGGTTTTTCCAGTAATATAAAGTTTATTCTTTACCTATTTAATGGCCGTTTGTAGGTCCATCTACCAGAAACAATCATATCATGAGACTGGAAACAGACACAACCAGTAGAATGTTGGAAAGATCTGCTAGTTGCTCACCAAGAATTTTGCAACCTCCTCCCCAACCCTATAAAACCTTAAGGGAACAACAAGTCATACTTTTGGAGAAAGAAATGAAACATCCAACTGGAGTAAGGTTGCAGTTGAGAAGAAAAGACTGTATTAATTCAATTGGTTTTGTGGATGCATTTGATGCTGTTTGGTGAGTTCCAAATACTGAACTCGCCATTATGAAAACTTTCTGAGGTCTTATTTATAAAAAACCCAGCAACTTATTTATTTTAAATTGCATCATGCATTTGTTTTCAAAATGTCTAAATTCATTATTGCCCCATTAGAGCATTATGGAACCAATTTTTTTCAAGTCTTGTACCTTTTTCATGATTATGGATATTTTTTCATTTGAATTTGAAAATTTTTTGAAACATTTCATTTTTCTAACTCAACTAAAATCACAAGAACTTCCAATTTGATCTCAATTCCCTTAGTATCATTTTAACATTGAATTAATTTTGTAGGGTTTGTGGATGGAAACAAAAAGAAAACCCCATGTTGTATAATGCTCTCCATATTGGAGATCGACTCCTTAATATAGAGGGCATTAACATTAAATCGGCAAGTGACGCATATAGGATATTGCAATCACATTACTGTGGACTTTATGCAAGTATATCATATTTATTTCTTCCGTTGATTGTTATGTAGCAATTATACACCTTAGTGTGGTGTATATTAATCCTTATTTCTTTGTAGGTCAATATAATAGTTAAAAGAATGCCCTACGGTCAAGTTTTTGTTATCCATAGAGAGTCTGAAGGTCAGTCCTTAGGAATTGTTCAAGAAAATAATACTGCAGTAATTGAGACAGTGGAAACGAATAGTTTGGCAGCTAGATATGGTTTGACAGCTAAGACGAAATCGTGCGATGGAACCTACTTTACTAACTGGGTTCTCACCGAAATCAACGGTCGGCCATTAAATTTATTTTTCAAGAAAAATCAAGTGAGAGATAGACTTAATTCAGTTGGTCGAGACATATCAATACTAGTGCAACCTCTAGATCTTATTAAGCAAATTAAGAAACAGATGAAATCACTAAAAAATTATAAAGATTATATTTTACAATGATGATGACATTCTTACTGAATAAATTGCATTTTTTGGGGGGATTTATTAATTGGTTAAATTTAATGAAGGCAGCTTGCATTGAAATTGGGAAAGTATGATTAGTATTTAAATTCGACCCTAACACAAGTGAAGTGCAGGAGTCCATATTTACATATCTCTCTTGCTAGTGCAATATTTTGAGATTTAATTTTGTAAGGTATCATATATAAAAACCAACACTGTGATTATTTTTTATAATATAAAAATAATTAAAAAGCAAGTAGTTCAAGATGTTTTATTTCCTTAAAGCGATTTTTTTTATTGTTTTATTTTAAATAAAAAATAAATTAATAATTTTAGTTATATTTTGGGTTGCTTATTTTGCCAATAAACACTATACTCCTGGTCGGATTGTCAACAATGACGTACAGGAATGGTTTGTTTGCCCTGAATTTTGGAGGGGGAGATCTGTTTGGAAAAGCAGCACCTAAATGGGTAGAAATTATTTTTTGTAACAATTAATACTAATAACTTAGCAACCTGATGCAGCAGCGGCTACTGTTCCTTCTTCGTCCACTTCAATTTCTGCCTTCTGGACCAGTCTCGATAGATACAAATAATGCGGAAATATTCCAAGTAGATTCGCTCTCAGAGGATCAAACACGTCTTTTGCTCCCATCTATGTAAAGATTTGTTAGAAAATCGAGTTGATAGTTTGAAGGATGAAAAGGTTTACCTTATCTAAAACTCTATCCAAATTAAAATCGGAAGTCACCTTGAATTTTGGTAAGTAAACATGAATGTCTTCTTCTGAATATTCATATGCAGCTTGGTCTAATGCATCTAGAATGCTGGAGAATGATGTTCTTGATAGCGCGCCTAGCAAATTCGCCACATTCTGGCCGCCTCTGGGTAATATTATTAGCATTGAGAATTTGCCATCCTTCAAAAAATTGATATAAACGTTTTAGGGAGCACCAGTAGGATTTTACTTACGAATCCGTAAGGCAATTGTAGAACTTCTGCTTTAAGATCGTCAAATCTCGAATACGGGTATACTCCTAATTGGTACATCATATCTACCTTTATTTTATTTTTCTTTTCGTCATAAAACGTGTCAATGTGTGTCGCCGATTTATTGAATGGACTCTTCCATTCACCTTTGAAGAACATCGTGCTAGTTAAAAAAAGTTGTGCGTTTCTGATGTCTCCTAAAAGAAGTTTCGCGTTTCACAGCTGAAATCGTTTCTTTTTTGGATATATGTATATATACCCTCATTAATTAATTCAGTGATTCTGTTCCCGGTGGATTTCGCCACATGTTTGTTAATTGCATCTGCCGCTTCTTTAGTATTTTTAAAGTCGACCGGATTGATTCCTACATTGTAAAACTGCTTTGATGTTCGAGTGAATTGCTCTTTAACGGGGAAATGTTGATTGGTAAATATCGCGTTTGACAGCTGTAAAATTGCTCCGTTCGATTTGGTCTCCAATAATCTCGATAGATTTTGGAAGGAACTTCTAATGGCGTTTTTATTTGACGGCAGCCGTAATACAGCGTCTAATTGCCTGGCCGTATTCTCAAGCGCCCCTTCCGACACTATCGTTAAAAGTGTCCACACTGTATAAGGGGATAAAGCAATGTTTAAATCATCGCCAGCTTCGTTGCTAGTGGCCTGAAAATGGACCTATTTAATTACCAAAACATGCGTTAACAACATTTTTTAACAATTTTTAAACCTTAATAATGTTGTCTTTTTATTTTATGTTACGAACTTGGCCGATGAGGAAGAGGCGAAATTATTTTAAAAATGGCCAATAATCGATAATTATATAATTGTTTTATTTATTTCCACAATTACATTGCCTGACAATTTTCTCGCTAATGCAGAAACTGAAACTTGACTTTTCCCAGAAAAAATATTTTTCCCGAAATATGTCTAAATAATTTATGAAATTAAATAAAAAAATACTCATACATTAATTCAATATACGACTCTATTGACTGCTACTTACCGCAAGTAGATCTACAGCAAAAGCATTTATGGAGTCAGAAATACTAAATCTCTGTTGCAATAATACTGGGGTTGTAAAATAGAACGTTATTGTCAAAACTAAAAAAAAAAATATTTTTAATTTTTTAATAAACACTTGAACGAGATTAATAATGGCAGAATGACCCTAATGAAAAAGTGTATTTGGTTAATAACTGCAATTAAATGCATAGTTCCCAATTGTTGCAATTCGAAGGTCATTAACCAGTCATTTGAGGACGTACTTACTTGTATAGAGCTTCATTTTTCAAAATCTACTTAGCAGAATCTCACTTTTCACTCTTCAATAATGACGGGATTTGTTTTTTTCTTCCTATTTTTCACACGCATATGATTTTAAATTCGTAATAATCGTCCGCAACCTTTATAAGCTTCTCACAAAACACTTGTTTTTCATTAGAATTTTATTTAAGATCCGTATTTGAGAGATGGGTAGACTGCAGCGCGAAATGACTGTATTTTAAAACATCTGAGATCGTGACTAGAGCCCGGAACAATACAATAAAATTGATCAGAACAAAATCGTTTTTTTTTTGTTGAACGATGTTAGACCCCGAGCTGGAAAAACCTGATTCAAGAAAGTGGCTGTTAAAATAAACGAGACGATGTTCGCACTGCCGTTAAAATTGTTTATAACGTGGCCGTCGTTAATAAAACGGAGTTTTGTTTACAAACTTATTGACGTATCGATTTTCCTGTTACTATCGCCGTTCCGGATTAAACCCAGTGATTAATAATGTAATCGGAAATATTTCCTTCCTCAAAAATAGAATCCCAAATTTCGTCAATCTTTCGATCCTATTGACTCACGGAAATTATCCCCACTGTTTAAACAATTTAATTGCATATTTTATGGCAGGTACTAATAATTTTGACGTCAACCTTTTTGCTTTCCGACTTAACTCGGAGGTAAAATACGAGAATGAATGGCGTTATTCATGCTGAACTTAAATGGTTGGCTGATATAATTTTTTTTTTTTAAAGAAAAGAAAAATCTTTTTAAATTATTTCCATTCATCGTCGAACTGACCTTTTTGTTAAATGTGGAAGAATCTCAGTGGCGGTTTTATTTTTGTTAATTTCGGTGGGGTTTATATTATTTTATTCATCCGCCGACAGCCACTTTACTTTTTAAGAATTTGCAGTAAACTCCCAAATTCACTGACAAGCTAGGAACGGTAATTGATGTTAATTTCGGTAGCGTTTCGTTGTCGGTTATTTATACAACCAATGTTACTTAGCAGACCAATTATAGGCCAATACGAATTAGAGACAATTAGAATAATTACATATAGAAAATAACGCTAAAAGGAAATAAAATCAACGAATGCGGGAAGAGCAATCGCAATGAAATGTAATAGAAATTCTGTTTGTAAAAACTCTTAAATTAGTATTAAGTAAGTCAATACTATTATCACTATATTATTATTATTATATAATATTATGTAACGTATGTATAAGAGGAGAGTTAGAAAGATAATTAGTTGCGAAAGCCGGGACACTGAAAGTAAATCTGTGTGGAAGGGTATAAGTTTTAAAAAGAATATAGTTCACAAAAAAGTCCGCATCGAGAAGGTTATTTACTACCTTATAAACAAAAAAAATATCAAAACACTGCCTTATAAGAGCAAAAGTGAAAGTTAGTAATCTCGATTCGATCCACGTAATTGTGGTACATCGGACTTCAAACTGTTGACGAATACTACGGTTGAAAACTTCTTACCATATTGCAATAATGTAAATAAAGAAGCTGGGTTCTTAAATTCGTTAGTAGTTCGCAGAATAAATCCTAAATTACGTAGTGCTTTCCCAAAGATAGCTTCTATATGGGACTCGAACCTAAATCTTTAACAATGTTAACACGTTTTAAAAGTATATTGTTTAAATAACTATGCAATGACATTTACCAACATTTAAATGGAGTCAATTCTGAGCTCAATACTCATACTCATACTACAGGCGAGTTTTCGACAGTAAAAATCTTCAGGTCATCATTGTACAATCAAACTACCAAAGAGCAAGGGAGCCCAGTGTGAACCCTGCGGAACCCCAGAAGTCGCATCCAAGCAAGCCGATCTTATTCTATAATCAGCAAATATATTTTTTAAAGGTCTAGAAGCTACCCCTACCGACCGAAATTGCTAAGTTTGAATGAATGAATGATGAACCTTGTCAAAGGTTTTGGAAAAGTCGGTATAAACAACTCACGACCATTCTCCATGGCCTAATAAGTTTTCTGAACGAAAGGGACAAGATTAGTCAGAATTTGGAAGAACAAATGCTTCAACAAAAGGGATTCAAAAACTTTGCCAAAGCGACAGTCATTCACAACCTTACTTTTGTTTCTGTTGCCGGTTTTGTAGATCGGAACGATCTGAGCAAACTTCAATTTTTTCAGAAAAATTACTAGACACAGACTCCTATTAAATGAAATGTAGAATGGTTTACTTAAACTGAAAAATATAGAAGGGATCCCATAGGGGCCATGTCTCTTTTTCGCGTCGATAAGCCGTAGGCTATTTTCAAACATAGTTCAAAACATAGTTCACTATAAAAGAGCCGATTGAATCAGCTAGATTAAACGATTTCTGAAATACACTACTAAAATAATAAATACATTTCCAATTTCTTTATCGCTTGAAGCGGAAGACACATCAATATCCTTTTAGTTAGAGATTTTCCAACTGAAGAGTCAGTTGGTGTAAGTCAAACAACTCTTCCTAAACAGCATTTTATTATTTATTATGCCCCAGTATACAGCATATTAAAAGATATCGTCGTAGAATTAATTATTTAAATGTAATGTCGCACTGTTACTGATAAGGTTACATCTACATTTCCATAACAATTGCGTTTCTTACACACTGCATACAAAAACAATACAAATTTTCGTAAGTATGTGAATGCTATTTTTTTTTTGTAGACAATTACAAAAGTCTAGCGCTTCCTTCGAGATTAAGATTAAAAATTTTACATGCGTGATGATCTATGCGATATTATTATTCAGCTACAAGAGCAATAAATGGAAAACCTAGCTTACCGAATATCGAAGAAAACGGTCTTAAGAGAGTAGACTTTGCACTAAATAAACAATGAATTCATTGGGAACAAAATGTGGTATTTAAACTTCTAGAGGTAAAAATATTTTTTCATTTGGGAATAATAACACCTCCCAACTCCTTATCTGGCAGTAGGACAAAGAGTGTCAACACACATTACATAAAAAAAAAAACTAATAAAGGTGGTCTTTAATCACCTTCGATTACAAGCACAAACAAAACCAAAGTGAGCCTTCCAACTTTTAAATGAAATCAAATTAAAAAAAAAAAAACTACAGGCCTCCAGGTGCGAGTTAAAAAAAACCTAAAACTAAATTAACAATAAATAAAATATAAATTCTTTTATTACAATAATAACCGAAGAATGTTAATGATCAATTCTCAGCGTAAGTCAGGATTTTCAATAAGATGCTTTTTAATCCTCAGCAGTATAGTGGTGTACCACTGATCCAATCGCGAAATTGAGTCATACTCTTTAACTGCGTCAGTAAAAGCATCTACATTTTGCTCTTCCAAGTGTTCTATTAATGTTTTAATTAGTTTGTATTCTCTTGAATCTTGGAATGCAGGATACATTTGTATATAACGTTCCAATGCATGTTGGGCATTTAGAATGTCAACGCACATGTGGCACAGGGCCGCACGAAACAGATATTCCTTAGCACTGTATTTTAATAATGAACTTTCCAGAGCAGAAGTGGCAACCTCTTGGTAGATATCTATTGCTTTCTCGTAATTTCCTAATTGGGCCGCATACTGAGCTACTTTCAGCAAACATTTATTTGCTGATGAATTGCTTTCCTCACCTCTAAAGTAATCAGCTGCTTGCTCATAATGTTGGACAGCTTTTTCAAGATCAATTGCGTCACTTTCATACATTTCTGCAATACTCTGATGATGCTTAGCAGCCATTGTAAATCTCCCCATGTCTGTGTATATTTCAATGGCTTTTAGCAGGCAGTTTACTGCCTCTAAAATGTAAAAACCAGTTTAACTGAATTCAATAAAGCTATAAAATAGCGGTGAATGTTTACCGTTGACATCAGCTTTCTTATAGCAGTTAGATGCATCAACATAGTTGGTGGCGGCATCATGACGGGCCCCACTTCTTAAATGCAGATTTGCTGCTTCACAAAATGCACTGCCGGCTTGAATCCAACTTTTGGACATTTTATATAAATTGGCCGCTCTCTGGTAACACTCGATTGCATCTTCAACACGGCTAGATCCGCTATAAACATGGGATTTGAATACTGTATAATAAAATCTATCGCTTTTTGACCCTTACCCAAAAAGTGAGCCGAAAAACCCTCTCGGCCCAAGTTTCTTCTCAGCTTCAGCAATTAATTGCTGGGCTTTTTGTTCATTTGAAGACATCCTAACAAATTTTATTTACAAAAAATGTTCAACAAAGCTTATTGACAAAATAGTTACACGACGAATAGATGGTTGGCGCTGCTTCACTATAAATGACAGCTGATCGGTGACGGAGTATGTCATGGAGAAATTGGACAACCTAAAAAAAATTCTGTCTGTGTTCTGAGAGTCGTGACGTTTGTGTTGTGGTTGGAGGATGAATGCGTGTTTCCAAAAATAAATTGAACAAGCGTCTAATTTAAATAAAAGGAAAACGCTCAATATATATTAAGTGCTCTAAAGAAACAGTCGTTAATTCGGTCGCATAAGGGTAAGCAATGCTAAAACAAAATGAGGTACAATGATAGAGAACTCGTAAAAATTGGCGAAAGCAATGCTGATTTTGAGGGCGTTCTTCAGCACATGAAGCCACAAGGAAAAGATTGGTCGGACTGGTATCAGCAGCCTTGCTTTAAAGAACGTTATTTCAAATTAATAGCAAATTTATTATATTACTATCGTGTGAATGAACAAGAACCCTTGGGAATATTAGTGTTGGAAAATGCACAAGTAGCATATGAACGGCCCCACAAAGGGATCCCTTTTGCATTCTCTATTACATTTAAAGTCAATGATAAGTTTAGAGACAATGATGCAAAACATGTGTTTTCCTGTAGATGTGAAGCAGATGTTAATAAGTGGGTATCAGTTTTAAAAACTGCCTCATATGAATATTGGCGATCACAGTATATAATTTTGAAAACCAAGATTGGCATGAAGACCGGACAAGATCCCGTTTTGCAGTACATGAAGAGTAAAAGAGAAACTAATAAAACAGCCTCTCAAATAGATGTTAAGAAAAATAAAGTAAAGGAATCACAATCCATTTTTTATAAGCACATCTCAACTGGATATATGGAAACTAGTTTTTGTGAAAGAACTACCACCGTTTCATCCTCAAACAATGTTGAAAATTTAATAACATTATAAGAACATAATCAGTAATGCTTTAAGACTACCCTGACAGCGTCCTTATGAAATATAAATTGTGACTGTTCTTTGTATTACCAACAGTTCACAAGCATTTCTAGTCATTATTTATATGTTAGTTGTGATTGTGGTATATCATACCATTTATAATTAAGAGCTTTCAGTGTAACAGTAGGTAGTATAATACTTAAGTGGCTAATGGTTTCTCCTATAAAACATGACTGAAAAATATTATTTAATGCAAGATTAAAGATAAACAGTATGTTTCATGCTAGTCTTATGTCTTGTACCAAGCTCTTGAAAATAAATATTTAACCATTTGTTATAATGATGTCCAAATTGAAAATTAATAAAGATTGCGTATTTTTATAAAAAAATTTATTATTAACTTAATACTACATAAGCTTTATCATAAAGGGCAAAAGTTTTACCATCAACATGTATGCCTTCAACTGATGTAGTCTAGTTAAGACAATTTATATTTTTAAATGGATTTCATTTGCTCCATAAGATCTTCCAGACTTATATTATTTTTGGATGCCGCTTCTTCCCCTTCTTCTATACTATCCTCGAGGAGTTGGCCAGGTACTGTATAAGCAAGTGACAGACCTTCAGCAACTTTCACAGCTTCTTTAATATCTGTGCTTTCATCTATTAAGCTTATACCCCATTCATTACTCTCATGTATTGGTCCTTCATCTTCTGTTGCTTCTATAGCCACTTCAGGTTTTTTTGGTCTCATTGCTACCTCTTTTTGATGTAAACGGCAGTTTCGGTCTTCACAATTTGGATTGGGCCTAAGGTTCATGATTGGGAAAAAATCTGTCAAAGCACTGTACCCTAAGTAATTTGTTACTTGACCAAATTGAAGCAAGTACTGAAAATAAAAGTTTAAATATTTTATATATTATACCAGATTTTTTTGAAAAAAGTACCTTTAAGGAATTTTGAACCAAAAACCCAGCTATGATGCCCATTGTGGTAGGCAGACTAGCAGCACAAACACCATCACGTTTTAGAGTTTTTTCATCAATATTCGAAGCTACAATTAATGGTGGTGCACACTAGAAAATTTAAGGTTTGTTGATCATTTTGGTAAAAATATTTTGTTATATAACTTACAGCAAAACATGCTGTTTCCCCAGGACTGATAAATTGAATATGACCAGAAACAGCATTTTCTGATACACCAGATTCAAACCATGTCAAATTAAACTCATTGCATGCAGTATTAATAGCAAATCGTGCCTCAAAGTTATCTACACAACTCAGCACTAAATCAACAGGCCCATTTTGTAGGTTGCTAGTACTAAAATTAATTTTACATTATTAAAACAGCATTTACAAGATATTACTGAGTTACAAAGTCTTACGTCAGGATTTTTGTAAAATTGTCAAAATTTTCTACTGTAGTTATATTGTAGTTAAATGTCAGAATGTCTACATCAGGATTTATATTCCTTAAAGTCTCTGCCGCAGCTTCAACCTTACTCAAGCCTGATTGATGAGGTTGGAAAAACAGTCTGTTCATGTTTGCTAATTCCACTTTGTCATAATCAAATAGAATTAGTCTTCCAATTCCACATCTCGTTAACATTTCTGCGGTAACACTACCGACACCTCCTACACCAATGACTGCTATTGTGAAATCTCTAATTTTTTCGTAGTTATTCACTATACCCATTCGTTTTAATGCCATTAATCGGCTACAAAAATAACAGTAACCTTAATTATCGTTATACATAATATGAAATATACCTATATGGATTAGTGTCCACCACTTCCGATGACATTTTCTCGATTTTTTCTCTTTTTCCGACATTTTTTTCCAATGCGGCCGAAAGTTCAGTCTCTAATTGCTTAATTTTTCCTTCCAACTCAACAGTAGAACTCATTTTCAAGCATATGTTGACAGAATTGCAATGTGGCAAAATAATTCAGGTGAGCGTCCTTTGGCCGTTTTCTTTGATTAAATATTTATTTGTTTTGGTAAACTTATAAATTTGCTTCTTCAATTGAGAAAATGGTCCGATTATAAAGATATTTTGAACATTTGCAATTGCCACACTTAACACAGAAGCAACAACGGTTAGTCAATTTACAGCATCAGCTGTGTTAGCTGTCAGTGATCTGCATCTGACATACACTTTCCAGAAACCATAGAAAGCCAGAGACAAAGTTCTAAACTCAGAATGCTTATGCATATATATATATATATATATATATATATATATATATATATATATATATATATATATATATATATATATATATATATATATATATATATATATATATATATATATATATATATATATATATACCGGGTCGCTCAATAATGTGACAAAATACCAGGTGGTTCGGTTATCATGATGACACCTTATCTCAAAAAAAAAGACTAGTTATTTGGATTCACTTATACTTGTATTTTGGGGTCTGTGGTGGAGCATTGCACGCGGCGGTTAACCTCCGTTCGCTCCCGACAGAATCCCTTGCATTCGTCCTCAAAAGTTTGATATCGGTTTCCACTGTGTGGACTTAGTGTTTTTAGTGTTCAGTGCATGTTTTAAAGTGATAATCATCGTCGGCCCCGTCGTTTTTCCCTGTTCACGCCGGTATGGAGGCCGGATGGGCCAGGATGGTCCGCGGTGGAAGCGGGGGGAAGCCGATTTTTTTTGGTATCGGTCAGAATCGTTTTTTGCTAGCTGAGCAAATTATTGGTTATTTTTCTTCTTTGTACATGGTGGTCATAGACCAGAAACGAAAATCCTCGACGGAAGTCGGCAATGGGCGAATGATCCTAGCAGTCTAGCCCAACTTTTTTTGTGAAACGCATAATTGAATTGAATTGAACTTGTATTTTGGTGGAGAACTAATAACTTTAAATATGTGAAAAGTGGCGTTTGCAGCTCTATATATCTATTGTTACTTGAACTTAGAAAATTGGAAAAAAGGGTGACTTTGTATTACATTGCTTATCTGAAGAAGTGGTATAAGATATAAATAGGTATAAATATAAGATAGATATTTAGCCCTGCACATGAAATTCAGTATATGTGAAAAACGATGAGACAGGTATAGGATATTATATATAAAATATTTCTAGAAAGAATGTTCAAAAATGGAATAATATTCAAGGCGTTCTCTTTAAAATATAAACTATCCACTAATCACCCTGTACATTAAAATGCAGGTGCGAAGTCCCCGTATTATGCAGGATATTGTAGCATTATTTTTCTAGTAATGTAGTAACTGTTGTAATAAAATATAATCAACACATCTGGGAAATGCTCTGGATAAGGCTGTTTTCCACTCATCTTAATTTCTGTCGTAATTATCTAAACGGAAAAACGCGCCGCATCCTCTATTTTCATTTGCATATATGATTTTTCGTAATCGGTCTATTCATGAATTTGCGATAGTTTATCAGTGATATAAATTTCCCTTCATAGTATTAAATGCGAGAAACAGGTGACAACACTGTTTAGGCTAAATTGGCGAAAATAAATCGCCGAGATGGTATATGGTAACCAGCCGCAATCTTGATTAATCCATATTTTAAAAGTCGAGTACCTGCTACTTGAATTAGTGCTTTTGGTCATGAATAACCCAATTTATAGTAATTTTCTTTCCTGTGAGGGAATGAATATTAATAGCTATTACAACCAAGAACCAAATTTGTTTATTTCTATAAATTTAACAAGCAAGTGGTGTACAAATGATAGAGACGTATAAAAATTAAATCATGATCACGCGAAGTATTTTAGAAGGTGTCGCTTGCCTCATAAAAAGTGCACATTGCGCTCAGAAAATGTCACACCTATAGCGATTTAATTTATACATAACTTAGGCATAGTCTACTTTTGTTTTGTGAACTAAAACATGTTTTAGCGCGTTTAATCTAAAATTCGATGGGTCCATAATGGTTTTAACACATGCAACCACCTTCTGAGTCTTGCTGGTCGCTTTGCAGTTGCGGCTGAGTTTGCAAATCGACAGCTGAAAAAGTTCTAAGGAAAATAATCTGTTCCTTACAAGATAAATATGAATTAGTGTTGTCGAGTTTTTATTCAATTATTGGAACCATTTTTTTGGCTTGTGGATTATGTTTAAAAAAGCTGGTAATTGTTTATTTTATAAGAGCACTTTGTAGCAGATAAAAGGTTAAAAAAAAACCTGATAGAAACTAAATTACTTCCATACAATATACTTTTGAATAGCACAATATATAATATATAAAAATTGGTGTAAATGGTTTACAACAAAATAATTAATTAAATTCTAAAAACAGTTTATAGGTAAATGCAAAGTAAACAACATAATATAATTAACAATGAAAAAATGTAAGAGTTGAGCAATAATGTCCATGTAGCTTCATAGCACATTTGGTACAGAAATGACAAAATTTGCCTGTCAATCTCTAAATTATTGCACAAAATCAGTGTTATTGCTTTTATCAGCAGTTAAATAAAAATTAAAGGGTAAGCAGGTTTGTAAATTCTTACTGGGAGTTAAATACCTATAATAAATTACTTAAAACATAAAAGGCAAACATTTTACAAAAATATTAAGGTGGGAAAGGTTTCTACAAACATATACAAATCAAAGCAATGTAGGTCAGAGAAGTATAACCTAAAGAGATCAACATGCACAGCCTCCATCTGGATCTTTGACTTCGTTTGGAGTGTCCTTTAGGACCACCTCTTGCACTAAATGTCACATTAAGGAAAATAAAATAAACAAAATGAATACAATGCAAAAAATATTCGAGATGCAAAAACAGGTGCATGCACTGTATTAAAAAGGATACTGTCTTCTGGGGGCTTGTTCTCTGTAGAATCCATCCCAGGCAAGGCCGCGGCAACGCGTCTGAACAACTGAAAATATTTTTTCATAAAACTGTGATTTTAAAAAGAAAAAATTACGGCTGATACCTGTTTTACATTGTAGCCAGCTTTAGCACTGGTTTCTATGAACATCACATTTAATTCCTTTGCTTTACGTTCACCCTCCTCTGTGTTGACTTGTCGTTTATCTGATAAGTCAGTTTTATTGCCAACAAGCATTATTATAACATCACTACCTCTCTCAGTTCTTACATCATCAATCCATTTTGAAGTTTGATGAAAAGAATTGGCATCTAAACACAGCAATATACGAATTAATAGGTTCTATAAGTAATGTTAATGATAACCCTTACTTGTAATATCATAAACTACAACAGCGACAGTAGAATCCCGAATATATGACGGAATTAGTGACCTAAATCGTTCTTGTCCAGCAGTATCCCACAACTGTAATCTAACTGTCCTATCTTCCAGATACATCGTTTTGGACAAAAAGTCAATTCCTATAGTTGCCTTTAAAAATAAAAACCCTGGGTCTGTTATCCAAGATTTTTCATTTTTGAAAAACTATGTATGAAAATTATTAGCGAATGGTAAAATGTTGCTAACAGCAGTCATGAATTAACTTTTCCACATTTTTGAAATTTCTAGGAAAAAATGTTCGTTAATATTTAACAACTTAGTTGATTTTAAAATAATTTTATAATTTGGGATTTATATAATTAGAAGCGGATATAGTGTGGGTAAAAGAATTAAAATATTTCGCGTTAAGTGTAGAGAATGCAGTGTAGACATAAATTTGTTTACGCTACATTATTTAAAGTTTTATAATTCACTTAAATAAACACCTCGAGGTTTAGTTTGTAACCGCTGTGTGCGGATGCAACATTGTTAGAGACAAAGCATTTTTATATGATGAAATTTATGTGGGAACATTTTGTTAATACCTATTTAAAAAAAAAAGGGAGTATTTACCTGATACGTGTTGTCAAAGCTGTCATACATAAATCTTGTAATTAGGGATGTTTTCCCGACTAGAAAAAGAAAATTGTCTTTAAGGACAAATGTAATAATCGCTTGGTAATAAATTTGAAACTTATTTTATAAATTTTCGATTTAAAACAATACTAAAAAAGGTCTATAAACATTTATTTCTTAAAACAAGTTCTTCACAGTTACAAACGAATAATCTAAACGGACGGGACGAACGCAACGTAGAAAGTTTAATTTGGTGTCATGCTAAGATATTAGAATTGAAATAAATACATAAAGAATTACTTATTGATCATTTTGACTACGCCTGGCTATGAAAGTATACAACTCACCAGAAAATGTCAAAACTTACCGCTTTGTTCGCCTAAGAAAACTAATTTAAATTTTCTTAAAGGGTTTCCGAAGTCTCCAGATGTCGACATTGTTGCCTAAATTTTTACCTGACTCGTTTCCACTCAGCAATTGACGATTTTTCACAATAAATCAACACATGAATACTGCCTTGACTACTACATGCAAAAGTTGATTCGTGTCACAGTCATCCGTAAATTGACAGAACTGAATGAAAAAAAAAGTTATCAGGAAACTGTGTACAAGTGTCTCCTTTGACTTTTGATTCTCCCCGTGACATACAGATGCCGCTGCGTCATAGATATTGATTCATGGAGATTTTTTTTATATAAATGGCTGTAAATAAAAAGAGGTATTAAATTACTCAATATTTTAATTCTTAAATATTTTGTTTTGTTATACCACAGAAAAATATCTAAGGAGTATACTTAGCTACTAGATACGCAGCGCGGGCAAAACAAAATTTCCCTAGTCGCCATTTTGTTGGTAAAATAATCCCGATCCAGAAGAGTCCCGTGTTTAGAAGTGGTTATATTATTTGTTAAATGTAAATTTTTGTTTTCGCATACCATCAAAAAGTGACATATGCTGGAATGTGTTTGTTATTAGTAGAATGAGTTTGTCTAATTTTAAACTCAAGATTTAGTTTCGTTGTTCAAATATAATTATACCGCCCTAAACTTATTTCCTGTGCAATAGCGGTGAACTTTCCGTGGTGTAAAACTAGACTAGCGTTGAGAGTTGAATCGAACAGTTACATATTCTCCCTTGAAAAACGTTTTGAGCTTGCTGTAGCTTTTTTATAAAAATTAATGGTTCAACTTGGAGGAAGGGGAAGTGTAGCAACTCTAACCTGAACATATTGGGACTGGAAGACAGTTTTTTTTTCAAAATAATTATATCAAATTTATGCAGTTTCGCCGTCTAGTGGAGAATACCTAATATGTAAGTTTATAAAATTAATATTTATTGTTGATTTATCATTACGTATTTATAATTTTTATTCACAAAATCCTTTAAAAAAATTTGTTTAGTACAATTCGCCGTATACTCATAAATTGCAAAACCAAGATTAGTACTATCGATATACCTACATGATAAGTATAAGTTCCACCGGGTGCAAAAAATGAAAAGTGCAAAATATGATTTTTTGCTTATAAATAAGTTTTTGTCGAGATCTCTGCTCAAGGTTTGTGCTATTTTCATTTGTGATTTTTGAATTGAATCGAACTCAATTTTTTTTTTATCGTTTTACAATTCCCATTGATCGGCCTATCACCATCGTGAAACATAACCCCAAAATTTTATTTGTTCCGGGTCCTTAAGGCGTTTGATTTGTTTCCGCCTACGCAACATTAGTTCTATTAGACAATTTGAGGGTATCGTTATACGAATAATTGCATCTCTGTTTATAGGATAGGCAGGTAGGTTTTGTTTGTTATTGGTCTTGTCTACCCTTCGTTTTTTTCCTTTCTGTTTTGTTTTCTCATAGGATGTTGGATGCAAATGGGTCCAACAAATAACCGATATTTGGTTAAACCTCTGTGTTTATTTATATCGTGAAGGTTTCATGTATTCATAATATGTTCGCCAGTTTTTTTCGATCGCTTTCGCCTTTGGGTTTCCATCTTTTGCGTTTATTCGAGTCGCTTTCTCGGAACATGCGAACGTTATCTACAGCATTATCATCTATCAATTACCATATTCGTTTAGGTCTTCGATTTTTATTTACCCTTTCCTGCTAGCCATACTAGAACAATTGCTATGGTGATCGTATCATTTCTGAGTCTGTTTTTTGGTTTTTTATTAAGTTCGCAGCCTCAGCTCCATCGACATTGAAATTTTGACTGTCTTGTTTGAGGAAACTAAACGTTGGTATAGAGGTGGTTGATATTGCATCCCTTCCTATCCTCCTCCATAAATTATTTTATATCAAACTCCTGGAAGTCAACAAAGATGAACGTTAATCCTCTTGTGTTTCTTTTTGCCAGATTTTGGAGAGTAAATACTCTGGCGCCCTTGTTTCTTCTTTTTGGATACAATACATAGAATACATAGGTGTAAGTTGAATGGAGAAGGGTGTTAAACAAGGTGTTGAAACCTTAATAAACGTAACGAGGAAACAAAGTTGGTGTATTATGGTGTATTAAGTTATGTATTATTAACAAACAATTAACTAACCAAAACTAACAAGAAGGGAGTAGAAAAAGTGATAGAATGTCCATTGAAGAAAAATATGATGGGCGCTTTGCGATGTGCAGGATAAATCCGAAAACAGTGCAAGAAAATTGAGAAACACTGAGACCTGAATCTCTGAAGAACAAACCTATGGATGAAATCACTGATTTAAATCGAGGGCTGAATCTGATATCGGATTGATATACTTGGTTACAACCCAGAATAAATGCAAAATCCACATCTGCAATCCCAGACAAAAGCGTTTATCCCAAACAAAGTGAATCCAAGTCTTTGAGATGTGGACCTAGAATGTAAAAGACGCAAAGACCAATATCCGGGGGATTTGTAATGTAATGCAATCTGTAAAATGCAATTGGACAGATTTTTTTGTTTAGCTTTTTTTATGTCTTCCATTTTCTCTGCTCCGGTCGGTTGTGTTTAATCATCTGCTAAAGTTGGGCTTCCCAAAGTTAATTACGTTGTTATTCCGAGTATAGGTTTCTAACTTCTCGACGAGACGTGACCAATTTACATTTGGAACTGTCCCAATAAAGCAAGAACCTAATCACATTCGAGCAGCACTAGGATTTCCAGATATTGCTCTTAGCTCTGTTGATCTAGTGTTGGGGTAGGTAATAGAAAAGTCAGCTGATGGTTCAACAACAGATTTATAATATCGGTCTAAATGTGATGCAGTAACCGTCAACATTCTTATTTTATTCCCGTGCGAGTTGAGCATTTGACAAGACAGGAAATGGAATCGATCAATAGGGTCTCGTGGTGAAGGTCGAGATGTGTCTTCAGAAAAAAATCAAGCGCTCTCTCGAAATACTGCGTCAAATGTAACCATACTCGCAGAGGACCTCTGATACGACTCTAACAGCAGACTTGCGCCATGCCAAGCCATTTTCCGAATTTCCGCGATTCGCTTTTGCATAGCTGTTTATTGCATAAGCCAATGCCGATGCCATAGCAACTTGTTGCATCTTATTAGATGTGGAAACGCTGTCGCTAGCGCATCGCATCGCGAAACATGCTTTCCTTCCGTCTTTAAAACGGAAGGTTTCGGTTTCCTTGGGTCGCGTCATATCACTCATGAAGTCAGTGTTCAGAAAATTGCGATTTTTCCCACAAAAAGCACGCTTCAGAAGGAATTTGTTGGTAAATATTTTCCATTATTTTCTCGTTGGTTTTTCATTGTGATGCATTTGCGACGCTGCCGTTGAACTTTTAAAAGATTCCCAAAGTTTATATTCATATTCAAAGTAACCGCAAGTTGACCCATATTTTTAAGTCGTTTTTGGTCTGAAAAATTGTTTCGTATTTATTTTCGTTAATGTAGCAATTTAGAAAAATACGCATTTACTAGTTCTGTGGAGTGTGTAGGTGTGTGTGTTTATAAACGGGTAGAAATTATTTACGTTTAAATAGATATTCTCTAAACAATAACGTAAATGAAGCGATACTAAGGACCATAAAGGATGGTTTACAGATCCTATTTCAACTAATAGTAGTTTCCCTTTACTCGTATATTGTTCTTTATTTTTTCAGAAATGTTGGTTTATCAATAGTGCCTATTTTTAGTGTTTTGACGTAGTCACTGACCTCAAGTTAAATATCGCATTTAAAAAGAATGTATTTCATATATCATTTGCTTTACAATTTGTTTAATTTGCAGTGCGATTTAAAGAACTACTGCTGTCGGAGCAGGGTCGTTTTTAGTATAAGTAGACGCAACAGTTATAGGAAATTTTTCATAGCTTCTGAATTTTATGTTACTATAAATCAGTTGTTAATGGGGATTTTTCGCGTTATTTGAGGTAGTAGTATTCTTAATTTAATTTATACCGTTTTAATCTTCTTCACTATTGCGCTTACTCTCACCATCGTTTCTCCTGCCCACAGAAAAAATATTAACATGCGCGTTTATCCGTAAATGTTTTTTTTTACAGTCCCTCAGACTGGAGGGACATCAAGTGCCTTCAGCTGTCTCGCCGTCAGAACCTGGATCCGCTACGCTGGCTCCTTCTAGTTCTAGCTTAGATATGGATGATGTCAGTAGTAAACGCCAGGCTACAAGGTAAGGAGGTCTTGTAATTCAGAATATATACCGGAAAATGATGAATGGAAAAAAAATAATGATTTATTGTAAGTTGAACGCTGTAACTGCGCACTGTTTTGGAATTGTTTAAATTAAAAATACATAAAACACAATGCTCGTAGTGAAACCCGTTGACCTCACATATTTCGAGAAATACATCCGAAATCAATTTGCATTCTGTGATATTTCGCATACGAGCTTTAACATCTTACGTATTTTATTGTTTATCCAATTCTTGCGGTCGGATTTTATTCGCCACGGAATGTAATATCCAACTGGGCTATATAGACTACGCAACTCTTAACAAATATTTGCCGCGTCTCGATTTCCAGGTACTGACTTCTCTCTTAGTTGGAGTTATCAAAGAACTCCTAAATTTTGGTTGAAGCCTTCGCAGAATTTCATTATGGATAAAGCTTTATTGTTAAATTATATAGCGAGAATATTGAGTGCTTGGCTGAAATTAGACTATAACCTAACGGGGTATTACTATAACAGAAAATTTAGAGCTCTATAAATATCGATTTCAGTTTTAGGGTGGTATAAATTATCTACAGTGATTTATATACCGCTTTAAAACCATTTTTATGTTTTCCTTTATAGCAAATTTACTCCTTCGGTTGCCTTTCGGATGGCTGGTTTTAATAAAGTTGGAAGTAAAATTTCCGATGATGAAAATTTACGTTCTCTGTTGTCATAAAATCGATTTATTTGTTTACAATTCTCAATTGGAATCATATTAAACTTAACTTCAATGGACAATAACGTAGAGAGGTAGCAAACGGAAGCGAATCTATTTTTAAGGTTGTTTATTTCGATTTATTAGTTCCGGTCACTTTATCAGAGCGAGTAAATTACCGGTTCCACGTGCTTTTTAATTCGGCTCCGATTTAGCATCGCATTGCGTGAAAAACATTCCCAATAATTGTTCTTTAGAGATACAAAAAATTCGATACGAGGGAAGTATCAATGTGTTTCGCCATTGTGAAAATTCATATGCTGCCAATCTCGCAAAAATCTGTGTACGTGCACAGGATTTGCCCGTTTTGCTTGTTTTTACCGGAATGGATCGCGAACGTTTTTTTCTAACCCAGTGAGGCAGAGTATTTTCTATTTAAACAATTCTTGTTTTGTATTTATCGAGTCACCCCAATTAATTAAAAGTCCGCTTCGGGAAAATGTCGAATTAATGATTAAACTTGTGCTTTCAGGGTTTTCAAGAAAAGCTCGCCCAATGGCAAGGTAAGTTGATATTTTTATCTTAGAACGTCGTTAAGGGATCTTTTTTTTTTCCTTATAATCTTTCTTTGATGTTATTTTCAGTTTGACGTGACTTAAGGCGAGTGTTTTTGACGCATTTAGAATATTTAAAATCTGCATAAAAAATACTACTTCACTTTGGGGCTGCCAATCTATCGTAAATTGCGCGGTAGAGTTTTTTTTTAGGAAATTCCACTGGTTCGCCAATGCGGCGGCGCGTGTGGTTTTAATACAAAAGGCACACTCGTCTATTAAATAATTTAAACATTTTGCGAAGCCAGACGATACATTATTCAGCTAATCCAGTTGGACAAAACAAACTGCGTTGGTACTGTGCCAAATCGCTTTTCGAAGTTCAAATCAATACCATTCGGTTGAACTGGCATAGTTTCACCCCGATTTGTTTGTAAACATTTATTTTTTATTCTTCTGTAACACATCATATCATTTTCAAGGAGAATCCTGATAAGTAAATGCCAATCTCAATCCACCTCTCTTCAGCCCTTTTTCGGATGCCACTGGATAGCTATTCCCTAGTCATTTAAGAAGCGTTTTTGATGTATTCTTTAAATTTGTAGGGTCGTTTTCAAGTTTTTTGTTTTATTTCAGATAACGGTTTACTTGGGGAAGAGAGACTTCGTGGATCATATATCCCACGTGGATCCAATAGGTAAGTGGATCTAAGACATCTGATAACAAAATTACAGATCGACTAATTAAATTATCCTATTTTTGGTCTATTTAAGTCGGGTTCTAAATTTTCCAGATTAGTGGGAAAGGATTTCATTGTTAGACGTCGAAGTCAATATCCCATTTTCATTTGCGTTTGTGTTTGAGTTGGAAAACGACACCCCGGCCTTAATCAGAAATTCTCTTTACGATTAAATCGGAAGTGCTTTTTTTTCAGCGGTAGTCGACGAGATTTAATTAAATTAAAAAGAAGGAAATGCACGGTCTTCGCTTTCGATAACCGATTCCAATTCGCCCGGGTTCCGACAAGGCCTTGCTTTAGGCACGTGTATGTTCATTATATCTTGACGCGTTTTTATAATTCAAAAGCGAACTGGGTCCTTTTTCCCGCGATAGAATAGAAAATACAAGAGAAAGTGGGCGTGGCTCTGTCGGGAGTGCGCCATTTCTGTTCTTGAACGTCTTTCTGTTGAAAATCAGTACGGGAACCAAGGGAATGACTTTCTTTTTGACACGTCTGGATAATTATAATTTGTTATTATGGGCGCATATTTTGCTCAATGTCGATGACGTCGAAGTATTATTTAACTTCAAAAGAAACACTGTCCAAACGGCTCTCTTTTTGCTTTTGTTGTGGAGCCAGGGAGAAAACCGTCTTCGGATGAATGAATTTAATAAATTTTTAAATATTAAGTTACAAAATTGAAATTTCCACACAAAAATGTTGAAAATCACAATTCAGACAGAATTTCTAGTGCGCTGATTGGCCTGGAATAATCGACAACGGTGGTGCGTGTTTTCCGTTTTTTCATCCATTCCCTTTTGTTTAATACTACGGTGGATTGGATAAAACGCGACACATAAAGAATTGGCCTCGGGCCCTTATTTTTTACCGCGATATTTTTGTCGATTTTACAATTCAATGAGGCTTCCGGCGGGAAAAAATATTACTATAGTGCGGAAGTAAAATTGGGAATGGTTGCATTGTTTTCATATGAGGTTCATGTTTTTAAAAAAAATAATTTAGAGCCTTTGTGGATTCGACATTAAACGAAAAGCTTACCGGTTTCAAATTCAAAAAATGGTTTTGGATGTGAAAATGTTATTCGTTAAACATGAACATGAAAGACAGTTTTCGTATAATGAATAAATATTTTATTAAATTATATATTGGCCATTCTCGTCCAACACCTTTTGCCATATTTCTGGCAGTAACATAATTCCCCTCTCATAAAAGTTTTGGTCCTTGCTGGCAAAAAACTGGTTCACGTGGTTTCTGACATCTTCATTTGAGGTAAAGGTTTTGCCATCCAAAAAATTTTGCAGGGACCGGAACAAATAGTAGTCGGAAGGCGCCAGATCTGGAGAATATGGTGGATGTTGCAGTACGTCCCATTCAAGCTGTAAAAGTTTTTGGCGAGTGACCAAACTTGTGTGAGGTCTCGCATTATCCTGGTGGAACACTACACCCTTCCTGTTGATTAATTCGGGCCTCTTCTCTTTAAGTGAATCATTCAATTTGTCCAGTTGATGACAATAGACTTCTGAATTAATCGTTGTATTGTCCGGCAAAAGCTCAAAAAAAAACGATTCCTTTGACATCCCACCAAACGGAGAGCATCACCTTTTTTTGGTGAATGTTGGCTTTTGACACGCTTTGAGCCGGTTCATCTTTTCTGCTCCATGACCTCTTGCGTTTAACATTATTGTATACAACCCATTTTCCGTCCCCAGTAATAATCCGCTTCAAAAATGGATCATTTTCTTGACGTTTGAGGAGCGAATCACGCACGTCAACGCGACGACACAAATTTCGCTCCGTAAGGACATGGGGCACCCACACATCGAGCTTCGAGGTTAAGCCCATGCCTTTCAAATGGCTATAAACAGTCGAATTCGACAAATTTAATCTCTCACCGATCTCTCATGTGGTTATTCGCCGATTTGCATCAACTAATGCCTTTATCGCATCTTTGTCAGCTTCGACCGGCCTTCCAGATCGTGGTGCATCTTCGACATCAAAATTGCCGGATCGAAATTTTGCAAACCAGTTCTGGCACTGGCGTACTGTTAACACGCATTCTCCATACACATCCGTCAATTTTTTTCTCGCTTGGACAGCATTTTTACCTTTTCTGAAGTAAAAAAGTAAAATATGACGAAAATGCTGCTTATTGCTCTCCATATTTAAAAGGGCACCAACCAAAAACTACTGCGTAGAATTAATAGAACTTTTTCACACACAAGCCTTGCAATATCAGCTCTCAAGACATATAATGGTTATGCGGCTTAAGTGTGAAGTTGGTTTCGAAAAACCGTAATTAAGTCCTCTGACGGAAAAAACGAAATGACTTTCCTAAAAAAAAAAAGATTTTAGACACATTAAAAGAGCTGTGAAATTCAACATAAGTTGTTCAAATGCGCAACAACTCTCTCGTCTTGCAAAGGAAGGATAATACATTTATATTGAAATTTGTAGGCATCCCAACAACAAAATTGTTAAGATATGAACACCTATGTGCAAATCAACTGAATTTAATGGATAGGTAATTCAGAAAACGTTTTCCCTGCAATAAAAATAGAGCAATCTCTTCTCAAAATCTCAAAATCGAAATTTAAGGTTTTCAAATTAAGGTAACGTGTACTCGCAAATCTGTTACCATGTTCTAATAATCGTCTATTTATTGGTTGCAAGGCAGATTTTGATGATTTAACCAGTGACTTTAATAGGCCTGAAAAATTCTCAAATGGAAACGCTGAAAAATGGCCCAAGGGAACATCTCCTTTAAGGTGAATCAGAAGAAGAAGAAGATGTTGTATATTAGAAACTCTGGCCCATATAAGTGATGACAATGTTTTACAAAATTCTTTAATAAATTGTGAGCCAATTCTGTACCAAATTTGGCTATATGAATAGAAGAGATAAGTATTATAACCGCACATTTCAGAAGTAGAAAATTCCCAATATGTCTTTATTTTGCTTTTTAATGTGATTTAGTGATCTTAGAAGACTGATTTATAGACCTATAATTCAGTAGATATTATCACCTGAAGCTTTTATTTGTTTGTTTACTGCTGCTTGCATAAAAGATGATACATGATTGATAATGGACTGAACAGATGAAGTTGATGGAGTTAACCTTGCTGAACTATATGGCGAGTCCTGTTCTACATTCCGGCCTAAAATAAATAAAATAGTTTACTTGATTCTTAAGAAATGTTTTATATTTTCATACCGGCCTAAAAACGAGAGATATTTTTATTATTATATCTCGAAGGAATACTAGGAGGCCTGCACTATCACTTCCACTATCAACAAAACGAATTATTTTTCCTCATCCACCTTCGTCGCTTTTAAAGTTAGAAGTGGCTTTTGCCCGCTTGAGTTTTTTTGTGCCCTTTATTAATCATCTACAGATAATTCGATTCTGTAATCTTCAAAACTAAATAGTGTATCAGTGTCTTAGCTGACTCAAAAAATCTATGCACATTACATAAGGGCCAGAAATCTTCCTTTGGAGATGCTCCCTGTGACAGTTTTTTCAAATTTGCCTTGTGTTTTGGTGCGGTTAAATTTAATTTCTAAAGATTTGAAACCAAAAAGAAAAACGAAATAAATAATTCGTCATATAAATACAAAATACTACCGGTTTTTCATCGCAGCCACCAGAGATTAATTTCGCGAATCACTCACGAAAAGCGTCTCATTTCGTTCACCTACATGAATAAGTGGGTGGGTTGCTTAAGTTTGTCGATACTTTGTGCTTATCATAAAATAGTCAAGGACTTAGATAATTTTTCAAAGAAGTTCTTCTGGATTCACCCGGTTTTTGCTTAGTCGAACTTGCTAACGTTTCACCAGTCTTCCTGTTGTCTTCTTCAGAGCTTGACGCAGTAGTTTCAGTCAAGCTCGGAAGAAGCCAACAAGATGATTGGCGAAACGTTAGCAAGTTCGAGTCAGCAAAAACCGACGCAGGAGGAATCCAGAAGTTTTGTAAAAAGTAAGGACCTAGATAATTTAGGTGGGTAACTTAGGTAGATGTCCAGATTATTTGTCTTTTTTGGACTTGGATTGATTTGGAAATAAATATAAGCGTCAAGCTAGTAGAAAACAAGAATGTTCCGCAGATGGTGGGCGTCGATTACCACCAATAATGGATAAAATTATGAATATCATCAGCTGCTCTTGTTGTTATTGGTGATAAAAAAATATTTTCGATATTACATATATCTATGGACATTAAATAATTCTTCAGCGTCTTCAATATGACCCAAGGTATCCTCCCATAAGAACAAATTTTAATTATCCATTCCAAAACTTTAATTTGATAAACAAAAACGGTCGGAACAATATATAATATATAATATTTTGGACAGTATTTCAGAATGCCGTTAAAAATGTAAAGTTCTGGAACTTTTTGGATATGTTGAATTGTTTTACCAATAAGATTAAGATTTTCAGACAATTTGTCTTTTTCGGTCTTCGGTAAATATGAAGATTCAGCTGGTAGAAAACAAGGTAGTCCCACAGACGGTTGGCCTCCATTATCACCAATAAATTTATAAATAGAATAGCACCCGACGTTGCGGGTGATTTTTGATATAACATATTTCTGTGGACGCTAAATAATTATTCAGCGTTCGTCCAAGATACCCTCGCATAAGAACAAATTATAATTATCCATTCTGAAACTTTGAGAAGAAAGTGCCATTCACTTGGTTCTTTCCTTCACAAGAATTTAAGAGAACCTACGCCAACATTTTGGACAGTATATTTGTTTTACCAATAGGAATAAAATTTCCAGATAATTTGGCTTTTTTTGGACTCTGATTGATTGTGGATTTGGGTGATTTGAAAATAAATATAAAATAGAAAACAAGAGCGTTCCACACGGAACAGGTGGTGGGCTTCCATTACCATTAATAAAGGATACAATTATAAATATTATATCACCAGCTGCTGTTAACATTAAGTTGTTCAGATTATTTGTCTTTTTTGGACACGGAACAGATGTTGGGCGTCCATTACCATCAATAATGGATAAAATTACTTTTAAATTTAACACGAAGTTAGTAGTGGTGGAATAGTTGTGGGTCTCCATTACCACCATCAATGGATTTTTTCTCCCTTTAATAATAAATTATACTTTTTTTTTGTAAGATGTCAGAATAAATTGTTTTTGGTTCCTTTACGATAAAACTTAAGAGAACTTCGGGAATAAAAATTTTGCTCAATAGAATGACATTCGTGAATAGGAACCGCGACTTATAACAGCAATAGAACGTTCTATTCTATCGCGGTCGAAAATGATGAGGAAGTCGGAACTGCTGAGAAAGTAGTGATTATTTTGTTGTTCCAGACGGTGTCGTTCTTATCGACCCCGATTATGTGAAAGATCGAAAGGTGTTCGGTCATGTTCTGGCCGCTTTTAGATATGGCCGTGAAGATTTGGACGTGTTGGGTCTCACATTTCGTAAAGACTTGTACCTAGCGTCGGAACAAATATTTCCGGTTCAAGAGAATTCCGCGCAAAACGCTAGACCTTTGACACGATTGCAAGAACGGCTGATAAAGAAACTCGGCTCGAACGCCTATCCGTTTTATTTCGAATTACCACCACATTGCCCCGCCTCCGTAACTTTGCAACCCGCTCCGGGTGATACCGGAAAACCGTGCGGAGTTGATTACGAGCTAAAGGCGTTCGTCGGCGAGTCCCAGGATGATAAACCTCACAAAAGAAATTCTGTCAGGTACAGATGTTTAGGTTGCCTGTAAGCAACGTGCGTTGTAATTTGCGGCCGTTTCCCATTTCCAGATTAGCAATTAGAAAAATAATGTACGCACCGAGTAAACAAGGCGAACAGCCGTCGGTGGAAGTAAGTAAAGAATTCATGATGAGTCCGAACAAATTGTATTTGGAGGCGTCTTTAGACAAGGAGTTGTATCACCACGGCGAAAATATTGCGGTTAACGTTCACATAGCGAACAATTCGAATCGCACCGTTAAAAAGATCAAAGTGTCAGTTAGGCAATTCGCCGATATTTGTTTATTTTCGACCGCGCAATACAAATGCACAGTGGCCGAAACTGAAAGCGAGTGAGTAAACATTTTTTTTTCCGTTCTGGTTGGTAGTAGGAAAATGCGAATAACTAGATATTCCAAACATACCATTGAAATCCACATATAATTGGCTCCTTATTCGCGGATTTGTAGATATTCCGTTCAAAATGAAATTCTCGCCATTTTTGGATCTTCAGATCTTAACGTTTAATTTTGAGAGTAGGCACGTCGGACTAAAAAGAATAGTAAAATTTATTTATTTTTTGTTTGTTTGCTGAAATTCCTTTTGTACGGACGAAAAAATTATAGGACCGGTTGTCCGATACCCCAGGGATACACCTTGAATAAAATATTCACCTTAAGGCCGTTACTGGCCAATAATAAGGACAAAAGGGGTCTGGCTTTAGATGGCCAACTAAAGCACGAGGATACCAATTTGGCCTCCTCCACTATGTGAGTTTGCTGAGTTTTTCCAAGAGATTTTTATTTCTGTGTGTGCGTGTGGGTGTCTTACTTATGGCTTAATGCAGTTTGAAAAACTACATACTGGAATTTTTGAACCAAATTTCATCACGACCTGCATGATCAGATACAGTATGTTTTTGTCAAACCGTCGGGAGCACCCTAAATCACAAATTTTTTATTCGACCGGACGGCAAATTTGTAGAGAAATTCCCTAATATTGTTTATTTTCTTAGTTGTTAGCTAGTTTTGTTTCGTATTTTAAAGCGTGTTGTGTGTTTTTCCTCCTTTGCGTAGAGAGGGGTGTCCCATAGGTCCCGGTTTCACGCTCAGCAAAGTGTTCACCTTGACACCCCTACTGGCGAATAATAAGGATAAGTGGGGCCTAGCTCTGGATGGTCAGTTAAAGCATGAAGATACAAATCTTGCTTCGAGCACTTTGTAAGTCCACGTTTTTCATTCATTTCGCTGTGGATTATAATTTAAGATTTGCTCAAAAAAATCATTGCGTCCTTACCAAAACTGTAGAAAAGAAACTTCCACGTAATACTATTTACACATCTTTTGGATTCCTCCTGCTTCTATTGCGGATGCTGACGTTTCGCCAATCATCAGAAGAAGGATTAGCCCATAAGACGTGTAAATTGTACCATGTATATTTTTTTCTAATTCTCGACCACCCACAAGTGGGTAGATCGTCTTCGCGAAATATTTATTTCAGCAACTGAGGAAAAAAAAAAACATCGCTTTGAAAGATTTAGCTTCTCATAAAAAATCCCGAAAAATAAACCAAAACAACGGCGCCCCGTGCGCAAAAATTTCTAGGAAGTTGTTAGAAATTGGCTGACCTTATCCTTATTTCGATTTATGATTTGGTTTAGTTTTTGGTACTAGTCGTCACAGGCATGCTTTATGGTTTATATATTTGATTTTTGTGCATCCGCACACATGTGGCGTATTCTTCCAGAGTAGCCGACGCTTCGCAACGAGAAAATTTGGGTATCATTGTCCAATATAAAGTTAAAGTTAAGCTATGCCTCGGAGCCCTTGGAGGGTGAGTTCCAAAACACCGACGCATAACCGGAAATAAAGGCGCCGTAAAGAATCCGCGGTTGCTTTTTGGCACCGTTATTTCTGGACACCAATCACAACGTGGTAACGTTATATTTTCCGCTTCAGAGATTTGGTAGCCGAACTTCCATTTATATTGATGCATCCGAAGCCTGAGGAAGAGCCAGTCGCTCCTTTGAGCGTAACACCATCCCGCAGAGTTAGCAAAGATGGCGAATGTGATGTCCCCGTCGATACGAATTTGATTCAATTAGATGCGTGAGTACTTTTTTCTTTAATGCTTTTATTCGACCGTGTTTGACTTACGGGTGGGTTATTTAAGGGACGAGAATAATTTGCAAGATCACGACGACGACATAATTTTTGAGGATTTTGCCAGGCTTCGGTTAAAGGGTGGAGAAACTGATGCATGAAAATTGATCCGTGCCAAGGTCGCCGATCCGTGCGTACCGACATTTTTGTTGTCTCAAAATGGGCAATGAATTTTTAAAATTTTGTCGGCACAGTGTGTACCCTAGTCATCAACTGTTAACGGTTGCAACCAAAAGAATCATATTGTGTGTTGGAAACAACTGTTTTGTTGTTCTTCATGTGTATAAATGTCCCACATTTAATGTATTACAAAAAAAAATGCTTTCTCGTTTTACGAATTTTTGAATTTGGGACCTTTGTGTGGTGGTAAAATGTATTAGGGTGTATAACAGAGGGAAATCGTATATTTTGGACTTGGTAGAGAGATGTTTTCAAGTAAAAGTTACCTTTCAAGATTTTTTATACATATTTAAAGATTTTTCTAGGAGCTCGACTTAACTTCAAAGCACCTGCTTCAGTTTTTGTAAACTAAAAAGACTGATAAACATGTTTAACAGTACACTGTGGTTTCTAGATATCGATTTTTTGGTTATGATCTTTCAATTATCAAATAAAAATAATTTTTATTTTCGCGTTTTATTGTATCGGATTTGTTTTACGTGTTTAAACATGCAAACCTGGTTTCGTACGGTTCGGATTGTTTTTTAAGCACACCGGTATGATTTGTTTGCCAAAATTTGGGTTTCTGAAACGACAGTGCAATGTGAAATGGCTATTGAAGAATGGTTCAGGGTACAAGTTAGGCCACCTAAATGCAACTTTAAAACAGTTCATTTTGTTACAACGCTTCTTATTGAATAACTGATAGGGGTGGTATAACCTGTGCCAATTGTCCTAATCTAAGGCAACGAATTTCTTAAATGACTTAATTGGTATACAAATGTTTATTTATTTTTATTAATTTTGAGAAACATTATAAAAAGCTTGATGTTTATAATTTATTTTCTACTATAGTACAGATACTTACATTTTAATCGTCCAAAAACTTATGTAGGTCAAAAGTACAAATAGGTTCTTATGATTTTAAAATTATATTGTCGTGTTGATAAGTATGATATATAAATATGTTGGAAAGAAATGCGAATATCGTGGTACAGAAGATTTTATTCTTGTCTTGAACAAGTTTAGCCAAAGTTATTTAAAAACGCTTATTGTCATTGAATAAGGTGCTTTGATTTTAATTTAAAGGCTTAATATTGACACTTTTAACTATTGTGGTTTTAAAAATATCTTGTAAGGGTTAAATTGAAAAATATTGTGTAATTTGTCCACTTTTCTCAGATTCACGCGGTAATTCTGCTGCATTTACGCCTATTTACTAAAGCAGAAGCAGAAATTGTCCGAATCTGAGCGTTTACAGCTTACAGCAAGCGCTTGTCTAGGTGGATTTTGAAAAAATTGTACTGACTTTATTGAAACATTTTATATTACTTTTTTAAGAAGCACTTTTATACTCGGCTGAGAAACAGCTTAACATGTATTTGTCACGTAATTGAAAATGTATTAATATTACTGCAGTACTTTATAAATGTTACTAAATAGAGTGAGAATAAAAGATTGATCTTTATCCTTATCTACCAAAGCTCTTAGCACACATCGTTTGAAGTGGTAGGTACCGTGTGTGTACGGTTTTGTCAGCAACGTAAGTTTTTTACAGTAAGCATAAATTGCAAATTTTCAATAGAGTGGCACCTATTCTATAAATGCAGGAATGTCGGTTCCATTTTTTGTGATGCCAGAGAGTTTACCCTATCGCCAGTTCGTGTAGCTCTCTACATTGACTGACACATTTGCTATGCTGCTGGAAGAAAATGGTTATATATTAAAACTACCAAATACTAATTTAAAAAGCGTACCTAGTGTTTGGGTAATAAAATTGCTGTTACCTGTAGTGAGTAACTAGCATATAATTTTAGTGTCAGTGTATTTTAAAAAAAAAATCAGAATTATCGTGGCTAAAGCTTGTCTGGTTAATTTTTATAAATTATCGCATTTGCCCCTTGGGGCATCGAGATTTATTTTGAAACCAGGGGAAAATATTTATCACTATGCAATTTTACGCTTAATTCGCCTCATTTATTTAATTATTACTCGCGATATCGTGCAACCCATAAGTTGAAAAAGAAAAGTTTTATTGATTTTGCGCGGTGTCAAATCAGCAAGTTTTTAATTGGGATATACGCAATGGTTTCAAAAAATTTAGCCATTGGTTATAGAAAATAGAAATTCATTAATGAATATCGCCCCTTTTTTATTACTAATGTGATATATTTTTAACTAATTACTTAAGCCGAATTAAATCACCGAACATTTCTCTATAAATATATTTTTAGCACATGGTGCCTTGTGATAAATAAATTTTCTTCAAATTTTCGTTTTGTATCTGCAATATGATTTCGCGCTTGGTTTTACGTTACTAAAGTTTGCAAGTTCATTGCCGAAATTCTCATAAAGTAACGTTAACTTTCGAGAGGCGAACGGAAAAAATATTTTCTGAACACTGCAGATCTCATAGCGTTGCTTTGAAAGTGGGAAAGTAATCATTATTTGCATGTATCCTTAAAATTCGCTGATTACTAGTCTCTGTTCGTAAAGGATATATCTTTATCGCAAAAATTGTCAATTGATGATGTCTATATTACTAAGTTAGCCATTTTTATTTTTAGAAGTTATAGTATATTGTTCGTATATATAGAAATATCTTATTTATTATTTTTAATAATAAAATGTGTAATTATCCTGTGACATTTATTTTATTTTTACTTCCTTGTTCTAATCCATCATTTCCAACCTATACATCACACCCCTTTCACTAAACACTCAGAAAGCTCAGATTCATTTTCCTCTTGGATTTCGTTTGCTATACCTAGGGTACAGTTTCGTTTACGTTAATTACACTCTTGTTCCATTCCCTCATTTCCAACCTATACATCATGCCAACGTCTGCCCCGCCACTAAACAGTCATTCATTCATATTCTCCTTGGATTTCGTTGCCTATTTTCAGAGTTGGTTTTACTCTTTTTAGCAGGACAAAGGACCATTCTCTATTTAAAGGTAAGGAATCCCAAGACGATAAAAAGAGCAATAGTTTTTATTAATGTAATTTATTTGCTATTCCGACATGGGCAAATTAAGTATTACCAACTCAACAAAATACAATACACCATTTTGTCCTACTTTTAACGATTCAGCATGCTTATTTTTGGCAATGGCACGGACGTTCACAAAAAAATTACAACATATTAAGCTGGTATTTTTTACTGTATCCAAAATTTCTTTTTTTAAAAACAATCAGAAAATGCAGCCGCATAGTTAAAACTTATACAACTAATAGTCGAGTACAACTTCAGCCCTTGGTTTATTGAAATAAATTATCGTTTATTTCAACTGAATACAGTAAAATATCCTATACTAATTGTTAAGAAATATTGAGCTACAACGGCGATAGTGCCAAACTCCATGTAGTTATTAAATTTACAAAATTTGAAACTAAATTCGTCAAATATGCTTCTTTTTTATAAACTGACTAGACATTTTCAAACCAACTCAAATAAAACTTTTGAATGAGAATACATGGGGTTCGGCTATACCATTTTTGTTAAAATACTTATACAAAGGAATTGCGCATGAACGCAAAAAAGGAATGGATATCGGAGTGTAGAAGGAATGAAGACTTCTGTAACAAAGGACCCATTCATTCATTTTCAAGAAGTAATATAATCATTATAAAAAACGCACGCAAAATAATGAACTGAATAAGCAGTTAACATTACCAACAGGCAACAAAAAATCAAAAATTGCTTAAAAAAATAAAACAATTGATATTTTTCAATTTATAAAGCAACAAAATAAAGTCTTGAGATAGATTTAAGTCTTATGAAGTAATAAAAATGTATCACAAAAAAGTTTATGCTCACTAAATTATTATCACATTATGGAGGTCAAGTTTATTGATTTCTACCCTTAATTTAACAAATGAGTTTCGTCTTCACAGGAAAAATGTTTTTGCACAATAGCGTGCAGGATCTATGCTAAGGTTTACTAAAGTCCTTCAATCAAATTTTTGCTGGCATCATGATTCAAAATTACATATGGTATAAAAGCTAGTCACTGAATTTTTTAGATGCTCAAAAGTCATCTCGGCCACACAAAAAGAACAATTTAAAGGACTTTGGGATGGGTGGGAGCAGGATCAAATAAGGATCCAGAAGTCCTCGTAGGGATAAAGGATACGCTGATTTTTTCATAGTATTTACAACAATATTTTCAAAAGGAATTGAATATTATTTTGCAATTACAATAAGATAAAACTTGCACTGTCTGTCCATATAAATAGTTGAATTGCATTTGAGATATTAGAAAACCAATACTCCCTTTTGAAAATATTAAAAAAAAAAAAAATGGCGCAATCATTAATTCAAATTTACTAATATCCCAAACCATAACTTTGTCAACAGTAGTTATGTATCAACATAGGTAAAACTCGTTAAACTTCAGAATTTTACCCATGTCCTAAATTCCCGCACCTATAAGATACCAACTGAATTTATCATGTGTACTGGTTACTCAACACAAAACAAAAAAAATATATCTTGGAACAACTTATTATTTGTCGAGTATAAAGTCCCACCCTCTGCTTTGTCTGAAACAAATTTCTTCTTGACTTGCAGCTGGTTCTGATTCCCGGTTTTTCCCACCCCGGTTCTAGTTATTTACCCCTATGAAACCCTAAGAAATATCGGTTTAGCTCTGTACAATGGGTAGTTGGTTAGTTACCTTTAAGGAGGTTCATATTCCATACAATTGTGTTAATCTCTCCCTAAGTTGTGGCGGAAACTGATCGCTAAATCGTTTCCAGTTTTCTTCCCCTACTTGTGCTTTGAAACTGTGTAGTATCTGCATAACAGCAAAACATTGCAAATATGATTTCAACAAATGCTATTCCTACCTTGACGAAGACTTCTTTTAAATCCTCTTTGGGGGTAATCCATGAAGCAACAGCGTCGCAGAAAAAAATAAAATCTCCAACTACTCCAGCTGGATTAACTTGGATCATCTGGCACATTCCGCGAAAAGCACTATCTTTTTCTTCATTATCACGAATATTTCTTAATGATATACACCTAAAACATTTTTTTCCTTGACAAAAATTGTAGTGCGCGCAGCCCAATTAGCAATTCAAGGTAAGTTTCCTTTTCATTGTTATCTTAGTGGTAAATTAAAAATATTTTGAATTGCTAATTTTTTTTTTAGATTTAAGCAAAACCCTCAATTTAACGATTGCCAAAAAACATTTTGTTAGAAAAGCATTATTCCATCAATTCTGGATATGGGTAATAAAATCTCAGCCTTTTTTTTATATGGCAGAAAATAGGATGCCTCCATCACGTATACCTGGAACACAGTACATGCAAAAACTGGGATACAAATGTACTTACCAAAATCTATATATTAAGATTTGTTCTTTTTTTCAAAGATTCTTTTTGTTAAATATGCAAAATTTGCCAGAATTGATTTAATAATACTAAAGAAAAGGCTCGTATCATAAAATTGAGAGGCATTTTAATATTAAATACTCATTTGGAAGCACTTGGGGTATTGATTGCACTTTTAGCTTCCGTCACTTAAATGAACCAAAACAAAATCATATTGTATTAACTTAATTTGAAAATCGTAAAATGTAAGAAAAAATAATAAAAAAGGATTACAGACCACTGCCGTACAAACTGTTGTAACATTGGGGCGACATCATGAGGGCAGACATAACCTAGTCGACCAATTGTTATGGCTATACCGAGAACAAAAACAGAACAAAAACCAACTCAATTACAAATAAATTATACAAATTACATAATAAATAAGTACTATTTATGAATTAAAAACATAATTAATTTACCTAGGGAAGCATATAATGTAATGTCAAATTTTTATCATATGTTTCCCTTCAAACTTTTACAGTTTAAAAATCAGTGCTTGATAAAAAAGAACTCTTATTTAAAGAAATTAAATCAACAATGAATTTAATAAAGAAAAATACTGAGCCAACGATTTCACGGCCAGACTGAATATACAAATTATCGGGTCTTGTGAACCATGGTCTCTCTGGTCATGATCAAATCATTCAATCGTTCTTCCATACACCCATCCACCAACTGTCCGATAAGTACACCATATGTAAAAATGTCTAGTTCCCAGGGTCCACAATCTTGAATAATTATGTTTATTCAGAAAGAAAAATACTGACAATTACAATAATAAACATAATGAAATTAATATAAATAATTTGAAATTTGCGGTCGTGGTATGCAGTGGATCCATAGTTAGCCCTTGTAATAATACCCTTTCTTAAAAATTTGTGGTCTAATTATAATTTAATTTAATTATAGATCAGATGGATTGATATTAGGCTTTTGAAAATGAGGAAGTTGCTTGATTGGTTTTGTTTTGAATACCGTGTTAAACAAATATTAACTTTGGTATTCATTAAAATGTACATTGAAGAAACAAAAACATTGCTGCAACAGAAAACACATTGTACGATCGGGACACATGTTAAATTAACGTACATTATGAGGTACGTTGATTCTACTTTCCTGTGTCCCGAACCTTAAACTTGAATGTCAAACGTCTGAAACAAAAAGGATACACTGCCAACAAAAAGTTCTTGATTTTATCCACACTGTTTAATTTTCCTAGAAACGCCGTAACATAGGAGTTTCTTCAAAAATTCAACATTGCCATTTTTCAAAAAGCAGAATTACATTGGGAATTGCAAAAAATATGTAGCAACTACGGAACTCTTAGAAACCTTACCTTTCACCTAAAAATGCACTCTCAGGGAACTTAATATGTTTTTGACATACAGGCATTCTCCAAGAGTGCATTGTAAAGAAACAAGTATAAAATGGTTATATTTATATCTGTCGCGCAAATTAGGTTCTTATAAAATCGCCCGTTGATTTCAGAAACCGCTTTTTAACAGCTTGAAAAACATGCCTAACTCATCATCATGCTAAAGAATTTTAAAAAAATCTAACCTGTATTTTCAAGGAGAGTCTTGGGTGTATCTGGTCGATTTATAATGTCTATTAGTTGATTTAAGACTAATGGTATGAATGGTCTCGTTTCAGCACCTACAAGAAATTATTACATAATAAATAAAAATTCTACCTCACCAAGCCTACCAAGTTTTATACTAATTTCGCCAATGGCCCAAGTGGCATTATTACAAACGGAAATGTATTCCGGATTCAAATTTTGCCCCAGAATTGGCAAAAAGCTAGATATGTGTGGCTTAACGTGTTGAAAGCAGGCTTTAGTTAGGTCACCAAGCAAAGCAAATGATGATTGTCTCACTTCAGGCATAGAATCCTGCATACACAGATGCAGTAATTGCATTATAGTACTGTTTTCTACCAATTTCTCTATATGCCCATTTAAACCTTCCGCTAATCCTGAAAGTAAATCCAGTGCCACTATCATGAAATCTTTATCTGGAGCTTCATACTGGTCTGGATTTTGCATATTCGCCTAGAAAAGCAACAATTATCATTATTAGTAAAAAGTTTAGAGAAAATTAATCAAAATACCATGTGTAGGCAAAGAGTGTGCTGTACCAGTGAAACACAACGGCAGTAAACCGGCTCACAATATGGTAAAAAACCAGATTGTAGTGCTGTGGCTACACTTGATAAACACTACAAAATAAAAAACCAAATAAATTATTTGCTCTCAGCTTTGACCGCAAAATCTAAACTAACCTCTAATAATGGAAATAAATCTTTATCTTCATCTTTTAGAACATTCCATTTGTGGATCAGAGGAGGCATGAGTAAATTTATGTATTCAGGTTTGTTCAAATGGCTTCCTACAGAATCTGCTAGTGTTCCTATCGCGTCATACAATATAAGCAAGTTTTTGTGTTGATACTTAGAAAAAGCAAATACTAGGGTTTCAAGAATGAATCCCAAATAGGGTACGAGTTCTGTACAGGCCTCCTCTTCCAATGTGGCAAATGCTGAACATGCAGCTTCCTGAACCCTTTTATTACCATCCAAAATCCTTTTTAGTAATTCAGTCATCAAGGGTTTTAAGTATGAATCATGAGGTTGGGAGACAACCCAGTGAGAGTATCGACTTAAAGTCCAACATGTTATAGCTCTTACCAGTGCTTTCTTATCATTCAGACAGTTTATTAAGTAAGGTATTAATTCTGGTAAATGGCTTATCATTCCTGACATACATCCTTCAGCTATAGCCCCTGAAATAAATATTTGATGATAAAATATCAACCTTTCATATCAATTTTACACACCCAATGCTAGTATTCCAGATTCTTTAATATCCCAATCCTGATGGAATAAGGTCTCTTTTAGAATCGGAATTAGAATAGGCAGTAGTTCATCTCTGAAAACATTTGCTAGTACATCTAAAGCTGCAGCACTACATTTTCTTAAATTCCAATCAGATAATGATCCATCATCATCTCCATCATCAAAGTCCTCATCATCTTCTTTGTCCAGTCCATTTTCAGTGCCCATTGTAGCAATAGCTGTTTTAATGGTATGGGTCTTAGACTTATGGAATCTTGGTTTGATATCCTCTTCTTTATCTGGCACATTGTCATCTTCTTCAACATCACCCTGCACATGCATTATAATGATTTTTATTCTCTTAGAGAAGTTCACACCCTACCTTTAGCAGAATTATGTCAATCTCTGAATATTTCATCCCTCTCACAAGAATAGGAATGAGCCTGTCTAAGTGACTATGTAAAACTGTTTTGCACACTGGCTGTTCAGCAAGAGATAGCCAAAATTCACAAGCTTCCAATGCCACACCTTCATCGGGATCTTGAGTTCTGATTAACATGTATTCAATGATATTGTCAATTTGATTGATCAACCTATCCATTCTTACTTCCAGAAGCATTACTAATGCTCGACATACATTCTTACGTACTTCTGGATCATCATCAGTGGCAACATGAAATAAATTCTTAAAAAGACAAATGAGTATCTTTATTACTAACAAAAAATATACCATAATTTCTGAATGTTGCCATATATACTTATACAACAAGAAAAAACATGGACTTCAGAGAATAAAACATTCTTTATGCTTACCTGAAGAAATGAATCAATATGATACATAAGTGCTTGGGAGCGCTGAATTATAAATTGGTTGACACAGCCTATAGCATATGATCGAATTTTTGAGCTTGAATGGGTAAAAAATTGAAGAAACTTGGGAATTAAAATTTCTAAAGGTCTATTAGTAGTATCACCGTCCAATGCTTCAGCAGAATCTTCACAAATTTTCTGCAATGCTCCAAAAGCACCTTCACAGACATTATAGTCTTGCGAATCCAACATGTTGCATAGAGCTGGTAATAATTCAGGCCAACAGGACAGGCCTCCTTTACTAGCTATCGTAGTTATTAAAATGCCAACTGTTGCTCTTATAAGAGGAGAGGGGTCTCCAACTGCTTGTAAACATTCAGTCTTTATAAAATTTGTCACGCTGGGCAACAAATTACTGTAGTGTGTCTTGACATTATTTTTCAAAATCAGTCCGCTTAAAGATCTCGTTGGTTCATCTTCTGTGATTAATTTGGTTAACACAAACATAAGATAGTTGTTAAAATCTGGATATTTGTTTAGTTCTTCCAATTTCTGATTTGCAATTAAGGAATAATAATTGGACACTTACTTGTTCTAAATTACCCGGCAAACATCCAGGCCCTTTAAATAGTAAATAAAGTAGATTGTGAGAAAGGATACTTGCTGAACAGCCCTTTGGGTAGCAGTGTCCGGTGATTGCGATTCCCTTAACAGAGTAAGAATTTCTAGTAGCCCTTCGTCCTGGGGATTCCACTCCATTTTCATATCGTTGGTTTCTAAATAACTATGTTTTGTTTCAGTTTTTAAGCACCTATTTACAATATGTTCCGTAAATTACACTATTTACACTAAAACTAACTCGAATTTACGGAAGAACATACCTTAGAAACGCTTTCTGTTTTCTGTGTCGGGTTATGGAAGGGATGGGGACAGGAAGTGAATGTCAAATGTCAAAGTTACCAAGCACTAACAACCTAAACCTGCATTTTTTTACTTGAACTAATTAATATTTAACTTTAATATATTTTCTGTAATCAGAATATTGTATACGTACCACTGATTGTATGGGAATGAGAATGCTCTTTTTGGTAACAGTATGGGGTAAATAATTTAGGCGGGAGATTTCAAAAATAACCTTATAGGTTTTTTTAAATCTAATATAATCGTATTTTTGCTTTCTTTGATTTAAAATTGAAAGATGTGCTATTGGTATTTTTTTAAACATGCCTAACCAACGAGTTAAAATATTCCAAGTACAAACCAGTAAGTGGCAAAAAAATAGGTCAAGGAGAGGTAAACAAGTAAGAATATTAATAAGTATTGCAAACCACGTGGTCAGGTTACCAAATCTTCGGACTGGACGAATCCATATTCTATGGTCATGTACCGTAAAGTATTTATGGTTGTCTACGGAGAAGGACCTCCAGATTCATACAGAGTAATTGTTAACTAAGTGTAAACCCCAAAATGGCGTAGCTATTGATTAATATCAGACACTCGGTAGGTGTTTAGTCAACAGATGACGTGCTTAAAAATGCAATAGACAATATATGGCGGCCCAGAAATTGGAGTACACGGGGTGTTTGGAAAAATCTAATATAAAAATTAAAGAGGTGAAATAAAGCCAAAAATTAGTATAAAGAGGTCTTATTGATATAGTTGGTCGCCTTAAGGTTCTGTAGGACGTTGACTCTCTTGGACATTGGGGAAAAAAACAACAGTATATTTTCTTTAAATAATTTATTGAACAAATATAAATAAACTGTGACTACCTAAATTTCAGCAGATTCAGATGTGATGCCAAATTTACATTTTTCGATGGGACCGGTAATTTCATAGTTATAAAAAAATGTTGATTTTGCGAAAATTAACCACATTCAAAGTTACATTGCTAATACCAAAATATAGTCGAAACATATAAGACAATTTAAGTATATATTGCACATAAATAATATGTATTCTACTTATAGTAAAGCTACGAAAGTTTTTGTACTGAACATCATGCGACAACATAGTTCAAAATGTTAACGTATTGGAACAAGTAAAGTAACAAAATTATAAAAGAATATCACATTCTTACATTGTCAGCACCTTTTTTTTATCGTGATATAGTCGAGCATTGTCTGATTTCGGTAATCGGTACACTCTGCGAAACACTGATTTTGGTAGTCCTTCCTCATAACTATTAAACTTTCTAAGTTTTTTATCCAATGCTCAACAGAAAATAACATACATACAAGTATCTGGCTAATATATACTGATATACTATTTACAAATGCAAACACAGTAACGGCGCGCCTATTCAGATATTTAAGAATGACACCGATGCAAAATTAAAATGAAAGTATAAGCACATACGCCGAAGTCTACCATTTCTGGATAAGCGCGGTTGTACTGTATTCGTATCAACTTTAGCTTGCGTCACTTTTGATTCACACCGTATAATACAGCTATCAATCGGATTTAACATTATATCGCTTATTTTGCGTATTGCAGTAATTTCCGACATACTTAAAAAATAAGTGACTGTGAATAAGCTCAATAATACAAAATAACATCGACTAAGTCACTTGGTGTACTACAAAAGCTTTGTTCCATTAAGTGGGTGTCCGAAAATAATTTGTTATTTCGTATTATTTTCTTTGGTTTAAAAATAGTTGAATGCGAAACGGTAAAACAAAAAATATCGTCCGCATTGAAATAAAAAAAAAGATTCCGGAAAAACTAACTACCTCTATGAAATTAAATGCCTCGCAACAATGTAAAAATTAAATAACAAAGAGTCAGTAATTAAATAGCACGGAATAGGTTTGTTCCAACAAAGTTGCGCACGCGTTATCGATAAATAATGAATCTTCGTATACCGGTTCCAAATAATGGTTTTTGTTAATTGAGTATTGTCTTCGAACTGCCAGAAGAGACGAGCGATGAAAATTGTATTTTTAAAACGGCCAACAAATTGATGGGAACAAACCTATTGCCAATGACGTGAACATTTAACTATGACGATGAGTACCAGTTCGTGGGTGCTCCCGTGCCTTTGCTGGGGTGATAGAGATGAAATCCGGCTCCGGTGGCGCCGTGATGATAGAACTGAGGTTGATCCACGTAGGAATATACTTGGGGTTTTAATGGCAGCGGACTATCTGGGTACTGCCTTAGCACATCCTGATAGGGTACCGCGGACTCGAAGGCCACGCCTCCGTGAATTTGTTGATGTTTGTCACGGGGAGACACACTGGACGGAGGCGTCATCGCTGAATGATAATCCATCGAATATCCCGTGGGGTAATTTTGGTGTTGTGAGAGCAGAAATTGATGTTCGCCGTACGAAGACGAACCCTCGCTACCGGGAGGTGTGGGCAGGGGACCGACTCCGACTTGGCTGTCATTCGGGTAATATCCTGAAAAATGAAGACGCTTGTTGGTTAGATACCCCTTTTCCAGAAGTCGGAAACGTACCGGAAGAGCTACTAGATCGCCCACTAGCGCTGGTAATGCCGTGTACGTTCGCCCTGATAACGCTCTCCCTGTTGGCGTACAATTGCCTGAGCAGCGCGGAAGCCGGAAGTGGCCCTTGCTGCTGAAGCTGCTGGTGATGAGCTCCTATCCATTGAATCGTCGTTCTTTGTTGCTGCTTCAGTAGCGCATCGGTACTGAAATCCGTAGGTTGATGAGGAGGCGACTTGCACGACGGCAAGTGTTTCGACATGGCGTTCTCCAAGTCTTTGACGGAAGCTCCCCCAGCTACCGACCCGTCGTCCAGCTTCTTCGGACTGTTCCCGGTGGACTCGGCAGTCGATACTACAGCATGTGTAGCCGTTGACGAATGACAAGATGACGCGGGACTCATGACCACATTCGGTTGGGCCTCTTCTTCGTTTTCATCCGATGACGTGTTCTTTCGTTTCAACGCGCGTCTCATGGGGGTGTTAATTTTCCTTTGTTCGCTTTGGGTGGTCGTCGATTGTAATTGGGATGTCTGGTCTAAACGTCGCGTCCGCAAATCGTTCGAATCGCTTTTGTTAGTAGTTCCGGAATCCGTGTTGTGGCCTGTGCCTGCACATGGTGCGTCTTCGATGTCTTGAGTCGAGTCTTGAGGCGGATTGGGCGGACCTCCGCTGTTGCGGTCGTCTGCGTGCAAGAGAGAAGTGGGTGTAACGCATTATTTGTGTTTTTATTTTTCGGTTTTGCCACGCTAAGCGCCTAATTCAATCAAGTAAGGGGAGTTTCATGGAGAAAACGGGATCAGTATGTCATAATTTTGTAAAATAATGGGGCGATAGTGTAACACCGAAATGCTTTGTAAAATAGCACCTTCTACGAACAGTGGCGGTACGTCAACGTACCTCCAGGGTCCGCGTCTGGAGAGCCGTTCTCCGGGTCGTTGCTGTTAGCCTCTTCCCGCTTCACCATGTGCGAATTGTCTTCGAGTTGGCAGCAGTCCATTATTAGATTCTCATATTCGCGGCCGCTGAAATAATTTCTTATTATCACTTATCCTTCCTCGGAGAACGTTGTTTATGGTACCTGATCACGTAGTTCACGCAAATGATATTTTGTTCGTCGGCATTTTTGGTGTTGCACACGACAGTGGCGCACGTCTGCACCCACGTGTACCCCCCGTTCTTGTTCATTATCCTGTAGTAGTGCGTCAACACTTGGCCCTTATTTATTACTAAAATCGAGCGACAGTGAGTGAATGCATGCTCGATCAAAAAACGCGTCACTTACGATCTATATGACATTTTCTTAACTTATTAGCGTCCTCGCCGTGGCATAAGGAATAAAGGTTCCTTCCCGTCAACTCCTCGGGCGAGTAATCCAAAAGTTCCATTACTTTCGGTTCGCAATGGGCTATTTTAAAATCGAAATTAATTCTAGTGACGAACATGTCGGACTCTAATCGTATTTCGTGGACGCTCGGTGGAGGGAGTGCTATTGCTAGCGCGACCATCCCTAGCAATGGCGGCTGCGATTTTCGGGAGTGGGAAAACGTGTATTGGGGCCTTAATCTACATAGCATTAATACCACCTAGAAAAATTTGATATCAGACGAATGCGTAAGAGGCAATATTCAACAAGCGATTTACCCTGTAACCTGATGATTTAAAATGACAGCCTCGTTTCGTTAAAGTTGATTTCATCCTAATACAAAACGCCCTATCTAGTCCCTTATAAGGTGGATTCGTTCCTAATGACATTACAGTGGAAACTGCAAGGAAATTAAATATATTATCCCATAAGCACCCTGTTAATTTTTCATAATTCTCTGTAGTCTTTGCAATTTTTGAAAAATGTTCGAAAAAAGCCCGAGTCGTTCTCAGACATGGTCCGACAGGAAATCCTGTAAAAAGCATTCGCTATGCGAATCTTGTGCGAACACATTGATATTCTGCTGCGGTATTGCAACTGTCACGTTGTTAGATTCCATTTTCCAAGATGTCGACGGTAGTTTAAACTCTATTTTTAACTTAAACGTTACAACTGCATGGGTAAGACGGCTCACTAAATTTTAAGCATTTTTTTCTTACCGAGTGGATAAGTTTAATTCGATGGTATTTTAAACTCTATTTTTAATGCAAACGTCAAAAGGGCACGTGTAAAATGGTCCGCTAATTTTTAGGCATTTTTTTATCCATTGGATAAATTTAATTTGTCAATATTGTTCCTTGTTATTTCTAATTTATTTTTACCTTTACCTTATTATCATTTACCAAGATGTCGACGGTATTTTTAACTCTAGTTTTAATTCAAACGCTAAAAGGGCATGTCTAAATTAGTTTGTTAAATTTTAGGCGTTCTTTTATCCATTGGATAAGTTTAATTTTTAAAGATTGATTTGTGATTTATCTAATTTATTTTTACCTTTACCTTACTCCCATTTTCCCAGACGTTAACGGTATTTTAAACTTTATTTTTAATTCAAAGGAAAAGTTTAATTTTTAAAGATTTATCCGTGTTATTTCTAATCTATTTATAAACTATAAATAAACTATATTATAAAAATGATAATTATAATAAGTAATATCGGGCAACAAAACAAATATTACCAAAATATTTGCTTTACCCTTACCCTTACCATCGGGGTTGTTCGTGCCGGCGGTGGAACCGCTTTCCTCGGAACCACTTCCAGGCGACGCCAGATTCTGCCCCTGTGATAAACCTAAACCTAGTTGCTCAGCTATTTCCGAATGATCTTGGTGATGTATGTAATCGAATATACTACTGCCCGTCATTTCGACCTAAAATAAATACATTTTAGACACTTTGTATTGTTCCTAAAGGCAAATGGGTATATTAATTAAGGAAGTTTAGATTATTATGTAAAAACGTTTCTCGATAATTTGCCATTTTGAATAAAATAAATATAATCTTGCTTTAATTTAACGCGAAATGGTTAACGCCGCCTCGTGAATATGCAAACAATGCGTTTTATTCTTGTTCGGGTGGGGCTTTAAACAAAACCCGACAACTATGATTTATAATACCTGAGACGGGTATAATTACTAGAAATTTGGCATTTAGGGAAGAAAAAAATATATTTGCAAACAAAATTTCAAAATTCTAATTGTAGAATGAAGTGACGTGAACTAAAAAAGCTTATAAATAAATAAATAAAAATATTTAAGAAAAGCAAACAAAAAACTCTCTCCAATTGTCTTAATAACGCAGATGCTATTAATAGAATTTCTTAACCTTTATAAAGACAACTTTATTGATGGAATTGATGAAATTGATAATTATCACACATAATATAAAAAGGTCACAATCTTTTAGGTTTCACTGCTCCGTTGTTCGATCTGAACTTGAATATGCAACACACCATTCATGCGATTGAGAAGGTTCTGAACAAGTTCCTGAGGTATTGTAATTTTAAAAAGAAAAGAAAAAAAAAGAAATATTGAAGCATATCTCCAGGTATTTTTTTTTCTCTTCTAGAATAAGTATTAATTTTTCATATATTTGTACCCTGTTGTTTTTGTGCTTATAATAGGTATTTACATATATTTTCCCGTACTGTGGAAATAGGCACAAGTCATACTCCTGGCTGAAGTAATAAAAAAAAGCTCTAGAGTGTGATAATTAGCGTTCTATTAGTATTCTGCCCCTGCCTCTCTAAAATTCTAGAGAAAATAATGGACAAGCAATAAAAACAATCGGCTTTTAGATGTGGTTGTAGTTGTGGGAGCGCTCTTGCAGATGTAATGTGAAATTACTGCCTTGGTTATACTTCGTTTTAGTAAAACTTTTGGCTTAATAAATCATGAAATCCTCATTTAAATTTTTCATTAATTCTTTTAATCTCTGTCTTGTAAATTCATGTCATCGTTTTTAAATGAGAGAACATAAAAACGAACCAACCCCTAGGCCTTTGGGTGATAACAATGAAGTACCTTAGGATAGTATTTTAGGTCCACTTCTGTTTGCTATTTTTACATCCAGGTTTGCAACGTCATTATGCTGATGACACTCAACTCTTTTTTATTAATTAATTAATTCTGATATGACTGGATTTTACGATTCTGTCACTCAACATAAACTCGTATTTAACCCAAATAATTCAGCATATTGGAAAACGACAATCAAATCGCATTTCTGCAGCGGTTGCAAAAAAAAGAGAATGGATTCAGACGTACGTTCTCACAAACGTGGCTATTGCGTTTTCTATCCGTGCTCGGATTTTGATCTACGGATGAAGGTTGTGAGGTGAGGTGAGTTTTGAGCAGTGTTTATTTTCAGGCCATGTTGGTCACCTCATTCCACAATGTTATCTATCAGTAGCTTAAAAGTCCTTTCCTCCTAGTACCATGCCCTAATCTAAATCCAAATTGTTCGAGACTTATATTTTCTTCGCATTTCAGGTAGATGTCGATGTAATATTTTTTACATAATTTTCAGATAATGGCTCATTAAGCTAATTAATCTGAAATTGGAACAGCTTCTTGATGCATTTTTTCGGGAATTGGTATGAACCCTTTATTAAAGAGGTTTCTCTTTCTGCAGCACTTTCTTTCTTGGTCCTGTGATTTCTTTAACATTTTTATATATATTAAACTAATCGTGCTTCTCCTGTAGTTCTTCTAGTTCTTGTCATTCATCCATCTCGCCATATCTGGTAAGGTCAGGCTGGTTAAACATGTTCAATCGATATAAACTTGACGTCCTATTATTCTATTGCAAAATATATTCAATGCTCGACACACATGATCTACAACATAATTAAATTTCGGACGATGTCCACAATTTTAATCTTCGCAGACGGTGTGCCCTTACAGTGCTACAGCATCGAAAAGAGTATTTGAAAAGGTCCTTCTCATACCAAAATTTTACTTTCCCTCCTACTTAATCAAACCTTTACTTAGATACTTGTTGGTCTGTTAATTTTATGCTGACTCTTGGGCTGTAACAGTGTGCCAAATGTCTGATTTCCTTAGCCCTTTGGTACCAAATTTAATTCGAGATATAGTTTTGTAAATTTTTTGTTTTTAATGGTAAAAGCAATAAAGCTATTTATTATTATAAACGTTTTGCACCAATACGCACAACCCAATACGGTTTTGAAAGGTCAATTATGCCTCCGGAGAAAATAAATATATTCGGGTGCAATACGTAAGAGCGTCGGCGTCGGCGCCGGCGTCGTCGCCTGAAGCACCAGCAGCATCCCCGTATACGTGTCCGCTATGCCGGCCTCCCAGGGCAAGCGGCCCCCAGCCCCACGATGCCGAATGCTCCTCACGTAGTCCTCTGCAGCAGCGTGCTTGTCATTTATAATAGCACTGCCGGGGCCATAATCAATAGGGTATTTGCAACTGCGGGAAAATGCTAGCGTACGGACTTGGAGGGACACGGATAGGACGTGTTATCACCTATCGTGGGCGACTTGGGAGCCAATGAGTCAGGTGCATAATACAATGAACCCCACGCGAACCTATGGCAATACGAACGATTTTTTCTGTGTATATCGATCGCATTAGCTCTCTTTTTAAATGTAATGTACTTATAAAATATATTGTCCGCTTACCTGCGAAAGTCCTAAGTATATTGAAACAGTTTCCGAAATGTACAAAAATCTACCGTCCGCCGCTATAGCTAAGGCGAATCCATCTAAAGACTGTAACAAAGTAGAATGTATAAGTTTATATTAGTATAAATAAGTATAATATACAGGGTAACTCTGCGGGATTAACAGTTGATTATACCGGAACAATAATACGCTGCATATAATTAAAACTATGTAGTTGCTATTCTACAGGGTGTTTGATAACTATTTGACAGATTAATCCACTCGGTATATTATTTCATTTCTGGATTCCTAAGGAAATTTCACGGCAATAGTTTCTAACTATTGGGATCAAGTATAGGGGAACCTGAAAGAACTGTTCAGAATTCAAATAATATGACGAGATATAATGTATAATAGCAACTATTTTGCAAAAGTTAAAAATAAATAAAAAGAAGAATGCTTTATTTTGGAGCTACAGGGTGTTGAAATATTGTAACCAAAATCTCCTCTAAATTTTGCTTTCAAACTAGGTAGGTGTTAATGACACTTGAAACAAATTTATTTATTTATGTATTTAAAGTCTTTCTTGAAAATTTCCTCATACTTAACAGTATATAATATCTTACTACATATATTATTATTATTATTTATTGTTTATCAGAAAGTACATTTCGACAACAAGAAATCCGCACTAGTCAAAAAAACAAAATAGTAAGCTACTCATTACTCATTTCTTAGAAAGGTCTTTAATAGATTTATAATAAGATAAGCAAGACGTTTGACCCACGCGAGTACAAATTATTTAAAGCGGTAATAAAGGTATTGTAGACTCTGGTAGACAGGGGGGACACTAGGACGCCACGCGCGGGGGGCCCCCGCTGCGGGGGGGTTAGGAAATTGAGGTTATGTACGGTTTCTGTTGCTTATTTCGGCACTATATATCTACTATTGGAAAACTCCACTGTACGGATGGCATTATACATCGGGCAAGTGGTGAAAAATTATTTCAAACTGATTAGTGTTACATGCGGATCAAATCTGATCAGCCTTAATGAAGTAAGCGCAGCCTTTATAGGAGAATTTCAGAAAAATGTTATTACTCGCTCGTAATTGGCAATTTAAATGGCTGGGTGGTAGATCAGCCGGTGCAAAGCTTGAGTAAAAATTCGTGTAGTGTGAACCGGCTGCAATTTTGATATCTGCTTCAAAAAGTTTTGTTTTAAAACATCCTAAGATCTCTAATCGGACATGCCCAGTTGAATTTGGTGCGCTTTGTGTTATTGATCAAAGATAGCTGGCGATCAAAACACAGTCACAGTTCCATACTTTCATAAGAAAGGCGAGGTAAGACTTAAAGGCTTGGTAAATTCAGTTTGTGGAACCTGTGTCAAAGTGAAGCAAAGCACTTGAAGTTAATTTAGGAAGTAACAATAATCTTTTTGAAAAGGTGGCCTGTACTCGATCAAATATGTTGTAATGCCCCAAACTGGAACTGGAAAAATATTTAGTATGGTTTTTTGATATATTTTTTGAATTGCATCCCAAGAGGAAAGCTAAACAAAAAGGAAGAAGAGAATGTCGCACCAAGGTAATTAAACCTTTTCACCACATCCAGCCTTGATCACCCATGAAGAGCTTTGGCTAGGTTGCCGAAAGGGATTTACTAAAGCACATAACTTTGGTAATTATATATAGAAATTACAAATAATTAGTTCTAAACCTAAAACAAAGTATTTTGCATTTGATAGGACTGAGAAGTCACATAATTTTACGCGAAATTTGAAATTTAAAATGCTTATGTTTTTATATAGGGATCCTAGAGCAAAATATGCCTTTTGCAATAGCGATGAAACATGGGCTAGGAAGCGTGAGTCATTCTCAAGCATTAAGCCGCGATTTTTTGCTTTTCTTAGAATCGGGAGTTTAACCGGAGGTGTTTCGGTTAATTTAAATAATAAAAAAATTGATTCGCCAATTAGTCAGACATGGAAAATCTAGAAAATGATTTGTTTTTGTGAAAAACTGAAGATACCAAAATTACGATAAACCATTCAAATAAATTATAACGACCTAACGAACGCAACTGGTTAAACAAAACTTCTGGATTCCTCCTGTGGTGGTTTTTGCTGACGTCTCGCCAATCATCTTGTTGGCTTCTTCAGAGCATGACTGAAACTGGCTCGCATTTTACTCTGTACCTGCTTATATATTGTTTGAGGGGCGGAGCTAAATGAGGGACATAAACACCGTCTCGGATGACTGATTTCCATTTTGGTAACAGGTAGAGACCTGAGTCGCGGTTAAGATTGTTAGGTTGTTTATAGATTTCTATAGACTCTCTGATTCTTCGTTAGTAGAAGAATGGATTACATGTCCGGTGTCGTGATTGTGTTCGGCAACAGCTGATGAGTTTATTTGTTTTAGTCGTAAGGCTCTTTCGTGTTCTTTGAGCCTAGTTGATATTTTGGAACTCCTTTCATCTCACATGGAATTTTGTCTTTGACGGACCGAAGATGTTAAGAGATCTTTGGACAAGTGGTAAATTTGGTTTTGACGTTATACTTCTTTAGAACCTTTGTTTTGAATGTAAGGAAGGATCACAGTGACAAGTGTAGGATTGCTTTCGGTCTCATTGCTATTGGAAGGTTCTGGTGAAGTGTATTTTTTGATGGAACGCATAATATCTTCGATAGTTTTACGACACAAGCTACGTAAACAAGAGAGTTGATAACCGATGAATTTTGGGAAGGATGGTGATGTGACCATGCATTATGCGTTAACACAATGACCCAATGTTTGATCTGATTTTCTATTGATAAGAATATTTTAGAATGGAAGGTTATTATTAGTTTCCAACTTGAAAAAAAAATTAACAAATTTGAGAGCAAAATGTAGAAGAGATTTGTTAAAAGTAGGAAAAAAATACATAACTTTATATAAACATTATTACTCATTTTTATCTGCTGAATGTGCTGTTAAAGTTTGTCCATTATCAATGGGAGCACCTGGTGTACGAATTTCGCAATAGTGAGTAGATTGATTTTATTATTTCAATTCGAAAAATAAATTGACTTGAGTTATCGAAAATCATTGAACAATGGGTAAACCGGTAAGGGAAAGGTGCTACATGCTTATTACTTGGAATTTCTCTGAAATTAGTAGGGATTCTCTTGCATGGTTTATTTTTTTATTTACTTTTTCCTGTTGCCTTGTCAGCTTTAAAAATAAATTTAAAAAATTGAAAAATATGTCTCTATTTGAAATGTTTCGGGTGTTGAACAAACGTTCTGTGTACCTTTCTACCAAATTTTCGTTCAATGATTGCCGATCTCATCGGTGTATATGAAACGACCGTCACGACGCGTGAAGAATAAATAACTAGCCCAACTTTGGAGTCGAAGCCTGAAGAAAATCGACGTCATTTTAAAAGTTTTTTATTATTCGAAAAATACCCGAGTTCGCGGTAGCTTGTGTATTTATTATTCATCATTTTAGACGTTGGGATTTCCATTAGTTTGCGAATATTTAGAGGTTTTTGAATAGTTAATAAAATCGACTTACCTGCAGTATGTGCGTTCCCTGATGTTGTTCGAAAATTTCGGATATAGAAGAAGATCGCCTACTGGCTGCAACAAATTTTAAAAAACCGTTTAGAAAATAAAAAGTTAGAGCTACATACATATTTTCCCTCTTCCTTCCGAATTCCGAGGGATTTACTTGATAAATGTAATCGAGCTAAAGGCAGTAAATCACACACGAATCTCACATGGCACCTATTAAAGACGAAAACAAATGGGAGACCTTCCGAGGAAAATTATGATTGTTTTGATACCGGTTTGAAAAACGTTTCCCCGATGTATTAATTCCGGTGTGATATATATCGCTTCTATATTGGAGTTTTCACAAAGTGAATGAGGAAGGAAGGAGAATGTCTCTCTACCATGTGAAACGTAAATAAATATTGCTATTTGATATCGAACTTTATAAGGCTGTATTACACGCCCTCAAAAATTTTGTCACTCTCGTATCCTATTCATCAACCGCGGTGTGCGCCACCCTAGGTAATTTCCTTTATATATTATCATCTCTTAGTTAAATCGTGATTTATAAAGCTAAATGCTACATCGGAAGTTCACAGATTCGCGCCATTTTGATGACTAACTACAACGGTAAATACAAAAAAAATGGCCCCTTTCGTGAACTGATAAAAAAAACCACCCCGGCGTGATTTTGCGGATTTGTACTAACTAAACAACCCACACGAGTATGTGGGCTGATTGAAAATGTGTTATCGGGGGGCGGCGTTTTGCCCCGACACGGGCATCCCAGAGAAACTACAACATGTAAATCTAATCATGAACCCTCGATGTTAAATTCGCAAATCCAATTCCGACGACCCCAGCGTCGAATGATAAAATTAGCAGTTGCTTATTGTAAACCAAACTTGGAAAATTCGGAGCTGTAATTCGCGTACTTGTGGCCGCACCGCCAAAAGAGGGTGGTTTTTAAGCGAAGTAATTTTCAATAAATTAACCCAAATCCAATTCATAGGCGTAACGTATTATTCGACGTTGGGGTTGCTTCATAAGAGCCTTTTGTGGGAACGTTTCAAGGGTTTCGTCAAGTAATATTTCGATGCATCACGTGCAGTATGTATTTAATTTTGAAATAGAATCTTATAAAGTCTGTTTATAGAAAGTGACTAACTGATACGAATCCAGGGCAAGCTGTAAGAATGAAATATGGCCGAACAGGCCCGACTATGCTTAGAATATTTATTTATTTATGTATGTATTTATGTTTAAATCTAAAATAAAATTACACATTATTTTTATTACCTACTTAAATTACTTCAAATTATTCACATAATATATCAGTATCACTATCGCTATCATCGCCTGTTCTAATTATTATTTGTTCTATATCATTTGCAATATAGATATACGATTGGTCTGCCTTTTCTATATGTTTAACAGAATTTGCCCAACTGTGTGGAAGGATGTTAAAAACTTCGGTTTCTATAAGTTTGAGGACATTGGAGTTAACAGTAATCTTATTTTTTTCTACTGTGATAACTTGCATTGTCCATTACAATGTCGCTATTAGGAGGAATGTTTGGAACTAGTTTGTTTTTAAACCAACTTTCAAATAAATCAGCGGTGGTGTCTTCATGGTAATCCAGAGAAGAATCTTTAATATTTTCCGCAGACAGAGAAAGTCCATTTGGAATCAAACCATCTTTAGAGCCAGCATGCAAAATAGTTATTCTTTTACCTCTTTTTGATGGCGCGTTTGTTTTACACTTATCAGTTGAGTCAACCCAACCCTTTTCCGGGGTATCATAATTGTCGAACCAGGTTTCATCCAAGTAGATAATCGGCCTTTGTTGTTCTCTGTAAATCCTAATTTTTTCTAGATATTCCAGTCGCCATTTCCGAATTCTAAAAGATTAAATTAAAACTTGTCTTTTGACAATTTTTTTAAATCTAAAACCCATGTGTTGAATACACTTCCATAAAGTAGTTCTGCCACATTTAACACCGGTTTCATCTTTTTCGAGCCTCCTAATTAAGATATCTAATGTAGGCACGCTTTGTTCCTCGTATAACTGGTAAATTTTACGCCGTATTATATCTTGATCACTTTCATCTACACTCTTCCTCGCTGAAATGGGATTATTCACAATTTCCCATACAGTTAATGTTGGAATTTTCGTCAATGTGGCCGTTTCTTCAAAAGACGCTTGCTTGCTGGCACCACGTTTAATGAGAGTCAAATAAACATTGTTTATAACTTCCCTAGTCTCAATAGAATAGTGTTTTCTACATTTGGGCGGGAGCATCCCCTGAGATACACTAGACTCGCACATATTTTGCATAATTCGCACACGATTCAACACATTACTAATAAACTTAAGCTAAGTAGTATACCAAACCAAAGAATATTAAACACAGGTAAGTATAAAATTATTTTCTATTACGGACCACAATGATACCTGAATTTAAATTCCGAAACTTTAGGTAATAATCTTGTTGCATTGTATGTTAACGACCACAATTGGATAATCCCATTCAAAAGCAATTGGTCACTTTCTTATATATATGAACAGACCATAACTAATTTTTTAATGTATCTAGATAAACAATTTCTACTGAGTGAAAATTATAGTTAACCTTTAATCTCGCTTATATCGGGTAGCCCAGAGTACTAAAAGTATCTGGCGAACTGATCAACTCTACTTAAAATTATACTGGGTGAATTCCACACAAAATCTTATTTTAAAACACCCGGTATGTTGCATCTGAACAGTATGTCAGGAATGACTTTCTATTCAATTAAAGTGCAGAGCCATTAAGATTTCTTCAAAGGTCCAAATTGCTTAAAAATCTAGAATTTTTTTTTATTTCGATTACGGTAAGACACAGGTATAGAGAAATCTGAACAATCTACTTTGTTTCTGGCGTATATTTATCTTTTTTAAACTAACCAAGATTTTGCCACGTTTAGATAGAATCGGCAACACTGCATACTTGAAAATATTTTTCAGAGATAGAGCAATGTTTAGTTAAAAAAATTAAATAACGCTCCGTATTTTAGATGGCGTTGTTGCTAGAAATTTAAATTATTATTTTAGATATTGGAAGGTCCTTCTAAATATATTATTTGACCAAAAAATTAAAGGTCTTTTTAATTCACAAATTTAAAGGAACCATCAAAATAAGTAACATCCACGGAGTGAAAATTCTAGTTTAACTTTTTCTGTCTGACATATATACATAGAAAAAAAATGAAATAATTAATATTATTCAAATTCTTACGACAATAAAAATAATAATAATTATTAAAAAAATCACTATTTTGGATATTGAATGGTGAAAATAGGTTATTCTAATTACATTATTATTTCAACAGAATATTAAAGGTCTTTTTAATTCACAAATTAAAATTGCTACAAAATAAATAACATTTACGGTGCAAAAATTCTAGTTTACCTTTTTCTTTGTCACACGTATGTAGTCGGAAACGGAATAGTTAATATTATTCATATTTTCAAATTTCAAATAACGCTCCATATTTTAGATGAAGTGGTTGCTAGAAATTTAAATCATTATTTTATATATTCGAATTATATTAATTATTCGGACAGAAAACCAAAGGTCTTTTTAATTTACAACTTAAAATAGCTAACTCAGCTTTTTTTTGTCTCACCCATATATAGACGAGAAATGGATAATTCAGTTTATTTATTTACATTTTTACAATATTCTAGTTAAAAAAAAATAACAATGCGGATTATAGATAGAGTGGTTGCTAGAAGTTTAAGCTACCATTTTAAAAATGAAGGGTGAAAAAAGGTCATTTTAATTCATAATTTAAAATTTCTATAAAATAAGTCATATTTACGGAGTGAACATTATAGTTGAGTCTTGGTTAGTTTTGTTGTTGGTCCCGCCTATACCGGGTGACACAAGAATGTGGGAACACTCTATGACTTCTTAACGGTTTGAGATAGCGGTTTGCAAATTTGGAAGGGTTAATATAGGCTGAATGTCCAATTTTTTGACAATATGCAGTCACTGGTTGAATTTCCGGTTTGAGTGGATGCGAGAGTAATTTTCGAATTTTAAATGGCACTACCTATATTTTTTTGCATTTTTGGATTCAAAAAATCATACGTAGGATAGGACGGTTTTTCACTTTTTTTGTTTTTTTTTAATTTTTATTTAATTTTTGAAAATTGTGTCTAGGAGGCAGTGGCCATCATAAATTTACCGGGTCACCTGCTCATGTGAAAAATTGCAACTGAAACTTTTCTTTACTGGTCTAATGGCAAATAACATTTAATGTAATCAAACACTTTTTAAAACCTATACTTTTTTTGCAACATTTTGAAACCAACATTTTCAAAATCCTTTAAAAAATAAGCTACAAGGAAGGAAAAAACCAGATAAGTAAATACCTTTGTATAAAAACAAAATATTACTTAGCTGATTATCGATTTTGTCGTGTTATCGATTTGGATTATCATGGAAAACAATAATCAATGTACAAATGGAGAAAAAGTGGTTTCTGATATACGGGGAATGCAGAAAAAACTCTCGACAGGTCCGTGCATTGTATGCAGTCCGCCTTCCTGCATATTCTTTCTTTAGAAAGCTGGAATTAAAAATGAGAAATCCACAAAAAAATCGATATAATAATGTTATTATAACCGAAGAAATGGAAATGAATGTTGTGGGATACGTCAACCAACGTAAATCCAGCTGCGTCGCTAAGAGAAGTGGCAATAGAATTAGACATCTCAAGAGAATCTGTGAGGAGAATTAAAAAAAAAAACAAGGTATAACCTTCATCAACAACTTTATGAAGCTGATTTTGTATGAAGACTTAGATATTGTAATTGGCTGTTAGATAAACATGACGAGAATAATAATTCCGTTAATTTATTTTTGTTCACTGATGAGTCACGAATCTCAAATAATGGTAAGAACGGTTCGGAATCAATGTTTGGGCAGGAGTGATAGGAAGGCGAATATGTACGAGATGTACAATAGTTAAGAAATGAAATTGAAGACTTGTTAGATGATTTACCTCTTGCCGTGACATTAAATAAGTATTAACAGCTTTTCAAAATATTGTGTCGAATTATCCAAAATGTGACAGATTTGAAAAAAAAATTTTTTTTCTATTCTCTTGTTCTCCTGAGTTTCCGGTAAAAAATGCTTGTAACTTATGACGTAAGTATACATACAATACTTTCAACTTTTTACCATAATAAAATACTTTCATTGAATTTCAGAAGAAACTCTCCGTTGATTTTTTTTTTAAATACTTTCCACATCATGAGCTTGTTGAGAGTTTCTTCTGGATTTTTAATCTTATCGACTTGACAATTAATAATGAATAAAAGCAAAGCCACCTAAGTAATATTTTGTTTTTATAAAAATGTATTTACTTATCTGGTGTTTTTGGTAACATTTGGTTAAAAAATTAAGTAACGCTATGCGTTATAGATGCTAATTATATTATTATTTGAACAAAAATTCAAAGGTCTTTCAAAGTCACAAAATGGATAAAAGAAAAACAAGTCTTATTATTATTATTATCCAATTATTCAATTGTTCTAAACGAGGGAATCACAAAGTATCTGACCACGCAGAGTTTTTGTTAAAAAATACTAATTCATATGGGAAGAAAACTGTCTCATCCTTTCCTGTTCCCTTTTTTAAATACGCCCCTGTTGAATCTTAAGACCCGCTGTGGTCCTAATGAATTGACATTGATCTAGGGGGTTAGATTCGGTTTTGTTTCAATATTTAAATGGAATCCGGGACTGCGGATTGTTTAATCCTGTTTAAAACCCGGGAATGTTTGATTGACGCTAATTTAAAACTCTTTAGTCGACGAAATAATTTCCAAGAGGGAGAGATTTACACAGGTTATTCCTCTAACCCAGATTCGTTTCATTTATTCAAATTTTGTTTGAGGAACGTTGAATATTTTCCGAGTCGGTAATTAAGGGATTTTTCGCGAACGGAGGCGGGGTTTATTTAATTTAGTAATAGAGCGCAGGAAATTTTATTAGTATTCAGTTTGTGACTTTAATCAAGTAAAGGACAATTTCCTAACCCGGTTGCACACAAAAACGCTTCGGCATTCGACGATTTGGTATTCCGCAACAATTGTCAGTAAAATTCAGTCGTGTCGTACGTGGCTTGTTAAAAATTTCTTCGATTGATTTTTAACTAGGTTATTTGATACTTTCTATTGTTTTACATTCTCCTATGGACGATAATTTTGTCTTAAACGCCATATTTATTCGTTCACCAAATTAAGTGGCAAAACAAACGGAACCCCCAGAGACCGATGACTACCTCTCGGCGCTTTGTTAAGCCAATTCCTGCAACGGATCTCTTCCTGTCGGTTCCCGTAAAGACCACACGTCGACCCGACAGGAAGGGCCCCAAGAATCGTAGCCGCGAGCCCAGAAACAATTGCCGGTCAGCGCGGTCAGTATTTCTTTTGTTCCGGGGGTAATTCGATTACCGGAACCTTTCGACGAGCTCATCACAGACGCAGATGCTCCGGGATTTGCTTTTCCTGACCCGTCTTTCACCTGATCATGTGTAAAAATAGTTTTTTTTTCGTATATAATTTATATTTTATACAGTGCGTCTAATATAAGGATGGGATAGCATGGAGATATCGGAAACCATAGCAGATCAAGGATCGGTTAGGTTTGGTTAGTTTAGCCAAAAATACGAGAAACATTATCAGTACATTATTATTTTTTAGAAGCAATGGTAACATAAAGGGACCTTACGTTTTTAATTTTCTTGTGGGCGCCATATTGAATATTTTCATTATTAAATTGACCTCAAAAATGCTTTGAAATGATGTATTTATCATCCTTCTTAGAGTCACAATTATTTTTAAAAGTGGATCCTTATTGGTCTCAACATGCATTCTGAAAAACAAAAGTCTTAGTCGCAAAAACTGAACAAGTATTGAATTTATTGTTGTCTTCTCGATTTTTTTTTTGGGGTACATCATGGGATCCTAAGAATGATGATAAATGCATCATGCCATTCATAATTTAAAAGAATTTTTAATTTAATTTAATTTTAATTAATTTAATCGACCCTATATCTCCTTCCGATATCCCAATGCTATCTGATCCTTATATCGGACACACTGTATAACACTGTATTATTATCCTTAAATCGTTCAAAATTTCTTTAAAATTACTGATAACAAATACGAAAGATTAAGTGCAAAATTGTAGCAAATTTCATTTCCGTCCAAGTCCAAGAGAAGAGAATATTTATTTTATATTTTGCACTATTATTTATGTCTTGTTAATCGTTTTTTGTTTGCGGCTTCAAATTTGTATAAATAAATTTTCAAATCCAAGATTTTTCAGAAACTGAAATTTATTTTATTGTGGCTTTTTTTTTATACCAACTACGCGGGAAACTCCCCACAATCACTACTTTAGTCACATATTTCACCTATAATGCTTAATTCTGCTAGAAGAATGTTCTCTCTACCAGCATAGTCATAATAATTGTTGTTTGGTTAGTTAGTTTATTAAATTTTTACTTATTTTTTTTTCTAATTGTTATCTAGGAATAGTTAGTAGGAATAGTAAAAAATATTGGGTACTGAAATATGTACGGTGATGCCGAGGTAATTTGCAATCAAAATGTCTGTATAACTTCTATTCTTATTCCATGCAATTTTCTAGCGATTTTGATTCTCCAAATTTTTCGTTTCCCCATGAAAAAATTAAAAAAAAACTGTACTGTTATATTCAGGTGAGGGCCCATTTTTTTCCAAATTCCTAGTAATTTATTTGGGAAGATAGGAATTTTTCTAATAATATTATGGACCGCAAGAATTGTGATTGTGAGATTGTGATTAACGTAAAAAAATGGATATAGGGACTTAACCAAAACTTCATGTAAAAAAAATATTTTTGATCCATAATATAAATCCGATAATAATTATAATTAGTGTTCGCAAAGTTTTGTCCATATTGAAGATAGACTTTTGAAATAAAGTTTGCTAATTTTTGCAGTCGTGTCATGAAGAAGGACATGGATTCGGATGATTTTGACGACTATTTTGCTGAAACGAAAAAATATCTTGAGGCAATTCCAGGAGTTATAGATAAGCCAAGCTATCATAAAGAACACTCCGACTACATCTGGGAAAAAAACAAGGAATTATACACGGTTAATACTGTGAAAGATGTAGCAGGAATACAGAGTGTAACTGCCCTGGGCATGTTACCATTTCGAAATAAATTCTATAGGAGTTATATGGGCGCAAGTGGAATGGTTTGTAACAAGACACAACACGACATTCAAAATATAAAATTAAGCTTCTGCTTGATCAAGTCATTGAGGATGTAACACCAGATAACTGGTGAAAACCGGACCATTAAAGAACTTGGTCAATCGGATCATCAAGTCATGGTACATTGGGCTAAACATTGTTTGGGAAAAATATAAAATAGAATATGATAGCTCGCAATGCCTGAATGAGTAATTTACATACGTCGTAGTCTCAGATTTCCAGAAAGTGATATTGCTGAACTGTGAGATGCATTTTTTACCATTCGACAAATTTTGTGTACTTAATTATAACGTCAGATGACGTTTTATTAGAGATATATTAATAAAGTAAAAAATACTAACAGTGCCTTGCATATATTCATTTAAATTATTCATAAAAATAAAGGCTGATGTCCACGGTTATAACACCCGAAACAGAGAACACCTTCTAAAGTCAAAACTGAACCACATGTGTTACAAAAAGTCGCTAAATTACTATAATTTGCTTCCTACAAGCATTCAAGAATTATCTACAAGACAATTTGCATCAGAAAGCTTCTGTTAACCAATGCTTTCTACGACCAGAAAGAATTTGAAACATATATTACAGGAGTGCCCTGATGAGTTTAGTGATATTTTCTCGACATTTTGTCAATATGTTTGCACTGTTTGTATATCCGTTTGTAACTGTTCTATACTGTACTGTTAAATGTGTGTTATCGTATCGTTTATATACATAATTCCATGTACCTTTATTCTAGTCTATAATGTACTCGTTTCCTGACGAAACATCCACTGGGCTTTGTGAATAAAACTATTCATCTATCTATGATAATTTTTTATAATTTAATTTTTGTATAATGTTAAATGAAAAATAATGGTTCCTAATTCTATATCGTTGTGGCTTAAGGATTCAGTTTTATTATTCTACTTATTTCTGAAATAGACTTCTGTGAACTCTATGTAGATATGTGTTCAATTTTTCTTACCTTTTAAGGTTTTGTTCGGAGGTGGCCCGTCCCTACTCCATGGCGGTTCTCCGTGTCCAGAGAAGTCTCTTAATTTAAGATACGAGATCGTCAGTCTAATAATACTAGCTTTATCTAATTGAGAGGTGATTGCGGCAGGCAACGGAAGCATTTTCGCGAGTTCATAGAACTCAAAGTTTTCTTTCCCCCTTCTAGACCGGGCGGCATCTCTGCTTTTTTCCTTCCTCAATTCTAGAATGCTGCAACATAGAAAAGGAGTACGGTTAGGAAACGACCTCTTCGCCGTTTGATTTGACTAAATAATATAAGCGAAACAATGAATAAGAGTATTTTCGTTGTGATTTTATCGGGAAACGAAGGTAAATTTTAAGCTTCCCACCGGAGTCGGCTAACTTTCGCGATCTCAGCTCGTTACTTGTGATTTTATGCATCCTCCGGGGCCTTCGTCCCATATGTCGAATTCTAATTTCCGCCTTCGTCCCGAAAAAAGGGGACCCGTGTTCAATATAATCTACACGCGCTTTTAAATTGCTATTTAATTCTATTGCCTTTAAACTTTTTGGCTCCAATTGTAGACAGCCTATTCGGAAAATAACTGATTTCAATTACGCGACGAAAGAATCTAAAATGCCACTGGGGAGTTCGTTCCCTTAATTCCGGCACCATAACTAAAAGAAATTATTGTTTCTCTCCAGACAGGGTGTCCGCCCAATTTAGTCCGGTTGTCGGACTATGGGGGCCAGCGTGTGAAAACAAAATTACGGGGAACTTTTGCTAAAATTGGCAGAAATTGGTCTATGCTACTTGAACCGTTATTCGAGCCCCCTGAGACCGTCCGAGCCCCTCTGCCGGCTGTTATTAGGTTATCCTTGCCAGCAGAAAGCTCGGAAAGCGTCTTTTGTGATATCTGTCGGTGGATGATGTTCTGGAATGCCTTTTGGCGCGATCGAACTGTCAATATTTTGTTCTCATAAGGACGATGCGCGTGACAAAACTTCGATTCCATCTCCAAATCAACCCCCACATTTTTCTGCATAAAGTATTTTGGAACATCGTCATTCATAACTGATGAATCCGCTACTTGATTTAAGTCAGAGGTTAATAATCGTAAAAACCCGCAAATAAAAAACAAACTCCCCTAGGAGCCCCCTTCATAATTTGCTAAAAAGCCACGTAAGAAAAAAACACGTTTTATGACGGGGAGGTCATATAAAACGTCCCCGATGGTGCATCTTGTTGTGCAAAAAGACCGTTTTTTCGTTAGACCTGGACCGTCTCCGGAAGCTTTTCGATGTCTCCCGTACGTCCCTCGGGACCTCTGCCTCATTAATCGGACGTGGAATGACACGTCCAGAAGCTATAAAACCTTTCCTATTCGCGGTAGAGCTAGTTCAGCACTCCTGGAAACGAAACCGTCACTTTTTAGACGTCGACGCGTTCATTGTTTGATTTTTTTTTCCAATTTCGACCGCAACACACAGAAACGGAATTAAGTCGAAAAGGGAATATGACGGCTATAAAAGTACGTGACAAAATCGAAATAGTGAATCGTATAAATATCCTGGCAGACCAACTAGGATGTCTGATTGAAAGAGACGCTGGGGGCCAAGCAAAACATATTGGCTCTCACTCTTGTGTTTGTCCAGTTCAATCGCACCAGAGGCGTTCGTTGGGGAGATCTAAAATAAATTCTCCGCAAGTTCGCCTAAGTTATCCGGGCAAATTAGTTCAGTGAGATACCATAACAAGTCAAAAAGAATAAATTAATTGTTTTTAATTAATTAATACCCTATTGATTATTTTATTTTAGGTTTAGTGTAATAAAAATAAGATACTCAATTCTTATCGAAATTATTATCGAAAATGACCAACGGCTGTTACAACAGCGATTAGTTAGTTCCGTCCACATATCTGGTAAAATACTCCATACTTTCTCTCTTGTTTTTGTAATTGTTATTAACCATTAATTAATTTATTAATATTGGGTTAAAGCTGTTAACTTATTATTACAACTTTTTAAAGTATATGTTTTTCGTTTCTACGTGTATATATATTTTTTGAAGGCATATAGTTAGTGTTTTATAATTTTGTTTTCCTCCAACATTAATAAGCTAAAATCTCCATACGTTCAGACTCTTGTGGGGTATGCTGGTGTTGCTTGAATTTTTTGTTGTTTGGAATTTCTACAACATTCTCTAATTTATTCTTACTATTTATACCATAGTCTGTTTTGATAAAAGTTGTGGGAATGAAATATGAATTAAAATTTGTAATTTATTTTATATTTAATGGGTAGATTTTGACCGTCTTTGAAATAGCGTAAAAATCTACCCTCGACGCCACTGACCGCCATAACCAATTCGCAACCACTAAAAATATATTTACCGTAGGCGCGACAATTGTGCTTGTTTTTTCATTTTATTTTATTGCCCTCCGTATTCGAGATTTTCCCCTATAATCGTATTATTTTCCACGACCCTCCTCTGAGGATAAGTATTATAAGAACGGGGAAAAAACTACATCGATTGATTATCGCCCCGCCGCAAGGTGACCATTTGTTGTCCACAGTATTTTTGAATTTCATTTTTATTTATATTTAAATTATACAACATATTTCTTTCTTTACATTTTGCAATTACAGCTCTTCCTAATAATCTTAAATAGTTAATATAAAAGATCAATCACAAATTGAAAGGTAGTACTGCCACTCTTCTTCAAAATAAACAATTTTTAATAAAGATGGCGTTCTTCAAAAAAAGTGAAAAACAAATTAGATCTGCAGTGGCAGTTGATCAATATTAGCTGGCCAAGGAGCCATACTTTCTCAGCTAAAATTGAAAAGTCGTTAGCCTGGCGACGCTTAACCAACGATTAGTTGTTAAAATATCACGAAATCGAAACAAAGACTAGTATATAATTATAAATAATTCGACATGCCCTGGTTCGAGGAGAGGAGTCTGTTTGTAGGGAACACACAGATCCGCCGGTACAAACCAAGAGTGTGTGAAGGCTGGGTTGATGTTCACCCCTAATCCGATGGGGGTTTGGTGGTGGTGCCTCTGGAATCCCGACGTCACAGCGTAGTCCATAGCCACTGCTTGGTAAGGCAGCATGCCAACCAAACAACACACTTAACTTTATAGAATCGAAGCGAAAATATTGGTTGTTTCTTATCGTACGGTGGTTCAGGTCATAGTAATTGAAATGTCACACCAAAATACACTCTCGAGTTGCACCAAGAAACGTTCGAAACGTCCTAGGGGTAATGTTCCCGCTTTCGTCAGACAAAACCAGTGACTAATAGGCAAGAAGAAACCGCGGAGTGCCTAAAAGCCGGCTTGGGTGTAGGCGGGCGTTTTCGTTTGGCATTCCGATACTCCGGTTGGTTCACAGCCACGCAGCTTTCTAGCGCCGAGCCAACACGCGCGGCTATTCGTCTGTCGTGTACGCCCACGTAGAAAATCGTTCGGTTATCAACAAGTAGCCAATATGCACCGGCGGCGCTTTACACGTTTATCGCTTACATTTTTGGTCCTTCGTATCGGATCTCCCGGACCTGACCCATGCATCGCCAAATTTATTATACCTAAATGGTTTTAAAAGGTTGTGCGTTTGGGATACCTCGCTAAGCTCCTGAATATTCCTTTTATTTTCTTTGTTATTTGCTGAACCAGGATTTATTTTTACTAATTTTCTTTGTACAGGGTCAAATTGGACATTTTTAAAGGTGATGGCTCGAAACGAATGGACATTCGTTGTTATTCCTGAGCTGGTGTTTTTCAACAATGTGCATTTTTAATACACTTTTTGTCATGGAAAGTTTTTTGTTTATATGAAAATATTTGCGGCATTTTTTGAGCTTAAATGACTGAAATGTAATAATTATAATTCTAATAATTAATTAGTTATCCACCGAAAAATGTTTTTAAAAGATTGAATTCGTCATAAACAGTGCTCACTTACAGCAATGTCTCTTAAGTAATGATACCAGAGTATAAAACCTTTTGAAAAGTGCTGTTTTGTGCTTTGGTGGTTTCATTGTGAACTGATTTCGTGTAGCGATGTTTTCGGAACCCTTAGTGGGTTCCGAACTGAAAGCACCATAGGAAAATTTTTGAAAAACAATAAAACTAAATCACGAAAAACTTAAAAATCCGAAGTCTACAAGATGAAATGTGGATCAAGTCCCGAACATTTAAGATACGCATTAACGAAAACAAAAGAGCGTATGAAAATAAAAGTTCGGATTCTAAAATTCATTTAAATTCAGAAATCCACAAGTTTGATGATAATTTTGATATTGAATCAAAAAAACAAAAAACTAAATTTGTTGCAAGCTAGAGATTAACAAAATGAGACATTAGAATCTATCACCTAATTACCAATTCCTTCCATAAATCAATGAAAAAATACCTACCGTACGTACCTTTCCAAAAATATAGCATCCTTGATGTTTTTCTCGGGATTTTTGAACAACTGCGTGTTGGTGGTTGTGGATAGTTGTCAAATAAATGGGATATTATAGTTTGCTTTTGAAAGAAGAAAATAAATGCAGAAACAGCAAGCAATTGGTATTGCGAACGATATCTTGAAAGAAAAGAGCTTCTTAAAGACATTTTCCAAAAATTGCGACACAATCTAATTAGTACCGGTAATTTAATAAGTTAATGTTATTTTCAATAATCCAAAAAATAAACAATGTGTCCCCTATAAAAACCCGTTTTTTTAATTCTATTTTTTTTAATTGCACATTTTCGAAAAACACGCTATAGTTTTGGAACAGAAACCATTTTAATTAAAATTATGTTTTTATGAAAATCGAGCTCCAGACACCTACGTTAGTTTTCGTCTCCTTTAGCAAGGGAAGTTTCACTTTAAAAGTATCTAATTTAGCTCACCCTGTACAGTAAGGGTCCGATCTGAAAAAGTTGATACAGAATGTCATTTCTGGTGCGAAAGTGTTGTCTGTGTTTTTGAGCCGGTTTTCTTATTTGAAAACCATCATTTGGTCATGGGTAAATAATAAAATTAATAATTACAATTATGTTTATATTTCGTAAATAAAATAATTCATGCCATCATTAAGACGCTCAATAACTCGCGCCATTGTCTACTAAACTACAATTATAAAATGTACAATTCTAAAAATCCAATTATAAACAAAATTCGTCTGGGGATATCAACGGAATCAGTTTCTTCATCCGATGAAGGGACAAAGTTTGAGAAATAATTTGCAATG